CACTCACTCACTCACTCACTCACTCACTCACTCACTCACTCACTCACTCACTCACTCACTCACTCACTCACTCACTCACTCACTCACTCACTCACTCACTCACTCACTCACTCACTCACTCACTCACTCACTCACTCACTCACTCACTCACTCACTCACTCACTCACTCACTCACTCACTCACTCACTCACTCACTCACTCACTCACTCACTCACTCACTCACTCACTCACTCACTCACTCACTCACTCACTCACTCACTCACTCACTCACTCACTCACTCACTCACTCACTCACTCACTCACTCACTCACTCACTCACTCACTCACTCACACTCACACTCACACTCACACTCACACTCACACTCACACTCACACTCACACTCACACTCACACACACACACACACACACGAGGAGAGGTCATAACTTGGAGTTTCATGGGAACCCTCGATTCTCAAGGGAGCTGTTTCTGGGTTTCGTTGGGATTCAGGCCACCTCCCCCCGAGAAACAGGACCCCAACAGCTGAAAGCTTTGGGGTCTCAGCCCAGATAGGCTCCGGGGTGGCCCGGGGCGACCCTGAGGTAAGGTTCCACAGAGCTCAACCAAGGTTCCACAAGGTTCTGGGCTGCGCAGTGGTCGGTTCCACAAAGGTTTCACCAAGTCCCAAAGGCAAGGTTCCACAAAGTTCCGCAAAGGTTCCACAAGGCGTCCACACGGTGGGTTGATTGGTCTTCCCGGGTCTTGATCGGGCCCCGATTGCGCCTCGGGCCCCGATCGCGGCCCACTGGCACCGTCGGGCCCCGGTCGGGCATTCAGGGCCCCGGTCGGGCACCGATTGCACCGTCGGGCCCCAGTCGGGGACCGTCGACCGTACTTTAACAGCTAAAGCGACACAGCGTGCTATGATTAGTGGTTTGGATCGGTGGTTTGCTTCCCGGGCTGCGGTCGGGCCCGAACACAAAAAGAGCACCGCATGCTGTTGGGGATATCACCTGAGCTTAGGATTTGTCCGCAGTAAGCATTTTCCTTTAAAACACGAGCAACATATAGCATGCTGCAAACGCCTGTTCGCTTTCAGCTCGCCTTTGTTTTCATCGATTTGGCAGCACAGTTCCCTACAATAGGCCCAAATTCAGGCTCAGCTGCTCTTGCACCTGCCTGCTGTCTCCGCCATATCCTGGATGACCCCAAGTCACAACGGCCCCGGATTCAAGAATGGCTGCAAAAGCACCATAAGTTGCTTGGATGTGCTGGACGCTTCTCAGCTGCTCCTGCACCCTGCTGCTGTCTCCGCCACATTCTGGAGCACCCCAGGTCACAACAGCTCCAGATTCAAGAATGGCAGCAAAAGAACTGGCATTTGCTTGAATGCACTGGACATTGCTCAGCTGCTCTTGCACCTGCCTGCTGTTTCCGCCATATCCTGGATGACCCCAAGTCACAACGGCCCCGGATTCAAGAATGGCTGCAAAAGCACCATAAGTTGCTTGGATGTGCTGGACGCTCCTCAGCTGCTCCTGCACCTGCCTGCTGTCTCCGCCATCTTGTGGATCACCCCAGGTCACAACAGCCCCAGATTCAAGAATGGCAGCAAAAGCCCTGTCACTTGCTTGGATGCGGTGTACGTTCCTCAGCTGCTCTTGCACCTGGCTGCTGTCTCCGCCGCATTCTGGATCACCCCAAGTCACAACAGCCCCAGATTCAAGAATGGCTGCAAAAGCACGCCCCCGGCCAGTTGCTTGGATGTGCTGAACGTTCCGGAGCTGCCCTTGCACTTGGCTGCTGTCCGCGCCTGTTTGTGGATCGCCCCAGGTCACAACAGCTCCAGATTCAAGAATCGCTGCAAAAGAACCAAAAGTTGCTTGGATGTGCTGGACGTTGCTCAGCTGCTCCTGCACCCTGCTGCTGTCTCCGCCATCTTGTGGATCACCCCAGGTCACAACAGCCCCAGATTCAAGAATGGCAGCAAACCCACCGCCAGCAGTTGCTTGAATGCGCTGGACATTGCTCAGCTGCTCTTGCACCTGGCTGCTGTCTCCGCCATATCGAGGAAGACCCCAAGTCACGACAGCCCCAGATTCAAGAATGGCAGCGCAAGCGCAGTCATTTGCTTGGATGTGCTGGACGTTGCTCAGCTGCTCTTGCACCTGGCTGCTGTCTCCGCCGCGGTCTGTAGAACCCCAGGTCACAACAGCTCCAGATGCAAGAATGGCAGCAAAAACCCTGTCACTTGCTTGGATGTGCTGGACGTTTCTCAGCTGCTCCTGCACCCTGCTGCTGTCTCCGCCAATTTCTGGATCACCCCACGAGACAACCTCGCCCCCACAGCCATGCCAAGCGAACGCCTTGTAGTTGGCAGCCAGCTTACCAAGCTGCACAACCGCATCCACCATGTCCCCGTCTTGCAACGCCTCACTCAGCGTGGCCTTCAAATCAAGCTGCCGCCCTTTCGCAGCGAGTGTCAAGCGCCGCTGGAAATGCTGCTGCGCTGCAGCCTTCAGCTCGCTGACGAGCGTCGCCGGTGTGACTTCTATGGAGCATCCCTTTCCACTGGGCAAGTGGACATCCACCTTCATGGCGCAAGCTTCGTCTGAGTTCAAGCTGCCAAGCACGTTCTCGCCTGAGACACAAACATACACAACTCCTGGAAAAGGGGCGGCGTGGTTAACAAAACTCCGGCCACTTCAACAGACCCAGCGGTATTTCTTATTCTAGGGGTACTTTCCCCATTCTTTCCAAGGATCCTTCTTTCTAGAAAACCTCCGGAAACCCAGGTTGAAAACGAATCCGGTCTTTAGAAAGAACGATGGTTGAAAAGAATGGGGAATCAACAGCTAGAATATAGGGAAATATGCAGAGTATAGGGACATATAGAAATGGACAAGGAATCAAGCCCTAGACTTATGCCAACCCAACCCGAAATTTGATATCCATCTCGATCCCATGGCTGACTCATCCCCTTTTGAGGCGAGCGGTGCCCCTTGGTTGGTTGGTGTCGAAGGGAAACCCACACCTTACAACCCTCGGTACGGTGGCAGAAAAACACCCGGTGTTTTGCAGCCCACTAAAACTTGTAACAGAACCAGACAAAAAAAAAAAAAAAAACTTGGTCCAACCGCGGAGAAAAGGAACCCCAGCTCCTCTTGTCTTGAGGCGAAGGGTCCCCCCTTTTGGGTTCCCAAAACAAATAGCCCGGTTGAAAACCATAGAAGAACGCCGGAGTCATTTTGGGGGGGGGGTTATCCGGGGGGGGGAGGTGAGGGGGTGAGGGGGGGGGTGAGGGGGGTGAGGGGGGGGTGAGGGGGTGAGGGGGGGTGAGGGGGGGGTGAGGGGGGGGTGAGGGGGGGGGGTCATCCCAAAAAAACACATAGAAGTCACAATCAATCCAAAAATGGTTGTCCCGGAACCATGTAAGAAAACTACAAAGGGCGGACGGTTTCTGGCTGGGACTGTCCCTTACTAGCCTTCATCTAGACTCTCCAGGACCCTTAAAAAAATGGGGTCATTGACCCAATGAAAGGGGTCATGACCCCTTTTTCTAGGCTCATACGAACATCTTCCACGGCCACCCGCCGTTTCCCGTTTCCCCACCCCGAAGCAGCCCGCTTCAATCGAACCGAAGCCAAGGAATCGGTGCCTGCTTCTTCTGGGGCATCTTGAAGACCAGCGGCTTCCAGGGTTCCTCAAAGCAAAAACATGTTTCCCCGCGGCCGGTGCTGAGTTACGCGGACGAGTCGTTCCGTCTCAGAACAAACGGCCGCTTCTTCGCGCTGAGCAAGAGGCGCTTTGGTGGAGAACTAGGTGTCTGCCTCAACCACCAGTAGAAAACACAACAACTGTTCTGTGCTGAGCCACGTCTTGTTGGAATAACTAGGTGTGTTTTGTGGAGGCTTTAAGGGGTCCCCTGGGGATAGTTTGAAGGGAACCCAGGGCAACCATCGGTTTGAAAGGGTAGCCCTTCAAGACCACCGTGCTTCTGTCTCGGGGGCCCTCACCCCTTTTTCAAGCCTCACCGGGGCAGCCCCCTATGGAAACTGATGCTGACCTTCGCCGTTACATACCCAGTGCTTGGCTGAAAGCGCTCCAAAGGCGGGATCCAAACACCCTGTCAGCCCCAAAGAGCTGCCTCATTCGTCGCTAAAATTGGCCCTTCTTGTTCGGATTGGGGAATCAGCCCCTTTTGGGGGGCCCTTGACAACCATAGAATACTGGAGTGAAGAAGGCGTGTTTACCCCTAACAAGGCTTATAAGAACCCCGTATACTCATCTGGAATAAGACATACAGGGCGCGAAGTTGCGTGGGAGTACAACAAATTCCCTAAGAAGTGCTGACCAAAGGTTTTTTTTAAGGGTACCCACCACCTACCCTTGGCTCTAAGATGGCTTCCACCACCACCCAAATCACTATGCCCAGGGATTCAGTGGGATATATACCTTGTATAAAGTGGCTATCGTAGCTGTAAACTCCAGTAAACACTATATACACCAAACAAAATATCTTCAGATTCTGCTTCATGTTTAGTTTTCCATTTGCTGAAGTTCACTGGAAAATATAAAAATCTGTCTGGATCCAGCAGTGAAATTGAGTCCCTTTAAAACCAGCAGAGAAAAAAATATTCAGGTCCCAAGACCCCGTTATTTGAGGCCTTTCTGGGTCAAAGGCCTTCATAAATTTAAGGTGCAAGGGGATCCTAGGATGAAAGAAGCCAAAAATGGAAGAACCACGTGTCCAATGGTTGAGTAGTCTACCCTTCGTCAAAGAATTTTTGGGGAGGCCAATTCCAAAGACCCTTGTTTGGACGGAGGCTGCATATGTGTGTGTGTGTGTTTTCTAAGGCTGCCCTTTTTGGCATGGTTTTATGGGAAACAACAAGCAAAACCAAACATGTTGGGTGTCCAAATCCCTATCTTAGTAAAACCTGGGCCACCCTCTTGGGACATTGTTTGTCATTTCCTATTTGGGCGTTCGGTCAAGTCAGTCGGTTGTCGGCAACCTAGGCTATAGCCTACCAATAACGTCCCCCGTTCAGTGGGGTTAACCTTGTTCCCAGGTGGGTGAAAAACCCCAAGTGGCCAGCCAACCGACACTAACTTGGCAACGAGCACGCAAGTAAGGGTGTCATCCCATGACAAATCTGGGCCTGTCCTCAGATCCCCTGCTAAAAGTTGTCAACTTCTGGTGGGCCAAATCCGGAAACCACCACACCAAACCACCCAAAAACCCAACTAAAAAGCTAAGTTAAACCCGGAGGATTCGCTGGTTGACCCATCCAAATGATCTGGAGCACTCCCTTGGGTGCACATGGGACCGGGTGCAATGTCTCGAAACAACCACCATTCGAGGGGATGATTCCTTGTCCATTCTTTTCAACCATGGTTTTTTTCAATAACCAGCCGTTTCCCTGGGTTTCTGAAGGTTTTCTAGAAAGAAGGATTCCTGGAAAGAATGGGGAAGGTACCCTAGAACCATTTGTTTCAGCTTTTGGGTGATCCCTACATGCCTTTCGCGCCGCATTGAAACCATGGGAAAAGATTGCGTGTTGGGATTTACAGGGGAATCATCGTCCAGGGTCCCCAGTAGTTGATTGAACCACCTGGCTTTTACCGAGGCCCAAAATATGTTTCAGCCAAATCAACTAAAAAGGACGCCTATGCGCTACATTTGTCCGATCCCAAAAAGGGCGGACTCTTCGTCAAAGGACGAGCCTCAGAGAAACCAATAAATTTGATTTGTGTCCTGCGGTTGTCAACCGCATTTGGTTTGGGGTTCCTGAAAGGTACTGTGGATGGACGAAATCCTGCACCACTATGAAACCATAGGAAACCATTGTTTGTTGGTATTTACAGAGGAGTTATCATTGCAGGGCTTCTTAGGTGGTGCGAAATGGATTCGCCATCCACAGTATCACACAAATGGGATGGACACCCATCCCCAAGCTTGCCACCATCACCTGCAAACAGAAAGAAAGAAGACAATGCGTTTCCCAGAAACAAAAAAAACATGTGCCCGCCAAAATATTGGAAACACCTGTTGCGTCCTTTCCTTTTCACAGCAAAACAAAAAGCATCCCTCCTATCCGAAGGGGAAGGCGGGTGGGGAGTCCCCAATTCCATTTCTCTAAAATAACATCCAAGACAAGGTCATGTGAGACGTCCCAGAAAAGCCCCAACCCCCACAAGCTCCCGAAACCTCAAAAACTTCCACTGTTAAGGCAATGTTGCCTGTTAGGAGGGTTCCCATATCTCCCCGTTGAAAAATCGCCACGCAGGGTACGCAGTGTAGCTGCGCCGAATCGCTATGTGGTTGGTGACCCCTAGTCATACTCCACACACAGACTTGCAATGGCTTCTCACCCCAGACCCCCAGTGGATTTTGAGTCGAAAAAAAGAATCGACACGCTCCCTTCGGGCAGCTGCTTTCAAAGAACACCTCGCTTTTACGGTTAAAGGGAACCTCCCCTTCAAAGAACCCGCCTTGGACACCCTCCAACCCCCCCCCCCCCTCAGTTGCTTTGAGCTCTTTTTGCTGGACATCTCCAAAAACGAGCTCCTTTTCGTGGCTAGAACACCTCCAAAAAACCAAAAAGTTCAAGGACAGAACGTTTTGTCTCCAACCCACAGATCCAAAGGTCTCCCGAAAACGCGCAGAGCCGGCGCCTGGGCCGTAGACTTTGCGGCCGCCGCCTAGGATGGGCCGGGCAGGGCAGACGGAGAAACGCACGAGGGGCACCAAGGGGACCTGTGGCTTTGCCTCTTGAAGCCCCCCCAGAAACATGGCGAACATACTGTGGATGGACCAAATCCAGAAATCGCACCGCCTGGAATCCATGGGAAACCATTCTTTTGTTGGTATTTACAGGGGAATCATCCTTCCAGAGTGTCTTAGGTGGTGCAGGATTTCGTCCATCCAAAGTAGGTCCGGTGTTGAAGGGAACTTTCCCCAATTGGTGCTGAAGGATGTTTGTTACTTTCCCCAGTTGGTGTCGAAGGGAACCTTTCACTACTGGACATACTGTGGATGGTTGCGAACTCCATTTCGCACCACCGTTCAGACACCCTGGCTTCTGCTGATTCGCCTGTGAATACCGACAAAACAAACGGTTTCAAGCATGGTTGCAAATGGTGTGATTTCTGGATTTTAAGTCCATCCACAGGTCCGGTTCACGATAAATCCCAGAAGGGACGACAAGTAGTCTGAAACGCAAATGGAGTGTGAGATGGGAGACCTCCCAAAACCCGCCGTTTTGGAAGGAGGGCAAACCTCTTCGAGCTTTTTCGCAAACTTCGAAGCCAGCCCCACAAGCTTGGCTGTGGGGTTCCCAATCTCCACTCCTTCTGTCAACAAAAAATTGCGAACAAGAAACTTGCTGAAATAGCTTCGGGGCTTTTTCGAGGCCCGAGAGTTTCCATGGGAAGATCCCACAAACCCCCCGACTCCAAGTGGGTGAAGAGTCGGTGGGGCTTTTCCTACCCGCGGTAATTATCACCCGCAATTGAGGCCCAAAGCTAGGGGAGGCCCGTGGGTTTGAGTCGGTCCCCGGAACGTTAGCAACAAGAAAAGCGCGCGCTAAAACCTCCCTCCGAGGAAAAAAAAAGAAAAAAGGAGAGAAGGAAGGGGAAAACAAAGAAGCCCCAGCGAAGCCCAAAACGTGAAAGCAGAAGTACAGGAGGTTCAAGAAAAAGAGGTGCAGAACAATATAAGGGTGGTTTCTTTATAACCCGTGGTATGGTAGCAAAAAGATGTTTGTTTGCGCCAGCCCCCTACCAACAAATGATAACCAAACCACAACACAAAACAACTGAAACAATGCCAACAACCGTGAAGAAGATCTAAGGGTGTTTTCCCCAATGGAAGCTATGGGGTCGATAGGAGATAGGTTCGGAGCCTCTTCGAGGGGATACCACCTGGGTTGATGTGCTATTCATTTTGAACAAACTTCAGCAGTTTCTCATTTGAAACTTGGAGAGAATCCTTGCGCTGAGATTTCACTCGACTGGGTTGATCTTCGACCCCCCAAAAGCAGCGTTTTCAACACAATCGGGCACACCTCAGGGCTTGAGACTGGCATCTTCGCTGACATCTGCTGAGGCGCTTTCAACGGGTCTCCGGCAGATCTTTTTCTCGATTCAACATGAAGGCCCGGCCAGTCCAAGATTCCTTTCTTTCAAGTACCTACACTCTCCATGATCTTCAAAGATGGGGTCATGACCCCTTTCTTTTGGGCAATGACCCCATTTTTACAGGGTCATGGAGAGTCTAGGTTGCAAGGCAGGAACCCGAGTGCAAAGGCAAGAATCAAGGCTTGCACAGCGCGAAAGGGGAGGCCCATGGGTCGCTAAATTGGGCCAGCATGTGGCTAATGGTTGGACCCATGAAGAGTTGCTTGGTAGTGGCAAAAAAAGGAATGGAGGGGGTCCGAACTGTTGGCGGAGTCTTGCAGGGTGTCCTGTCGGTTTCCCTTTAAGCCCATCCCAAAAGCCGTCGACCCAATGGCCGAGAAAGCCACCCTCGCCAGCGATGACCTCACGAGCTGCCCATGCGAGAAGTAGGGAATGTCGGGACGGACCGTTTTGGGATTCCCAAAGCCACCAGTTGGATGGTTTTTCTTGGGGTCATTCCAACTGCCCTAATGTTGACCCATGGCGAATCAACCCCAGTGTATTGAAATGGGGGCGGGGGTGGTTTTTTGGGGCCCCTCCCAAAGTGCTTTGCATCCAACCACATTTCACCCAGGGGAAAAAAAAAAAAAGAAGCACCCCCTATCCAAAAAAGCAGGGGTACCGAAAATCCCACATTTCATGGCTAGCAAATCCCGCTGGACTGAGACCTATCCCTGAGCCCACTCGGAGACTTAAGGGAAACAGACTCATTCCGAGAGAAGGCCCAAAGGCGTTCCTCAAAATCAAAGGGAAGCGGAAACTTCCAAACTCGGAGCAAACTTCCAAACGGATAAACTTCCAAACTTTCAAACCTGAATTAAACTTCCAAACGGATAGCCCACTCGGAGCATCGAGACTGACCGGAAACGGATCATAGGCCAGGAGACTGAGACGAGAAGGGTTCCTTTGGGCGGTCCGGAGAATCCAGGAAACGGAAACGAAGCCAACCGAAACCTGAATCAAAAGGTTCCTCACATTGCAAAGCGCAGGGAAGAAAGGAAAAAACCTGGCTGTTCTTCCCCTTCTTTTTGCTCCGCCTGGAAGCATTTACCCCAAGACCGCCTTCGGGAGGGGTCAATACAGGGTGAACAAGCCCTGCCAAAGATGGCCAAACATCAGCTAGGTCCTCCAGTAGAGAGGTTTGAATAAGGGTACCCTTTTTCTGCAGTCTATTGTAGGGGAACCTTACCCCCAAAAAAGGGGAGAGAAGGGCACTACTGGTGGACCTAGTCAGCTTCCCAATTGGTGGTTTGGCGGGCGATCAGGGGGGGAGCCTTCCATTCACCCTCAAGAACCGGGGCTTCAAATCCAATCCAAATCACAAATTGGCTGTGAGTCAAAAATAGGAACCCGAAATGGAACCCTGGTACAAGGAACCAAGGACTAAAACCTGTGGTCCCCTGGTGATTCAATTTTGACCCACACCCAATTGAGGTAAACCTCAGTGAGGGTTTCGTGAGGAGTCCTTGCGTCAGGCGTTTAGCACGACATAAACCGCCCAACTGGTGGTTTCCCCTTTATTCTGGGACCCCCAAAACCGGTTCATTCAACCAACACCCGGACTCTGGTCATTCCTTTAGAACCAGGAATGTTCGCACTCGTGAGACTAAGCTTCAGCATGAAAGGGGACCTGCAGGCTTCGAGGGAACGCTTTTTGTCTGGCTGATTACTTCACAACTCCGGTTTATGTTTGGTTTAAGGTTGGGTTAGAGTTGTTTAGAGTAGGTGTCTAGTCGTCGTTTTTTTTCGTCTTCTTTTTCTCCGCTCTGTTTATTTGTGCGGGCAATGACATGACGTCGCACGATCAAGATTGCTGGAAGCAACTTGTTGGTAGAGCCCTTTCTCACCCCTTTTTTGGTTGGGAGGGTTCCCCTACTAAAATAGACTACAGAAAAAAGTTGGTACCCTGACCTGCAACCTCGCAAATCTGGAGGACCTAGGCAAAATGTGTACGGCCAACAGGTCCCCAGCGGAGAAGGCCAAATATTCTCGCGGATGAGGTCGCAACCCCGCAAGACCATATGCCAACGACCTAAAAGGGAGAAGACTAGGTCTCAATAATATATTGTTGATCCCCTGAAGATTTCTTTGTTGATCCCCTAAATAATTGTTTGTTGATGCTCATCCCCCCAAAAGTGGTCACTCAGATTTTCAGTCATCGAACCGACCGCAAGATCCAAGAAGCGCTCCGGGTCCAAGAAAGCGCTTCGGGAAGCTTTCGATTTGACCCCGGGCAAGCCAAACGGAAAAGTCGGCCATTGGAATGTGTTCTAACCACCCTTGTTGTTCTGTGTTTCGTGTCTTGTTTGCTTATACATATATATATATATATAAGTGTGTTCATCTATCTTTCAGGTTGTTTCTATTTGTCCACAGAATTCTGCTGGTGTTGATCGTTCTAGATTGAAGCTTAGCCATGTAGAACCAAACATCAATAGGTTTTGGGCGGTGCTCGGGTGGGTGTGTGGGTGTGTGTGTGTGTGTGTTCCAAATGGGCTTCACGATGCTCCACAGAACCTGGCCCAAGCAGCTACCATCCATTGGCTGGGCTGTCCGATAATCCCCTCTAAATGGTTTAACTTTTAGTGGGTTAAATGGAAACCACCACTACCCCCCAAAAGGCTAAGCTGAGGAACCGAATGGCTGGCTTCGCCACCAAGTTGGGTATCCTTAAGAGACCTCACATGACTAGCGTCGACTACCCAAAAACAAATCCCAACACAGCATTCGCTGACAAAACGTCAAGGGTCAATGTGTAGGCGGCACAAGGGGGGGGGGGGCAAAATGGTGGCTTTCCTTTTGCTTCTCCTTTCGAAACATACCGCCCAAAAAAGTATATTCGGTTTGATTATATGGGAGCCTATTGAGCGAACGTTAATATCTCATTAGGTAGGGAATGTGGGAATGAGCCGTTTTGCGGTCCCCGCAGAAAGGAAGAACACCAGCGGGATTGTTTCTAAGAGTCCTGCCCTCACCAGGAATTGTTTACAGGGTTCATTCCCTCACCACAAGTTGGATTGTTGACAGGGGTCATTCCATTTCTCTTTCCTGCATCTCTCAGCATGTTCTCCAGTAGAGAGGTCAGAATAAGGATACCCCTTTTTTTCTGTAGGCAATTTTAGTAGGGGAACCCTCCCCCAAGAAAAGGGGAGAGAAGGGCACTACTGGGGGACCTACGTCCCAAACCGGGCAGGCCCCACCTCGCGATGTTGGGGCGGGGCCCTTCGCAGAAGGCCGCGGAGGACAGCAGAGCCACGCCTCGGCTTGCGGAAGGCGAGCGAGCCGCGGCCAGCCCCACAACTTCACCTCGAAAGCTATGCTTCGCCAGTCTCGGTGGCGAAGTCTGCGAAGCCCTGCTACAAGTGACTAACTCTTAGTGGCGTTTTTGTTTCTTCGGAAACCCACTAGTTGGCAAACACTTGAAAGTCCTAGCATCCCTTGGCAAAATGCACCAAAGCGACGCAGGTGGTGAAAAGTTGGTACAGTTGGAAACTTGCCTAAGCAAACTGCGGCTGGCAAATCGAACCAAACATTGGACACTTGTGGGCCCTTTGTCCATGGGGAAGAAAAGCGAGATTCCACCAATCTGACATTGGCAACCCTGCTCTCTGAATGTTGCTGGCAAAACAACCACCAGGGGGTTGTCAAAAAAATAGAGAACCCACCTGCTTCCGAAGGCCTTTGAAGGAAACCAGGCATGGTACTAATGGTTGGCTCTTTCTGTGATACCGAAGTAGAATCCATAGCACTTCACCTTAGGGATTCGCTTAAGATCAGAGTCCCACCCGCCCACCCACCCGCCCACCCACCCACCCACCCACCCACCCACCCACCCAGCCACCCACCCACCCACCCACCCAAAAAAGACCCGTTTGCACTATCTGACTCGAGGACTTTCCAAAGGACCCAAGGCGATGTCTCCATCTTTTTGCTGCTCCTGAGCTCGGGGCAGACTTGCGGAATGGACCAAGGCCCTCTCCATGGGTGTGTGTGTTTTTTAGGGTCCCTGCCTTTTTGCGGGCTTTAAAGGGAAACCAAAGGTAAACCACGAATTTTAGGGTGTTCCCCCCCACAACAGGACACGCCCATATACCCTCGCGGCAGCAAAAGTGCCCAATCATGGTCGGTTTTCAAACAAACGGGGTGGGTTATGTGCGTCTGTCTCCGAACCGGAATGCCAAAGTGGGATCGGTTACGTGTAAAGGGGATGATGAAATCTAAATGGGGAGGCTTGTGCCATCTACTTTCAACTGGCCCAATTCCGCGTGACCAAAAAAAACAAGAACGACGCGGTTTCGTATTTCGTCTACCTTAGGGGGGCATGAAAGAATTGACATATGGCCCATTTCATTTTGGCGCTTGGGTAAATCAGAAGAAGGGGCTATTTAGAAACCAGGGTTCAACCCCCCAAAAGAAGTCGCGCTTCTTTTTCCGCTCGCCACAAGCCGGCCACGAGGAATTATCCGGGCTACATCCTGCAGCTGGTCGTTAACAGCGCTGGATCCATGAAAGTGGCGCGGTTCAGTGGTTGTCAAGTTGAGGACGGAGGGAAATGTCGAAGAGGGTTGCTCCAATGACCCTAGAGAGGTTAGAACAGTCCAAGCTTGGGGACATAGGGCCTGCAATTTTGGTTGTTTGGGTTTTTGGAAAACTCGAGGTTTTTTTGGTTTTATGGGGGCTGCGTTTTTCAGATTCTTGTGGTTTTGCTTTTTGTACAAAAGTGTAGAAAAGTCGAGCTTTTTCACACTTTTCCATGGAAAAACGCAGCCCCCAGGACGACCCCTTCTGCTAGAATAAGGGTACCCTTTTTTTCGGTAGTCTATTCTTAGTAGCCCCCAAAAAAGGGGTAAAAGGGCACTACTGGGGGACATAGATTCTGCTAACTACCGTTGATGCTCGAAATCAACTTCGTGGTTAGTCCCGTTATTCAAAAGTTTACAACCCCACTTGTAAACAACAGACATCGGCGGCCAGGGCTGCTCCCACCAATCCAAAATAAACGTGGAAACCAAGCAAAAACCCTCCCATGAGGTCCCAAACCTTATCTGGGCTGAGACCCCTTAGCTTTCAGCTGTTGGCGAACTGGCCGTGGGTCAACACCAATGGGATCCCATTTTGGGGTAGCACCACCCAGTTTAGAACCTATTTTAGTGAGGAGCGGGATGTTCACTGGGGGTACGGGGTTTTGACACATAGCCAACTAAACAGCGCAGGCGTCACTCGAATGGGTCCCGTGCGACGTATCCTTTGCTCGCCGCTCTCGGCGGCGAAAATCGCTCGCCTCTAAGGGCGAGCGAACTCTCCAGGCGTCTCAGGGCTCAGGTTCATACCTGAACAACAGGCGTGAGCGTGCGCGCCAAATGGATGTCTTTTCGGGACCCCCCCCTTTGATTGGTTTGAAGGGGTTGCAGATTGTTTTTGTTGTTGTTTTTGCTTCTTCTTTCTTTTTTTGTTTTGGGGGGGGGATAAACCTTAGGGATATCTTCCCACCGGCGGGTCTGGTAGCAAAGAAGACTTAACATATCTTGAAGTTGTTTCACAGAAGTGACAATAGCAAGGATCAACAAGTGGATGAATCACATATTGTGTAAATAGGGGCACCCAGAGTGGGTGGTATCCCTTTGGTGTCCCTTTAAAATAAGAGCTTTGCGCAACAACAGGAGCCCCGGATTGGACAGGTTTCGGAAGTTTGACCTTTCCCAATGTGCAACCCACACCCTCCAATGGAGAAACCAATGCAAATTTCTTCATCGTTGAGGACCAATTCCATTTAATAAACTTCCTCCCAGTTGGTGGATCGGTGGTTTGGTGGTCTTCCGAGCCGGTTTCCCACTTACCCTCTACAAGAAGCACGGTAAATCACCAATCCAAACCACCAGTGAAGGGGTTCCTGATTTAACCAATCGAATTGGAGCAGCAAAAAGCAAAGCATATCCTGCCTGTAAACCGGGGCCCCGTGAACCGGGGTGCTGGCTCTTGGGCGATTCCCAGACCACCAAAGGTTGCCTGTCAACCAGGGTTGACTGCTTGTAGAGGCCTCGGTGACCTTGCTGGTTCCTTGGGCTGGGTTCCTGGCGGCATGACCCCCAACCCGCCTCCCCCCCCCCAGTTTTTGTTCGGTTCCTGGTAGCCCCTTGTTGAGGTGCCATCCTGTTTGGTTTTTGGTACCCTTGTTGTGTGAGGGCCATCCACTGGGCTGTCCCCAGCAGGGGAACTTGCTAAAAGTTTAACTTTTAGTGGGTTAAATTCGGAAACCCAACCACTAAACACTCAAAGGCTAAGATGCTAAGTGAACTTTAGCGGGTTAAATTCGGAAACCCAACCACTAGACACCAAAAGGCTAAGATGCTAAGTGAACTTTAGTGGGTTGAATTCGGAAACCCAACCACTAAACACTCAAAGGCTAAGATGCTAAGTGAACTTTAGTGGGTTAGATTCGGAAACCCAACCACTAAACACTAAAAGGCTAAGATGCTAAGTGAACTTTAGTGGGTTAAATTCGGAAACCCAACCACTAAACACTCAAAGGCTAAGATGCTAAGTGAACTTTAGCGGGTTAAATTCGGAAACCCAACCACTAAACACTAAAAGGCTAAGATGCTACGTGATTCTTAGCGGGTTAAATTCGGAAACCCAACCACTAAACACTCAAAGGCTAAGATGCTAAGTGAACTTTAGCGGGTTGAATTCGGAAACCCAACCACTAAACACTAAAAGGCTAAGATGCTAAGAACCGGATGGCTGGGAACCGCCAAATTTTGGTGGCCCGAAAGATTACCAACCCGTTTGGTTCAGACCCCTGGAAAAAATGACCCCTGGAAACCCAACCAATAGGGGGATGGTAAGTGGAAATTACCACTAAACACTAAAAACCCGAAAGCCTAAAAAACCTGACCCCTGAAAACCCCCAACCACTAGGGAGCCGGATGGCCGGGAGCCCCGAACCCCCCACCCACCCCTGGGCCCGGCGGCGTGATCTGGCTGCCCACCCGCCGCATGGCGCGCTCCGCGCTCTTCCGCAGGTCCCAGAGGAAGCTGCGCCGCGCCAAGTGCCAAGCGCGCTCCGCCTCCTCCTTGGCCAGGATGACGTCCTTCTTCCTGGCGCGGAGGGCGGGGAAGGGGGAAGCTCGGTGTTTTTTTTTGCGGAGGTTTTCTGGGAGGTTCTTTTTTTTCGGGTTTTCTGAGTTGTCCTTCTTCCTGTCAGTTTCGGCGTGGGGAAAAGCGGGTTTTTGGGGAGGCTTCTCAAAACGGCGGCCCCCCCCCCGTGCACCTCCCATTTTAGGCTTTATTTCAGTGGTTGGATTAAATCGGATGTTCACTGGGAGTACGGGCTTTGGATTTTGACCCATGGCCACATCCGCTGAAATGAGGGCAGGAAAGAATGAAAGCCTAGGTTTCTGGGAGGCTTCTCAAACACAGCGGACCAACACGTCCCCTCCCCCCTTCCCCCCAAATTAGGAGAAAAAAAGAGAAGAAACGTTTGTTTCAACCAATACCAGAAGGAGACACGTGGTTCAGCTTCCCTCCAATTGGTCTGGATTGGTGATTTGGATTTGGATTCTTTGGATCGCTAGGATTTGAAGCCCTGGTTGTAGGAGGTCAAAACATCCAAACCACAAAGTACAGGGAAGCTGCAATGGCGGGGCTTGGGGAAGCGGGTGTTTTTTGGGAGGTTTCTCAAAACAGAAAAACCGCCCTAAAAAATGGTTCGTTTCAACCAATTCTAGGAGGAGACTCATCTTCCTGCGCTGTCCATAGTGTGTTTTTTTGGGGGGAGCTTGTTTGACACCACTTGGGTATGTGTCAAACTAGGGGAGGTCCATGGTGTTTGCTTTTGCTCCCCCATCGCGGTTTCACTGTAATACCAATTCGTGAAAAGGGGACCCTCAAAACAACAAACACCTACCCACTTCTTAGGCAGAAGGCTTGTCCACCTTACAGGTCCTTCACCTCTTCGCCCAGAAAACCTCCTGGGGCCCAAACTTTTTTTAAGACAGCCCAAAGGCTTAGGTTGGCACCGAGGTCCCTCCCATAGTAACATGATCTTCCCAGGTACCATTTCTCTCACAAGTGCTACAAGGTCCTCCAGATTTGAGAGGTTAGAATAAGTTTGTACCAACTTTCTCCCGTCGTCGGTTTTAGTAGGGGAACCGAACCCTCCGAACCCAAAAAGTCTCTGTGGAGCAGGGCACCGTTCGCTGGGGGACCTGGGCTATGTCAGTGGAAGGGATCGCGATACGTCTGGCCTTGGCCTGTCCTTCCTTGGCTCAAAGCGCCCGCTTTTTGCCATCAGCTGCCCCTTCTTGCCGGCGGCTTGGGTTTTCGCCAGGGTGTTGGGCGGCTTAGAAAGAGATTCGGATGCCTTCAGAATGGAAATGGAAGCTACCCCTAGAACAAGAACCAGGGGCTCAAACCATGCGGAGTTTTTGTCTTTTGGCGTTGGCCCCTCAAACAAAAGGGCAACCAGCAGGAAGACACGCAACCGGTTAGGCCGAACCTTTGAACCCACCGAACCGCAAAGCCCCCAAAGCCCCCAAAGCCGCCGCACCCGCTCAAAACCGCTGAAAACCACTCAAAAACCGCTCAAAACCGCTCCAAAACCGCTGAACAACTGAAAAACCGCTCCAAAACCGCTGAACAACTGAAAAACCGTTGAACACCGCTCAAAAACCGCTGAAAAACCGCTGAAAAACCGCTCCAAAACCGCTCAAAATCGGTTTCCTGAAGTGGAGCTCGGAGCTCAGCACCAGGGCCCGAGATTCCTCGGCTCGCCAAGGCGCGCAAGTCGTTGGCGCGCAAGTGTCCGGAAGTCGGACGTGGGGGGGGGGGGGGGCTGTGGGAAGGGGGAGGACGAAAAACGCAAAGCAACGGAAAGGTGCATTTTCTGGCTTGTTGATCCCGAAAAGCTTCAAACTGATTCTGGATTGATTTCTTCCATTTGGTGGTTCGAGCGGAACAAATGAGAACAAATAGGTCCAGTAGTGAAATAGATTCCAACTTTAAAACCAACGGGGGAAAATAAACAAGTATTCCTTTCAGCAAATGGAAGTGATCCCTAAAAAGTTTAAACTGATTTAGTGGCATAGGTCATGGTTCCCTCCTAAACTCTGAAAGTCTAAATGCCTAACAAGTTGGCCTGGGATGAAGGGCGCCCTGTTTGGGAGCTTGACTGTTAAAAGGGAAACCTGTTGCAAACAAAAAGCGACAAAGGCAGGATCGGAGTTGCGGGCTGAAATAAATCGCTTTCGTGTGTGCCACTGGAAACTGCATTTTTGGGCGTGCAGCTGCATCACCAGCATCGCCAAGCGAAAAGCAGAAGCTCGATTTTGTTGCGCCTGCTGCATTCCCAAGGCACGTTGCCAAGACATTGTCGTGCCTCCTGCCTCTTACTGCAGCACCAGCATTGCCAAGGCACCAGCAAAAGCAAGACAACAGAAAGTTGGCTCACAAGGGTCGCTTTGCCCAACTCTTTTCACCGGCCTTTTTCTAGTGCGGACCATTCGGTTCTTCCACGGGCAGTTGAAGCAAAGGACAACGTACAGAATCTCAAAGGCGCCGCAAAAGACGCCCTCCCGCACTTCTCTGTGCCATGGTCAACACTCCTTGCTTGGTTTATGGGCATGGTTCCCTGCACAGCAGCCAGGATGGTCATGAAGGATTCTTGCCAGGTGGCTGACCATCCAACGTTTGCTGCACGTACAGGAACCGGTCTAAAAGACCATGGCACATACTGTAGATGGACGAAATCCATTTCACCACCTAAGAAACCCTGGTGTCTGATGATTCCCCTGTAAGTAGCAAACAAACACACTTTGAAACCAAGGTTGACACCCTAACGTTTGTTGCTATTTACAGGGGAATCGAATCAGACACCAATGTCTGAAGGGCGGTGCGATGTCTGGATTTCCAAACCATCCACAGTAGTGCAGCGGTTTAAGGGTAGTTATAGTGAGGCAAAACATATATACATATATATATATATATAAACATACACACCGTTTTAATCATCTTAGAATCTTGGGGTCCACCCCGGATAAACGATGCAAACCTATTATAATCATATTGGTGGGACCAACAAATGGCCCTGGTTGCCCTCTCTGTTTGTCTTCGGCCCAAGGCTGAGGAGCTCCTAACTCGGGAGTCGGGCTTGGCGGTTGTTCCACAGACTTCTTGGGCCGAAAAAGACCTCTACACCTTCTTGGGCCAAGACTAAAATGGGAGTGGCTCAGAATTGAAGAGCTAGACGCAGGTTTTAGTCAGCTTCCATTTACCAAGGCGCCATTTGTGGCACATGTTTTTGAGCCACAGCCAAATAAGGGAAGAGAGACACCCCGCAAAAAACGTGTCAAGTGCCCCCTGGCTTGGGTGAGTCGTTTGGTGGAGGGAAATCAGGGCACAATTTAGAAAAGAATAAAAACAAGAGACTACCAGAGCATGACTGGATGGTCCGGTACTCAAGTGCGCACAGACAGGCCAATTGGAATCCTTGTAGTTGGAGGGTACTACTTAATTATTTTCGAGTACTTTACACGCCACCAGGGAAAGAATGGAAGAGGGAAACGCAATCAACAATGAGGTTTCTCAAAATGGGGGACTTTCTTTTGTGTTGGTGGATGAAGGGTGGACTGCCTGGCACGTGGATTTCGTCCGTCCACGGTATTGCAAGAAACCTCCCAACACAAGGTGAGTTCCCTTTTAGAAAGAAAAGTATCTACTGTTGGGGGGGGGCGTCTGCTTAGTTCACAAGGAAACACCCTCGGAAAGGTTTCTCAACATGGAAGATGTTCTAGGGTCGGCATTACTTTCTCCCCATCAACCAATTCACAAAACAAGCCCAGGTGATAGCCCCAACAGACCCGGAACCCCGGAACCCTCCTGTTGAACCCTCTGAAAGCTGCCCCAAACTAACTACTCCGGAGCCTATCGACCCCATAGCTTTCAGCTGTTGGGGAAACAAGGTCATCACCGCAAGTATCGGCTTCCTCTTAGTTTCCCTCCAACCATCCCAGGTTCACCTATCAAAGACACCCATCTCCCCCCCAAAACAGCTTGGCTAAACCCCCGAAAACCTCCCAAAGGCTTCTCCAAAGGCTGGGGTTTCCTTTGGTTTCCCTCTCAACACCCACTAAAAAGCCGGGGTACCAACTCGAGTTCCTTTCCTTTCCCCTTAAACACCAAAAAAAAACGGGGTACCAACTCCGCAAAAGAAGAAGAAGACAAAAGCTGGGCGAGACCTTTTCCGAGACCCGAGACACCCGAGACGAACCCTCTCCGTCGAACCCCCCCCCCTCCGTCTCAGGCGCCGTGGCCCTCTCGTTCCGCTTCCGCGCCAGCTGCGCGGCCTCCGCGCAGGCGCAGAGCGCCGCGTCCCACTTCCCCACGCCTTCGCTTCCGTTCCGCTTCGACTTCCGATCCGCTTGTGGGGGTGGTGGGTGGGGGTGGGTGGTGGTGGGTGGGTGGTGGGTGGTGGGTGGTGGGTGCGCTCGATCGACTGACCCGACTTTCGACTTCTTCGACTTCCGACTTCCGCTTCCGATTAGAAAGGACGGCCCGGGTCGGCGCGGGTGGGAGTTGGAGTGGGCGATTTGGAGTTGGAGTGGGCGGTTTGGAGTTGGAAAGGGCGGGTTTGGAGTTGGAGAGGGCGGTTTGGATGTGTTGGTCTCTGGGAGGGAGGGAAGTATTCTGTTGCCCCAAAACAAAGAATGTTCGAGGGGGGGGAGGTTCTCATTGGTTGTTTGGCACAGGAGTTGGATTGGCCAAGACAGGGCTGCCCGTTTTCAGATCCCCGGAGATTTTTGCTGGACCCCAAAATGGTGAAATGGGCTCTTGAACAGGAGAGTTGGATACCTCCAAGGGAAAGCGTCCCAAACATAGGTGTCCTTCTCGGTTGGAAATAGATGGGTTTCCCTGGTAAATGATTAAACCATGTAAACCAGGGCCATCTTTTTTCGACCAAAACAACCAAAAAGGACGCCTATGGTCCCAAAAAAAATATTTTGGCTTGGATGTGGTTTTGAAGCCCAGTTCTTGAGGGAAAAGTGAAACAACCACTACCTCAAGGTCTGAAACCCACTTGATGTCAACCACTTCCTGGATTTGGAGTTGACCATCCTGGTTGTGAACAATAGAGAACTTGGGTTTTCTCAGGCAAGCTTCAGGTGGTGGTTTGGAGTCGTGGTTTGGATTTGGATTCAAAGCCCTAGTGCTTGAGGGTGAAGGGGAAACCCGGACCTCCCGCAAACCACCGTGGTGCAATAGCAGTGTGGAAGAAACATGCGTGCTTGTCTCCAAATGGAAGCACCCAAAATTGTTTCAGCAGCCCGCTAAAAACGTGTCGTGCTTTTTGCCAGGACCGAAAAAGGATCAACACGGAAAGGAAACATTAGATACGTTCGAACCCACCTAAAACCCTGGTTTCGAGACCAAAGAGCACCGTGAGCCTCGATGGTCTCGCGCCGATTTGGGATCGTTGCACCGAAACTGCACCCTACGATGGGGTGTTGAATGGAGATCACCCCAGAACCCGGTTTTGGCAATGCTCATTATTGTTATTATAGTTACCCTCCCTCCCACTAACATGGCACCAAATCCTTTTCTTCCAGGTGCCCTCCCGCACATGCTACGGGATTCTGGCAAGTCCTGGTCTCACATCTGTATTCAAAATGGCACTTCAGCACCTCATCTCAGACATGTGCGTCTCAAGATGGGCTGAACCCCCGTTTTCACGGCTTCCCGTATGAATTCCCTTAATCCCAAGCCAACAAAGGGCACACAGCCAAAAAATCAAAAGACATTGCCGGATTTAGTCGATTACACCCGCGGGTGGTCAGAATGAGTCATAACCAACACCTGGCATTAAAACGCTCTACTCCCAATCATGTAAAGACTCTAAAAAGCGGCTGCACCCACTATCTACTCGGGTTGTGACTGCACAGAATGGCAACCCGTGAGTCAACTCAGGCCAGACCTCCAGACCTCAGCAACCGTCGAAAAATAATCGAGTCACCCCTTCTCGTTGATTTCCTGGAGGGCTCGAAGCCGCCTCTAAAACTTAATCGGGGCAGGGGTCTTTTCTTAGGGAACCAGGAAACAAACAGAAAACGCACTGGAGGTCTGGATAAAACGCGCAGAACCCGCCCACGACCTGCTTCCATGTACGAATACGTCCCCAGGAAAAAGTAAAAACATCCGTCCAGTAGGCTTTCCCTGTGAAACCAACGGAGGGAATCAACAATTAACAATATTCTGATATGCAAATTTGAAACTTCGCCAAGGTGCTTGCTTCGACCTCACCCACCGCGCACAGCGTGCTGGCAATGAGACCCTGCGAGCCGGTGACTTGTTTTCTTCTTAGGTGGGCTGGAACTTAGCTCAGCCACTTACCATGGTTGTACGTCCGGTACAACTAGGGGTACTAACCATTTAGCCAAGCTCCAGACTATCTAACCGTTTACCCTGTTCTCCGGCTGGATGGGAGGAATCCCTGAAAAGGCTGTTGAAACTTTGATTTCCCCTAGAAAATGGCCTCAAAGGGGGTGCCCACCAAGAAATACCCGATTGTTGGGCATTGATCTCGCGGCTCTTGCGAGCGTTGATCTGGTCCCAATGGTTCTTTTACTCAACCCTGCCCTGAACAACACTTGAAAGGCGTCTGAGAAAGGAGCCCTACAAAGAAGAAGTGCCCTTTAGGAAAAAGGTTTGTGTATTTTTGATGTTCTCCAAAAGGGAGACAAAGGCAACCATCTCCTCTTATGTGTCAAATAGGAACTACTTGCCTCGTGTTCGAGGACTGCAGCGCCGGACCCCATACATGTTTTTGTCTATAAGGTTGGACCCCCAAAAAATGGCAACGGCGTTCCTTCCCTTCTACAACCACCAAAAACAAACGGGGTACTCTCAAAACAAAAAAAGGACACCCCCCCAGCTCTCTTTCCCGAGGAAAAAAAACAATTTGCATCAATCCGGCAACGCCGTGGTGACTCCAGAAATCCCCGCAGTTGTGCCGGACTCCAGCCTTCAGGACCCGACGGGTTTTTGTGGTGGTTTCCCTGTAAACCAACAAAGAGCCGCGCACCGTCTCAAAAACCATGGTAGACGGTTCATAAACCCCATCTATACCAATGGAACCCACCAATTTTTAACCAAACCGATCTAAAGGACAGCTATAGGTCCCAGAATTAGAAGGTGGGTGTCAAACCAAAGTACCGAGAACATGATCAAGGGAGATTCATATTCCCAACAGCCCCAGATCCCCAGATTCCCAGATCCCCATCCAATGCCCATGTTGTTTGTATGTATTTTGCCTCATCTCCCCCGACAGCGGGCTTCTCCCCTCAGTAACCATCCCACGCTCCCCCAAAAAAAAACTGGCTTTCCGCCGCCCGCCTTGTCCTGCAGCTTCCGAGCCAGCAAAATGGCCTCCTTCACCGGAGTCATCACCTTGCTCAAGTTCCGGAACACGATCCTCGGCTCGTGCAGCGGAAGGGTTGGACATCCCCGATTTTCCAGGTTTTGGCCGGAATAAAAAGAAGAAGAAAAACGGCCCAAACAAGGGCGACCAAGTCCCAAGAAGACGAGCCGCAGAGAAACCGCCTGAACTTCCTGCTGATTTCCTGGAAAAGTTCCCAGAGCTTCAGACCCTTTTCGGCCAATGAGATGCTCAAAGCGCTCGAGTCGCAAGGACCCTAAAATTTGTCGGGAAAATGCGGGAAAGTGCATGAAAAGGCGCAAAAAAAAGAATGAAGGACCCTAAAATGAGAGATGTGCCCACCGGATCATATCTCGTCCCCGACGGGCCGTGATAGGCCATCTCCGAAGGGTCACGATCACGGCGGAGCCGAAGCGGGGTGCACCCTCCCATGGCACGCTCTCCAAGCGGGTTACATGTCCCGATCGACATCAAATCGCAATGAAAAGCACGTTAACATCTTGTCTACCCAAAATTCTACTGTGGATGGACTTAAAATCCACTTCGCACCAGCTTGAAACCAAGGGAAACCATTGTTTGTTGCTATTTACAGGGGAATCATCATTCTCGGGTTTCTTAGGTGGTGCAGGAATCGTCCATCCACAGTATGGAAAAGAATGAGAAGGGCGGAATTCCGCACCTATACATGGCTGGGACTTTCCCTCACGCTACACTCGTTTTTGATTAGACGTGACTCGGATTGTCACATCTGTTCGAGCATCATTCGACCCATAGAATCAAAGGATCCACCCCTTGGCGTTGCTTAGAAAGGTCCCCCCAAACCAAAGTCAGGTCGGGGGGGTTGAGAACCTGCTAAAGGGACCATGGTCTGTGATACCAGACTACTTTGTCACTTAAACGAAACTTCAAATCCCATTCGGAAGCGCCGTTTTGAGGCGTCCCTTTTGGGGGTCCTCTTAAATGGAAACCAAAGGGGCACCCTCCAAATCATTTAAAAAACTGAAACTGGTGATGGGACACCCTCCCATTTTGCCTCTTTGCTCCTGTGGGTAAATGGTCATGCGATCCTTTTATGATCCGTTTTTAAAAATGGGGGCCATTGCGCTCTTTTTTCCAGGCCCTTGTGCCTAATTTGTTGACCCCGGATTCATAAACCCCTAATAAAGAGGGGGGGTGGTAAGGACAAGGAATCCCACAAGGGGACACCTCTCCAAAAGCAAGTCAACCCGGGGCAGAGGTGTCCTTTTGGAAAAACTAGATGGCCCTGGTAGATGATTCAAGCAACAAATGTTACTGTGGATGGACGAAATCCTGCATTAGTTGGAAACCATGAAAAACCATTGTTCGTTGGCATTTACGGGGGAATCTTCATGTCAGGGTTTCTTAGGTGGTGCAGGATTTCGTCCATCCCCTGTATGTCTTCAGCAAGCTGAAGAAAAAGAACACCCATGGAGATGTACCTCGTGGGGTGCCTGTCCGGTTCTGGGCTTAAAGCCAAGCAAGGCCAAAGCAAGGCCAAAGAAGGCCTGCGGTTCTCACTTCCGAAGGAGTTGGGCCCCCAGAAAACCACTCAACAGATTGAAGTCTGTGCGGGAACACATTATCTAGGTCCTCCAGTAGAGAAAAACCATCCCCTAGGTCCTCCAGATTTGAGAGGTTAGAATAAGGGTTCCCGATTTTTTCTCTGTAGTCTATTTTAGTAGGGAAAAACCTCCCCCAAAAAAGGGGAGAGAAGGGCACCTAGCTGGGGGACCTAGTTATGTTGCCGGTGGGGACCGGGTGGACTGCATAACCGCGAAATGGCCTTCCTTCCCAATTTCAAAAAGCGATGATCAAGTCCATGATAGCGGAAGTGAGTCATGAGTCCTGGGGCTCTAGATCGGTAGTGTTTAAAACCAACAGGGGAAAATACAAACTATTCTTGAGCAAATGGAAGCAACCACTCGGCTCGAGACTCAGTCGCCTGGTCACCGAGGCACTTCTGGGCCGCGGACTCTTCCAAACCCTCGATCTGCTTGGCCACCACCTGCCGCTGTCGTTTTCGGAGTTCGCTTTCGTCGGCAAAAGGACGAAGACTCAAGCTGAGTCGTTCCGTTCGCCCTTGAAGGGCTTCGTATCTAGTCGCTGTAGCTACAGGGGCCTCTAGCGGATGTAGCTATAAGAAGGGTACCCCTTTTGGAGTGGTGAAATCAGGGAAACCAAAAGGAAAACCGTTCAGCTATTTTGGGGTCCAAAAAAATATACAGGCTGTGGCTCGGTGTTTTTCCCCCAACGGCTGTTATGGGGTCGATAGACCAGACAGGCTTGTTCGGGGTAGTTTGGGGCAGCTTTCAAGGAGGAATCCGGACATCCAGGGCCTTTGGGGATACCGCCTGAGCTTGTTTGAGGATACCCTTTTCGGTTGGTTTTGAAGGGATACCAAAAGAGAAAAAAAAAAAAAAAAAAAAAACAGTGTGGGGGTCACCTAAAAAACTAAAGCAAGTGGATGTGTCCTGTAGACTTTTGGTTGTGGTGGTTGTGACAGTGGAGGCAAAGCGAATTGAAACCAGCCTGGAGTTCCTTTTTGAGAAACCCATATAACTCAGAGCATAGATTTTCAGACATTGCACCATTGGGCTCTATTTGACAGGGGCTGCCCACTTGCAGCCCATAACTCATGAAAATATACCCCGTACTCCAAATACCCGCTTTTTTCAGGGTATTTTTGGGAAAACCGATCGGTTTTCCATGGTAAATACCTCCTTTTTTAGTGGGTCGACCTCATACCCTGAAAAAAAAAGGGGCCCTTGGGTGTAGGGGGTATATAAAAACTCATTCTCAGCTCCCCCTGTTTGGTGGTTCGGATTCGTGAAATGGAAGTGAGATGGAAGGGGTTCCCATCTGCAAGAACCCGAGCTTCAAATCCCAAGTTACCCATCCAAAACGGCAAAGGGTTCCCTTACTCGCTGGCTGAGTGGATGGCCCCAAAAAAGTCCAAACTTTATATATACCGCTAAATTGGTCCAGCCCCAAAAAGTTTTTAAAGTTCATGAACTCAGGCAGTGAGCTTAGCAACTGTCTCCCTTTCAAGGCACCGGCCACCAAAAAGGAGGCCTTGCCAAGATGTGTTTCAAGCTAGGGGAACCGGATCGGTTTAACGCCTTCCCTCGCCCCCTCTTCCCCTGATTTCGGTCCTTTTCAAAACGTCGGCAAAACGAAGGCCATTCAGTTCGGGCGCCAGGGAAATCGGCGGACAAGGCTGAATATGGCTGAGGTGCGGGTACCCTTCCTTTGGGGGTTACAAGGTACTTGAGCCAATCTTAACTTCGGCATTTCATCCGGACCGTAATCAGGCCTATTGCTCCCCATTTAGCAAGGGAGTGATCTGGTCTATTTTCAAGGGTTCCTCTGACTAGCGGGTTCACAATCCAAAGTCACCCAAGTGAGTCACAATCAAAACCTGGTGCATAAATGGTCGACCCCGCGTCTGCACCCATTTACGGCTATACCCTTCATCCCCGGGTCCTGATTGTGGCTCATTGAAACCCATGAGACCCATGAGACCCATGAGATTCATGCCAGACCTCCTGCCGGGCAAAACCGTCATCTGTTTCGCAGGGTACTTAGCAAGTGGTTAAGGGAATGGCTCTAACCCAGTGAACGGAGACTTAGAACCAGGGCTTTTGCGAGTTATCTAGGCATGGTTGTTAATAATCACTTATTAAGTACCATTTAGGCCCCTTTAAGTAGATGAAGGTTAGTATGGGACAATCCCAACCGCAAATGGGTTGGTAGGTTATCTCACCATGGTTGCTAACCACTTACGAAGCACCTGCCCCTTCTACCAACTGCCAAACTGCCACCCACCCACGGCGTCGTCGAATGGCTGTCCAGTAGTGATAGATTCCCTTTAAAACCAACAGGAGAATTAAACAAAAACAAAAAAACTGTTCAGCAAATGGAAGTATCTAGAGGAAAAAAAGTTTCAACCGACGTTCAACGCCCACTTCACCTCGGCTCCGTCGATTGCGTCGGGCGCCTGTGAATGCATCTGGGCCTCCCAGCTCAGCATGTCCGCCACCGCGTAGCGGTCCCCCGCCTGAGGCGAAGGCTCGCGTCGAAGGCGCTTGCGCGTCGAAGGCGGAAGGCGAGGCGCCGGAGAGCGAGCCGAGGGCTTTTTGGCGGACACCGAAAAAGGGAAGCGAAAACGAGCCACGAGCCACTTCTGAAGGGGCTGATTCCTTGTCCATTCTTTTCCAACCCATCATTCTTTTCAAAAACCGGATCTGTTCCCCCTGGGTTTTTAAGATTCCAGAAAAGATTCGGATCCCTGGGTTCAGAATGGAAATGGAAGGTACCCCTAGAACTCTCCTTTGACCCCCTGCCAAGTGGAACGAAACAAAGGTAGACCCCCCCAACAAGAGTGCGAAACCTGTTGGACCCCGCGAAGAAGGAACACATAAGTCCCAAACCAAACCAAGGCAGCAGCCACAAAATGAAAATCATTGCTGCAAGGGAGGAACATCGACAATGAGGGTTCGAACCCCAAAAGAAATGTTCACCCCCGAGACCGTCCTCAAGTAACTTGCGGCGGTTGGACCCCTCTTTGGGCCATAACACTGGGACGTACACCGAAACATGTCTTTTCTGACTCTGTTTCACATTGTGTCTAAATATCCAGGGCTGTTGTGCTTTTGTTTTTGTTTTTTGGCTTTTGTTCAACTAGGGCTGGTTTCTTTACTGCTGGGTGGGTTGGTTGGTTGGTTGGCTGGCTGGCTGGCTGGGTGGTTGGCTGGTTGGCTGGTTGGCTGGTTGGCTGGTTGGCTGGTTGGCTGGTTGGCTGGTTGGCTGGTTGGCTGGTTGGCTGGTTGGCTGGTTGGCTGGCTGGGCTGGCCAGAACTTGCTGGTGCGAAATTGGTAGGGAATGAGAAATGGAATGAACCAGTTTTGGATTTGGATTCTCTAATAAAGGAAGTCAAATCGGTTGCATGGTTTCACTAGTGGTCATTCCAATTCTCATTCCCTGCCTATCGAACCAGCGCTGCCTATCGAATCAGCAAGGAAAGGAACTGCGATCTTCTAAATTCTTTCACTTTCTCGAAAACCCAACCACTTCACCAACCCAACACCTCAAAACCTAAGGACACGCATCCGCATGACTGGGAACTGGAACCCCCCAAGCTTTGTCTCCAGCCAATAGTCGTCGACTCCGGCGAGCTGACGGCCGAGCCTTCCGGCAAAAGATCACCGCCTCAGAGGCCTGCTTGGCAGCGTCCTCGGTTCTGTCAGGAAAACCGACCGATGTTCTTATCGGAGAGGGATCCTGATGGAGCCAGAAAAACCAAAAAGCCAAGGAACCACGTTAACACCGCTGTGATATGTTGTGTTGTGCGATTGTGCTTCTTTGTTGTTTTGACAAAATGATGGTTCAGGAGAAAAGAAGATTCAAGCCCTGTCAGGGGATGCTTTCGATTTTGGGGCTTCACGTCTGAATTCTGAAGCACAATCGCTTCCTTCCGGTGTCCATGTGGGTATCCTTGCAACAAGGACACAGTTGCTGGTCGGTTTTGAACAGGGATCCTTACATTATACACCTGTTGAAAAAGCAACATGTAACTCAAATGGTTGCAAAATGAATTTCTTTTTTTCGGAGCCCCTTCAATGAAGGTTCCTTGTTGTCAGCTTGTTCCAAGAGGCAAAAGGTGTGTTTTCGCCCCATCTTCTGGGGTTCCCCCGGGAAGGCGAAGTCAATGAAAAATCTCCCCAAAGACACCGGGACCAACACTAGGTCCTCCAGATTTGAGAGGTTAGAATAAGTTGGTACCAACTTTTTTCGGTTTTGTCTGTTTTTTAGTAGGGGAGCCCAAAACCCCAAAAAAAGAAAGAGAAAGGCACTACTGGGTGACCTAGAACAGCTGGCGCAACTGATCCGCTGGGTTTGGTACGGCCCTTTCACAGGAGATCCCTCAGCGTTGACAGTTTTAGGAAGTACATGTGTATGTCTTTCTCGGGGACCAAAGGAAAGCTGTTGAGCTATTGTCGCCAACTTCAATCTAGCAATCCTCAACTAACGGGAGTGCCAAAACGTGGGTTTGTCTCAAAATAGGGCAACCTCTCTCTCTCTCTCTCTTTCTGGCTGCCCTTTGAACCCTCCTGAAAACGGTGACCTTTTCAAACAAAAATAAACGACCCAATTCTACATTTCAATATGGACCCTTTGGTGGACAGCATTAGGGGGGTCCCGATTCATGTCCACCAACCACTTTTGGGGTGGTTCCAACTCTTAAAATCATAGCCTCTTGAGTGTGTCTCAACGTAGTGGACCCCTTGTTGGTTGGGTATTTTGTAGGGAAATCAAAAGGACACCAACCACTAACACCACGCCAAAAACGGTACCGAGTCTCAGAACAAGCCCCACCTCCCACCCTCCACTTCACCCCACACCCAGAGCCCTAGCCCTGCTCCGAACCAGAACCTAGCTTCATGTTGGGGAGAAGAAAAAGTGCCACGCCCCTATGTCTTCTTCAAGGTCCCCAAAATGGCCAAACGCTTCCTTTTGGTGTCCCTTTAGAACCCACAAGAATGAGACACCCTTAAAGGACAGACCCTCAAAACAAGACACATCCACATCTGTTTCAAGGGACCCCCCCAAAAAAAAAAAAAAATATTGGCGGTGTTCCTCTTGGTGTCCCTTTTAAAACCCATCCGACCAGAGAAAAAAACATCTTATTTGAGGGACCCACCCAAAATGGTGGTTTTCCCGTTGGTGTCCCTTTTAAACCCCACAAAACGAAAAGGAGGAAGAAAAAAAAACAGGTACCAACACTCAAAACACCCGACCCCTCTTCGTCTTTCGCCGTCCTCGGGCCGGTCCCGCTCGCAGCTGGCGGTGCCCAGCTTCCTCACCGCCTTCGCCAGCAGCTGGGCCTCGCCGGCCGCCTGATCCGCGCTTCAGGCGCTCGGACGGGCGAGGGAGTTGGTTTTGAGGCGACACGGAAGTGGGGGGCATGCCGCAAGGAACCCGCGGCAAGGAAACAGGGGCAGAGGGGTGGGTGGAGGGTGGGGGGAAGAATAGTTAAGAAAACCAAGAGGATACGAGTGCTCTGCCATTTGCGAAGAATTACATCCCCTGGAAAAAACAGAAACTATGTCCAGGAGTGATAGTTTCCCTTCTAAAACCAACTGGGGAAAGTAACAAATATCCTTGCAAATGGAAGATGCTACTTTGGTGCCAGTTTGCATTTTCCAAAAGGAAACTACCCTCCTGCCCTATTTAGCTAGGTCCTCCAGTAGAGAGGCTAGAATAAGGGTACCGATTTTTTGTGTAGTCTATTGTAGTAGGGGAACCCTCCCCCAAAAAAGGGCCACCTAGGCAAGGAACCCGCGGCAAGGAAACTGGGAGGAGGTTTTCCATTCTTTTGCTCCAGCTCGATTGGTTAAATCATGCAACCCTTACTGATGTTTTTTTTCTTGCTCCAATTCGATTGGTGAAATCAGGCAACCCTTAATCTGTGACTTGGATTGGTGGCTTTGATTTGGATTTGATTTGCCCTGGTTCTTGTAGAGAAACCCCGAAAGACCACCAAACCGATTCGGCTCGAAACCAACTGGGAGGAAGTCAATGAAATAGCATTGGTCCTCAACTTTAAGGGGACCAAAGCCTGTTGACCCCATGTTTGTTCACTCAATAGGTGTGGCAGCAGGAGAAATACACCCCAGTGAAGGGCTCCATTTCCCGTTTGCCAGGGAGTGAATGAATCAGACCACTTTTGGAGGGGAACCCAGAAACACCCGCCTTTTGGAGCGGCTCAGGTTGCTCCAAAGGGAAACTACTGTTGGAGTGGCCTAAAGGAAAGCCAAAAAAAGAGGATACTCAGCTTCCCTCTAATTGGCTTGAAGCCCGGTGGTTCGGTGGTGAAATGGAGGGGTTTCCCATTCACCCTCTACAGCAGCCAGGGGTTCCTGGAATCCCCAAACCACCAATCCAAACCGCCACTAAGGGCTACCTGAGATACGATGTTTCTTCCATTTGCCAATATGCCCTGGGAAAAAAAAGAGAATACATCCAGTGATAGCTTCCCTATTTGCCTCAGGCGACTCGGTACTCAAATTAAGAACCAAGGAGGAGTGGCTTCGGACAACCCGCAAAAACTCGGCGCCTTGTGGAGTGGCCCAAAAGAAAACCAAAAGGAAGCTACTGTTGGAGTGGCCGAAAGAAAACCAAGAGGATACGAGTGTTCTTCCATTTGCGAAGAACTGCATTCCCTGCAAAAACAGAAACTATGTCTATGTCCAGTAGTGAAAGACTCCCTTTAACACCAATTGGGGAAAATAGCAAATGGAAGATATTATTTTGGCGCCGGTTTGCATTTTCCGAAAGGAAACTACCCTCTTGTTAGGACAATTGTCTTCCAGGACCCCGAAACGTCCTGGAAAGATACACCGACTTCTATACTTTCTGTGCCAGTGATTCCATTTCCCTTTAAACCATCGTTGGTGGCTTGTGAGGACAGGAAAAAAGAATGGGAAGTTCTGCCCTTTCCTGTATAGTAGGCAACCCAGGGAACCACGCCTGTGCCGTTGATTCCATTTGGGTGTGCGTCAAAATGGCGGGTTCCCACAAATTGTGTGTTGTTGTTGCTCTTTGGTTTCCCTTTAGAACCCCCACCCCCCCCCCCCCACAAAAATTGGAGCCCTGCAAAAAAAAACACACACACACACACACACAAACACACACACACACACACACACACACACACACACACACACACACACACACACACACACACACACACACACACACACACACACACACACACACACGCCCAGTTCCCTTTGTCGGCAACCAAAAATCGACAGCCCGGCTCCCTCCCTTTGAGCAACGCCCGGTTCTACCATGGTTAAGGCTTATATGGCTGTAGGCTGTGGTGGTCAAAACCCAAAAAACCCCGTGAACATCAAAATAGGTGGCAAATGGATGTTCATCCACCCCAAAATGGAACCATAGGTTATGCCCCATGGAGAAATATAGCTTTTACTGTAGCCAAAAGAAGAAGGTAGAAACTGAACCCCTCCACTGTGATACCACTAGGCCTTCCCAGTGACTGACCCTTGACTTGAAGGCCAGGGCGGGCTTGAAAACAAAAGCCAGGCAGAAACGCAGCCTGGAGTCTTGGAGGCTGACTTCGAAAACTACACCCAGTGCTTCCAGCCATTGGTAACCAGGGATAGCTGTCATGTAAAACCTCAAGCTGAGAAACCCTGGTTACCTACTATACGCCTGGAAGCACTAGTTCAATACACGATCAGATAAACTGGCGGGACCAACGTGCTTTTCAACCACCTTGAAACCTTACACCTTGTCCACTCTTGGGTGTGCTACCGTGACAACTAAGCATTGACCTGGCGGTCTCGCGAGACCGCTCCGGGAGTGTCGCCCCTGTTTTGAAACTTCCCTTTTGGATGGTTTACATGTCGTAAACAAATGGAAACGAGCCGTTTGGTGTGCAACCAAATGGCCCGCCTGGTAGATCTTCACGGCCAACTTGGCCTCCGACTCCTCGGTTTGGTGGGCTGGGGTGGGCTGGGGTGGTTGCTTTGAGGATGGCAGATTCTTGATGCATTGCGGAATTCGGTTCACTTCTAGAAAATCGGCTCGAGGCAAAAACACGGCTCCCAAACCGATTGAAAGGTCGGAACCCTGCTTTTTGACACCTGTTTTTTGTAGTAAAAAACGAACACCCAAAGGAAAACCGAAGCTATGTTGGGGGGTCCCCGAAGAAGAACAAAAAAAGGACGAGCCACCTTGCCCAAAACCCTGGCGATTATACCGTAGCAAGCTTAGCCAAACGGCGACCAAAGAACCCCGTGGATCGCCAGTTGCTGCTTCTTTCCATCCTCTTTACCCCAAAAACCAGCAACAGTGACTGAAACAAGCAGTAGCTTGGCTATCTAGGCCGTTGCTTTATTGCCGGTTTGAATCGGTTGAGAAGGTAAACAGCTGCTCTCGGCCAACCTCGAGGCAGTGAAACTCGTTCATTTCAGCTGGACAGTCCACCGCTTTAACCCCTTGGCAACCCCGACCTCCGTTTTGCTTTGGGTCCCTCGAACCCGAGGATGGAAGATCTAGCCCAAAACCGGGGGGCAGAACGGAGATGGGTGTGGCTCGAAATATTGCACGATCGGAGGGGCAAGCCGCAGGTTTTGGTACCCATGTTTCCACTTGCCGATCGGGTTCCATTGTGGAATTCCGGCTTTTTGAGCCACAGCCATATGTGTTTTCCCGCTGTCGGATCTTCCAACCTCCAGATCTGTGGCTTCCTCCTGGCTTCCCTTTCAATGCAAGCCCGAGGCTTGGTCGCCGGGCCTCAAAAACAACCACCGGCCGCTCTGAGAAACGGATCGCTCGCCAAGGAAACTCTCCCCCAGAACTGGCCAAACGTGCCACGCCCTGCGGTGGCTTCCCTTTAGCTACTCTTTTGCAGGAGCTCCCTTGATTCCTTGGTTGACCTTGGAAGGGGAGCAAAAATCTAAACATCAGCAGTTAAGTGGTTGGATTTCAACCACCAAACCAAAAGAAGCAAAAATGGGGGAAAAAAAAAAAAAAAAAAAACGTGCTTCCCGACAACCACCCATGATCTCGGAAAGCCTTTTATACAGCCGAGACTCTTTTGCAGGAGCTCCCATGATTCAAGGCAGCGGCCGAAACCCATCGGAAAAAAAGCCTTCAACGTGATCTGAAGCCTAAGCAAAAGGAAACCAAACCCGGCGCCCAGCCGCCCGGCTCAAGGCAAACAAGGAAAGCTCAAGCGAGCGAGCAGACCAAACCTGGAGGCAAACAAGCAAGGGCTAGGCGCCAGGAAAAAAAAGCCCATAACAAAAATTGAAACCGGCTTCCCATAACATTGCCTGAACATGGAATACTTTTATGTTTTGAACATACCAATGGAGCTCCCACAAAAATGGGTCTGGCTTCCCTTTAGTGTCCATTCACAAAAAAACACCGGCTCAAAAAATAGAATAAAAATGAGTCGGGTTTCCCTTTGGCTTCCCCTTTAAAACCCACCCCCCAAAACGGCTCGCGAGAAAACAAAAATCGCCGCTAACCAGATCCAGGCACCGCCTCCTCCGGCTCTTGCCGGTACCTGGGGCTCGGAGCGCATCATTCGGCTCGGAAAAGTCGAGAGGGTTTGTCTGGGCTCCTTTTTTGGGGGTGGTTCCTTTTTCTTATGTGTGTGTGTGTGTTTTTGTTGTAGGGCTCCTTTTTCTTTCTTTCTGTTTTTTTGGGGGGGTTCTAAAGGGAAACCAAAGAGCAACAAAAAAACGAATTTTGTGGGAACCGCCATTTTGACGCACACCCAAATTCCATTGTCACCTTATTCTGGAATTTGATGGCCCTTGTAAATGGAGTAAAGCCTCAATCTAAATCAGTGGAACCCATCTATTTTTCAACAAACTAACCTAAAAAGGACATCTATGTTCAAAGACCCTATGCGGGGGGGGGGGGAATTGGGGTTGGGGCTTTGGGGAGGGGGCTATCTCTTATTCACCTCACAAGGCCTTCAGGGCTCATCCTTGTCTTGACGGGCCACGACAGGTGGCTTTGGATTGGCGGTGGGGTCCCCCATTTGCCCTCAGGATTCAAACCAATCCAAACTGCGAATCAAGGGCCAACTGAGAGTCGGGGTCTGAGTCTGATGGTTACATCCACAGGCACCAAGTGGTGAGGTTGGTGGTTTATCAACCATTCAACGTATTCAACTAACAACTAGGATTTCATAGGATATTCCTAGGGTTTCATAGGCTCCTACTACTGATGGACAAACCTCCTACCGGGATAATCCGCCAGGTCCCCTTCTGCCAGTTTGGATTTGTGGCTGGAGCTTTATACCAAGAGTGCCCTGTGTCCTATGTGTGTGTGTGTGTGGGTGTTCCTTTTTTGTTTCGGGTTTTGTGGTGGGATACTGGGTGGAGGCATGGTGTAGAAGCATCGCAAACACGGATTCCAACATAAAATCCAACCACCCCTTCCTGTCGGGTGGGGAGAAAAAAATGGCTTTGTGTCTGGTCTGCGACTTACCCCTTAAAACTCCAAGCCCTGGGGAAGTTTTCATCTTTTACAGACATATAGCCCATGTTACCCAAAAAGTTACGAAAAGCTGTGGTTTTAAGAGGTAAGCTTCAGAAAATGGAAGCTCACTCGTGAGGCCTCAAAAAAAACAGCCAGAGGACTTCATGTCAATTGGACCCAGGAATTGGACCCAAAGGCGATCTTTGGACTTGGTGACCTTTGTCAAAGTCGGACATGGGTCCCATGAGCCAGGAGGTGTTCTGACGCGAAGCGCCCCCGACGAAGCTTAGATCGGCCCGATCTATTGACGCGGGCCTCGAAGCTCGGGGTCCCGAAATTCAGCTTGGACGTTGGAAGGGGAGCATGTTTTTTCAGGTTTCAGAAGTTCAGTGGTGATTTCAACCACAAAACCACAATAAGCAAAGATGTAAAATGTTTCTCAACAACAACCATGTAATACCCATCACTTTTGAGGGAAAATCCGCCAGGGCGCATGTAGATCTCGCAGAGCAGCAGGCGAGCCTCGAGCAAACGTTCCAAAGGGCTTTGAGCGCTTTGATTCATGACGTGCTTGTGTCTAAACAAGGGGACACCCCCCCCCGTCCCCGGTCCCCAAAACCAGAGTGGGTTTCCGTTTGGTGTCCCTTTAAACCACAACGTTATTGGGTACCCTCAATCAATCATACCCAGATGTGCCCGCGTATGACTTGGAACGCCCAGGATGTTCCATTTGCAGATGAAACAGCAAGGAAGCCACTACATCTCTACTCTTGGTATGGTAGCGAAAGACTTTGTTTTTTGCAGACCCCCAGTAAGAATGAACAGAACCAAAAAACTAAAAAAACCAAAAAACATGCCAAGAACAGTGAAGCACTGATTCGTTCACCTCCATTTGCTTCGGTTTCCTGGAGAAAAACAAAGAAAGATATGTCCAGTGGTGATAGATCCCCTTTGAAACCAACGGGGGGAAAGCAAACATATTCCTAAGCAAACGGAAGCAAAAAGCAAGTTGTGGGCTTGGACTTTGCCGAATCTCCCACCACCTCAGCTCTGTCTCGAAAATGATAGCATTTAGATTCTGATCCATGCTTGGGGTGCCAAAATTGGGAAATGGACACCTCAAAAATGAGGCTTCCCGTTTTTGTTGGTTCTTCTCGGCCCCGGAAAGGAGACCCTCAAAAAAGACACACCCAGAAAAGATAGTCCTTGCAAAGGGAAGCCAAAGGAAGCGACCAATGCTTGCAGCGATGGCTTTGGTCTGGTAAGACACAGGGACTTACAACCGTCCGTCCAGCGGGTTATAACCAGGGTTACCCACCGGTTAGCCTTGGCTCCGATCTAAGTATCTGGAGATGATTGTTGACCTCGGATTAATCACTCCGAGTTAATTGATATGGTGGGGTGTGCCTGGTTTTAGTGGGGACTCATCACTTTTGGAGGGGAGCACCCCCATATTCATAAACCGGGGTTTATTAATCCGGGGTCAACATTAGCAACACACCCTTTTCGCGAACCGGGGATGCCCAGTAAGCATTGCCCGCATGAGTCTCTTTCCAAGCTCCGGAAGACCCCTGCGTCCTCACCAAAGCAAACCGTCCGACCCCGTAGCTGTCGCGGGAGAAAAGGCAAAAACTGAGCCTCAGCGGCTGAATGAGGTGGAGGAAACCGCTTCCATTCTACTTGTTCAGGAACCTGATCGGTTGATTGAATCAAGTGGAAGAGGCCTGTTCCCATCTTATTGGCTTGGGCCCTTATATGAAAACCAAACTGAACATCACCTGTTTGGGGGTCCAACCTTTAAACAAGGCAATCCATCCAAAACCCATCTGTTTTGTGTTTGTTCTTTTTGTAGTCTTAAGGGAAAACCAAAACTGAAAACCACCATAAAAGTGCATACATATATATATATATATACATATATATATATATATATATGTGGAGGTCCACCACAAACAGACCAACCCCATTCTTAGGCCACCCAACCGCCACCGCCTTCCCCCGTCGCCCCCCTTCGCTTCGCGCCAAACGCGCCTTCGCAGCGCCCATCTCATCCCCCATGTCGTCGAAGGCATAAAGGGCCTCGTGGGCGATCTGGAGGCTGTCGCCTGAAGGACGCGGTCTCTCGGCTTCAAGTTGGGCGCCTTTGGTTTGGGGCAGCTTTCAAATGTGTTCCTTTGCTGTTCCTTTGGTCAAGTTGGGTTCCTTTGGGTTCAAGAACAACTTTCAAAGGTGGTGTGCAACTTTGGTGTTCAACTTTGCTGTTCAACTGTGGTGTTCCTTTGGTGTTCCTTTGGTTGCGCTTGTTTTCCCTTGTTGTCTTTTGGTGTTGTTTTGGAGGCCCTTGTTTGCCTTTCATGTTCCTCTGCTTTAACCAGGTGATAAACAGCACCTGCCAGCTTTTTGGGCGCTGCTCGTATGTCCGAGGTGCGCAGAAAGCGGCGGGCCCGGCTGTCCACGCGGGACACCTGGCACGGCGGTTGTTTCTGGCGTCAGGCCCCACAGCCGCAAATGGGCGGTCGGCCAAGAGAATAGACTAGATCCTCCGGTAGAGAGGTTAGACAGAATAAGGGTACCAACCTTTTTTCTGTAGTCTATTTTAGTGGGGGAACCCTCCAAACCCCAAAAAAAGTTGGCAGAGAAGGGCACCTAGCTGGGAGACCTAGACGACTTCTCAGATGGTCCGGGACTTAGCTTCAATTGCTAGCCACGCTCACTGTAAACCGGCACTCACTAAAAAACCCACTCTAAGCACCCTGCCCCAGGCGATTCCAAAGCTCAGGTCCCCATCAATGTTTCCCGGGTTTGGGACACCTATTGAGTCACCTTGCAAACAAATGGGATCACGCTTCTGGAAAACTCTGGTTGATTCCTTGTCCATCCTTTTCAGCCATCATTATTTTCAAAAACCGATCGCCATTTCCCCGGGGGTTTTGGTGGTTGTCTAGAAAGAAGGATCCCTGGAAAGAATGGGGAAGTTACCCCTAGAAGAACCGATCTTTTTAAGCGTCAGAAAGACACTGAGGGAGTGTAATGCTGACCCCATGTTCATCAACCCCAGTTTATTCATAGCGGGGTGTTCCCCTCCAAAAAAGTGGTCTGATTCCAACCACTAAGCTCAGGCAGACACACACCCCTATTGAGAAACTGGGGTTCATAAAAATATAGGGTCAACATGATTCCTCTTTCCTTTTGTTTGATCCCCTCCAAATCTCTAAACATTCCCTTGAACCCACAACCCTGGCACTTAGGGTACGTGAGTTCACTGGGATCTATGTGGAGTCAACCCCATTCCCCTCCAAATGTGATGATTCCCCATTAAACCCGGCACCTTTTTTGCTATGAATCAACCTGGGGTTCGCGAAAATCTGGGGTCAACATGTTTTCTCTTCATTTCTAAATGATCCCCTCAAAAACTCAACATCCCCTTGACGGGTCCCTTCCCCTTGAACCCACAACCCTAGCAAATGGGAACTTGAGTCATACGAAAATGGGGGGTTCACCAAAACCAGATCCGAGGCGCGCAGAAAGAAGGCATTGGATCGGCTTTGATCTCCCTTGACTTCCTTTTTGTGCATGTAAGGAATTCCACAGGCTGCACCCATGTTGGGCCTCCTTCACCTTCACCTACCCGGGTTAGGACGTCGCTCTTTGGAGTCCTTCGCTGGGATCGGAGCTGTCGCCTGCTGCTTGGCCAAGACGTCCGCCAGCTGCAGCGCCGCCTCCGCCTCGTCCCCCCGCGCGCGCAGCACCGCCAGCTGGCGCCGCCGCGCCGTCAGCAGCTCCGCCGCCTCTCGCAAAGCGACGCAAAGCCACGCCCGGACAAGCGGTTTTTGGAGCTGGGTTTGGGACCCAAAAAGAACACGCGAGAAATTGTGAGTGCTACTTTTTGTTGCTTTGTGTTATACAGTAGTAGTCACAGATATATGTATATATATATAATATATATGTATGTGTTTTTTTTATTTAATCATATTTTTTTTATCAAAAATACACACTAGGGAAAGCCCGCGCCTGTGCGCCCTGCCCAGAAGAGCGTAGGTTGAACATTCCTGGTTGCAACATGTAGATGTCGCAGTTTCCAAACAATGCATTCGACAGCGGAACTGCACTCTTACAGATATGTTCTTTGCAAAACCCACTGCGACATTGCACTTTTTGAGCCCGGCATTCTCGCTCTGCTCCTGATAGTCTTTGGTCGACCTCTAGCATCACCAGCGTGTTCGTCAAAGAAGAGCTTTTCCGCTGACAAAAAGCTTTGAAGCTTGCGGCGATTCAAAGTACGCACACGTGCGGCAAGGTGCCCAAGGCAGAATCGTCTGCAGATTGATTACTTTTTCGGTGCAAAGGTAGACGTTTCGGTGTCCAACGCAAGTGTTCCAAATCAGTCGGCGGCATCCAAGCCTTTTACCAAACAAACTGCAAATTACATTGTTCCATCCCGACATGGCGCCGTCTGTTTCTTGACGGTCTTCGTTGACGAAAGTGGTCGACACTCAGCCCCAGCAACACCGGCGGCGGTTTTCTCACTTTGCGTGAACTAAAGGGGGCGACACCCCCAGCATCACGAGCGTTTCAGTAGACAAACTGATCTTCCGCTCATAGTCCGCAGACAGAGTTGGTCGACACCCTGCACATCACCGGTGATTTTTTAGTAAGGGAAATGGAAATGCTTTTCCGCATTCCAAAGTAGATGGGTCCGCAGACTAAATTGGACGACACCTGCAGCATCACCAGCGCTTTAATACAGAAAATGTTGTTGTTGTTTTGTTTTCCGAAGACGAACAAATTACAAACCTAGGCCGATTCATCGTGCGTACATGTGAATTCAGTACCCATGGACGGGCTTGAATGTGCTTATGCGAAGAGGACGGCAAAAACGCGAAGTCCCAGGACAGAAGAGCCAAGGAGAATGAAACGAAAGCGACCTGTGCAGACCTATACAGCAGCAAGTCCTCAAGAATACAGTTATATATATATATATAATGTGTATATATATATATATATGTATCCATATGTATGTGTATGTGTATACGTATGTGTGTTCTGCCTTGTTCAGCTGTGACATGATCTATCGATGTGCATCTGCACATTTGCATTTGGGTGGGTTGGGCTTTGTGAATGTGAATAAATATATATATATATATATATAAACAAATTGGGGACTCCGAGAAAATGTTGACATCCTTTTTGTGTCCACTTTGCAAAAATCAAAAAGAAGTCCCCCCAAACAAATCACACCCCTTTGTGCATACCTTGATGTTGTGTGTTATTTAGCGTAGGGTTTCATCATTTGAACATGAACAAACATCAATTGTCAATGGTGTGTATTTGTTCGATATGTAGGTGTACATGTGTAAAGGCGTTTCGCGTATTTGGCGGACATTTGTCTGTGGTCTACACATGTGTTCGCCTATATTTGTATGTGCGACGATGCTACATCTACGGTCTGCGTGTATGCAACTAGGTGCGGGCGTGTGCATACGCATAGAGAAAGGGTGAGAGACGTATTGCCATACGCGCCTCTGTAAATACCTATATATATATATACATATTATATTAAGAGGCCTTGCTATGACCTACATTGCCCAAATATACGTATATAATGCGCGTCGTAGGCCGTGAAAAAAAACAAAACAAACAAAAGCTACTGCACATCCATGGTCTTTACTACTTCTGCGTTGGGATATACGCCAATGAGTCTACACATCTACAGGTACGTGATCTGCGCCTACAAACGCATGAGCCTTGGAAGACCACGATGCAACCAACCAACCAACCAGCCAGCCAGCCAGCCAGCGAGCCAACCAACCAACCAGCCAACCAAGCCAACCAAGCCAACCAAGCCAACCAAGCCAACCAAACCAACAAACCAACAAACCAACAAATCAACAAACCAACAAATCCACAAGCCCACAACTCGATAAAAGAAACTCACAAATCGACAAAAACCGCAAAGCCCAAAAACACTACGCAACAACCGATAAATTCGACTTGTAAGTAACCAACAAAAAAGGAAGGAACGATCAAACAAAACAAACAAGCGAGCAAGCAGGCAAGCAGGCAAGCAAGCTAACAAGCAAACAAGCAAACAGGCAAACAAGCAAGCAAGCAAGCAAACAGGCAAGCAAGCAAGCAAACAAAAAACAAACAAACAAACAAACAAACAAACAAACAAACAAACAAGCAAGCAAGCAAGCAAACAAACAAACAAGCAAGCAAGCAAGCAAGCAAGCGAACAGACGAACAGACGAACAAACAACAACACAAACAATCCAATCAACTACTACGCACGCTGCTGCTACTACGCCGACGACTACGACTACTCCTACTCCTACTGCTACTGCTACTGCTACTGCTACTTGTACTACTAGTCAGGTGATTTTTGGATCGGCGGTTTGGTGGTCTTCCGGGGTGGGTCAAACTTCCCAGTTCCCACCGGGCTCCAAACCAACTACTACGACAAGACGAAGACAAGCGGAAAACCCCAAGAACCAGGAATTCAAACCCCCTCCAAGGGTTGCCCCGCACAGCACATGTGGACAAAATCCCCAGTTCCCACCGGGCCCCAGTTCCCACCGGGCTCCACCAACTGCCAAGCGGAAAAACCCGCCTTGGTGTCCTCTCCCAAGTAGATGCAGCAGGTGGCCACAAAGGGCACGGACTTGGCCTCGAGGTACCTTGGAGAGAGGCAGGGAATGAGTTGGAATGGCCCCTATAAACCATCCAACTGGTGGTTTCCTTTTAGGGAATTTCTAGGACCCCTATAGTCATGCAGGTTGGCGGGAAGGAAGGGAAGGGGGGGGGGGGGGCCCAATAAGCCCCAAGTAAGGCCTTACTAAATAGGGGCTTAATGAGGGCTTACTTGGGCTCCCTCCCCCTCCCCTCCCTCCCCCCCTCTACTTAGATGGTCTAGAAGATGGCTGAATGGTTAGCTTTGCCCTGGCTGTGACCCACTTGCCATGGTTGCCAGCCCACTATAATAGAGGGTGTTCCCCTCCAAAAGTGGTCTGATTCCGACCAATAAACCCAGTTGGACCTACTAATCAACCAGGGCGTATTAATCCGGGGTTCCCATTGCAGCCAAACGCCGTTGTTGCAACACCGTGGCGCTTAACCCAGGGTGTCAAATCAGCCGATAGAAAAAGTATCGTCACCCACAAACAGTAGTTGTGCTTTCCAACCCGTGCGTAGTATTAAACTGGGGTCTCCCCAAAAACTACAATATATTTGGGGATAGACTAGAAATGTGAGACAGAACCTGGACAGGTGATTTCCGTGTAACCCAGTGAGCCAAGCAAACCTGTTTCAACTTGCTGGCGCTAATGAACCTAGAGATTCCCTTAAAGGAAACCACAAGGGATTGTTTATACTTCGGCGGTCTGGGGCTTAGCTAAATGGTTAGTACCCCCAGTACAAACTAATTCGGGGTCAACCTTAAGTACTTTTGGGAAGAAATCGCAGCTCACTGCAAATGGGAGAGGCGTCAGCAACCCTCTTTGGTGCTGCGAAGACAATAGAAAGAGGGTCTCGCAAAAGGGTGAATCTTTCACAGGCAGTCCTCAGGCTTGGCTTGCAAGAAAAGAGGGGGGGCAACAGGGGGTGGCGAAGAAACAAACATCAGACCAGCGTAGACCCCAGAAAGCAAGAATTGAACTTGAGCGTCAAAACAGCAGCAGCACAACCGCAAAGGCCAAAAGTTTTAAGAACAACTTTGAGCGCTCGTGTTCTCGCGGCCCCAGCAGCAACCAAGTATGTGCCGACAGCTTGTGGGGAGGGCATAATCCTAACAACTGGTTCCCAAAGCGCATTCGCATTTGCCGAAGTCTGCCATGTGACTGTCATTGCTCGTTTGCACATCAGGGAACCGCCACGAAACTGATATGTACAGACGCTCAAGTGCTTCTCATAATCACTTGAGCACCACCGCCAAAATGATACTCATCTTCAGGAAAAACGGCCCTGCAACGACCTTTTTCACGCCGACGGTTCTGAAAAAAGTGCGCGCTGGCGTGGTGGCCACCCTGGATCGGCGGCCGCTCCGTTTTTGCCCAAAGCGACGGGTCCAACACCCTCGGCTTGAGGGTTCCAGCGGGATAGAAAGTTCTGAGCAGGCTTCGCGAGGTTCGTGGGCTGGAGAAAAAAATAATAATTAACCCAATCTGGAGGCCTCAAGCGACGAAATTGCTCGGCTCATGTGGCTAGGCCTGCATTTAGCCCCCCCGCCCCCTCCCCGAGAAGCAAAACAAAGGCGTTCCAAAGCCCCGAAGCGGAGATGTGACTTCGCCGGGCCGCTCCTCCTTTGCCTCTTGCAAAATCTCCCGCGCCTGCCTCGGCTGCACACCGGTTCCGTGCATGTTTCGTGGCCGACGACTTCCCGTGAAATCAAGAGGAAGGGGACCCCCACCAAGCGGTTCCTCTCAACATGGATGGCACGTGGTGGCCTCTACTTGCCCCTTAGGGATTTGGAAATAAAAGGTGATCACCTTTTGCGGGCATGACGAAAAATGGGTAGCAATGGCAACTCAGGGAAATCAAAAGGTTAAAAGGGCAAGTGAGTCTAATAGTGGATGGCATGCGGTGGTTCCATGTTTGTGGTCAGAGGAGTTGGTAGTTTGGTCTTATGAAGCTAACTCAAGCCTAATCCCTTGGGGAAGTTATGAGGGGTGGTAGGGCACTTAGTAAACTCTTAGTAACCATCGTTTTACTCCACTGCCATGGCGGTTGGTCCGCGTCTCGTGTGTTCTGATCGAATAATTACCAAGCCCCTAAGTAGCTTGCCCCAAGTTCCACCCAAAGGACACCCCACCCCCCACAGCAGTCGCAACCCAAACAACCCAAAACCACAAGACCCCTCCGCCTCCCCAACACGCCCACCCCGCAACCAACCTGGGTCCTAGAATAAGTTGGTACCAACTTCTTTCTGCAGTCTATTTTTTAGCAGGAAAACCCTCCCAACCAAAAAAAAGAAGAAGTCAACAGCACAGAGCTGGGGGACCTAGAAATCAACTGTTTAGGTGCGGCGGGCCTAGAGCATCTTCGTCTCGCGCGCGAGGCGCGTCAGACGCGCGCGTCTTCTTTGGAACTCCAAGCTGCTCCGCCCACTTCCGGGCCTCTTCCACCTGCTTCCGGGTGTTCAGCTTCAGATGCAGGCCAGAGATGAGCTGAATCCTCCAGCCAGCCAGACTCACTCCTTTGAGCCCCAGACAGGGACCCGAAATATGTTTATTTATGTGTTGTTAAAACACACCAAAAAAAAAAACGCGATCACAACGCTTTTGGGGGGGGCCACTGAAAAAATGGGCCCAAAAAAAACTTACTTAATTTTTAGCAGCTAAGTGCTTGGATTTCAACCACTAAACCACCATACGCCAAAATGTGCAAAATGTTTCCCAACAACCAGGGAAAAAGCAAGTCCAAAGGCTCTCAAGCTTTGGGCTAAGCGGCCTTCGGGCTTCGGCCCGGCAGCCGGGCGTGACTTAAGCCCGACTCGCCTTTGTTTGGCTTGACCGGATGTACATCGTGGATACCGTCTGGGTGGTTTTTGGGTGGTTGTTGGGTGGTTTTTGGAAAGAAGGATGCCTGGAAAGAATGGAAATGGAAGGTACCCCTAGAGTGTTGGTTGGTGTTTTTTAGGGGGAAGACCGTTGGAAATGGCAGTTCACTCTGGCAACGCGGATCCTCGAGGCATGTTCATCGTGGTGCCCGGGCTCATTGGATTTTGTCCCCCATCGGTATCGCTGCAAGCGAAATGTTCGGGTGCTTCTCAAAAAAACGGCCCTGAAAATCTTTGGAACTGCTGGTTTCCCTTCTCTTGTGCCCATCATAGATGTGCTTTTGGGAAAATAGATGGGTGTCCCTGGTAGACGAGGTTGAACCGTCTACCAGGGCCCTTGAAACATACTTTCTGGGCTAAACTGAACAAATAGGACACCTATGCCCATCATGTGGGTTTACATCTTTCTCTTGGCTAAACTGAACAAATAGGACACCTATGCCCATCATGTGGTGGAGCCACTCCGCCAGTTTGAGAACGCCTGAATAAAATCGACGCGCATCCCCCGCTAGGTCCTCCAGTAGAGAGGTTAGAATAAGGGTACCCGACTTTTTTTCAGTGGCCTATGTTTAGTAGCGGAAACACTAAAAGGGCACCTAGCTGGGGGACCTAGGTTTGTCTCCAACCCACAGATCCAAAGGTCTCCCACAGATCCAAAGGAACCCTCCCCGAAAAAAGGGGAGAGCAGCACATCCCCCATCCATCCCCAACAGAGGGTGAAAGGGCACTATTGGGGGACCTAGTGTGGGTTTGAGAACGCCTGAATCAAAGTAACGCACATCAGAGGGTTCCCCTCCCAACCAAAAAAGGACCTAAAAGGGAAATGAAAGAAACACCGAAGCCATTTTGGGGGGCTCAAACCGACACCAAGGAGTTCCCCCTTCACACCCTTCCACTTGGATAAGACCCCTGGAAAAAATCAAAATATGTCCAGTAGTCATAATTCCCTTTTCAAAACCAACAAGGGGAACAAAAAAAACATTTCCTTTCAGCAAATGGGAAGAACCTCAAACCGACATCCCTCCCTCCCAGCATCCAAGGGGCTCCCGCGCCAGCCACTCCGCATTTCCTTGGCGCCGCAGAGCCGTCAGCGTCTTGTCCGCGATGGCTCGGGTCTGCGAAGGTTTTCGGCAAAGGACGTCCCCGGTCCAAAATAAACCCGAAATGGTCGGACAATAGGAGAACTTGTGACAAAAAGAAGCACTTTTATACCAAAGAAAAGAAATACAATCGAAAAAATGGCTCCAAAAGCTCGAGTCTCGTGGTTGGTGGGATTTGTGGTGCTTTTGGTTGTTCTTTGTACTTTTGTTTCGTGTTGCTCGTGTTGTTGAAGGAAACCAAACAAGAACACAGGGCACGTTCATAGGCGGGACCCCTACCAAAATGATCCGGACCCCCTCTAAAATAGGACAGCCACCTTTTCATCCCAGGCTACTTGTTTGAGCTGGAAAAAAAACTCTGAGCTACTTTCCGGATGTCCACCTTGATCTTCGGGTCGGCGGGATTTGAGGGCTTCGGATGCCGAAAAAAAAAGAAGATCGCATCCAAATCACGACGCAACTTGGCACATGCGTTTAAGGAGCTGTTTTGCGACTCCGAAACAGGAGTCGGGTCATTGTACTCGGCAAGTCTCGGGCAAGCCACCCTGTTTTGGGGAGCGCGCAGAGGGATGAGGGAGAGAGTTGGGACACATGTCCAGTGCCGGCCCGGAGTTTGAACATGGCAACACATGTTTGAAAACACCTCTGGCGTGGCCTCAAGATGGTGCTGTCCCCAGAATGGGTGCCATCACTTGGCAAAAAAAACAAAGCAAAACAGGAGCCGAGCCCTAATGTGACTCTCTCCTAAACCATCCCTACCCAAAGGGAAAATTGAGGATATGCGCGGTAGGCCGTGTCTATGTAGTGGTCACACACACACACGGATCCTTGACTCGGGTCCATTGAAGTGACATCCTCAAAATTGCCCTCAGATGTCGTTGAAAGGAAACCGGAAGTAATTTTGATAGCCCCTCAAACCTTCAATTGAACCGGGTTCATATGTCCATAAGCATCACCCTAAGGCGAACTCTGTTGACCAACACTACTAAAGGCGTGTACCCGATTTTTGCGCGCATCAAGAGGACGGTTCTCTTTTTTGGGACAACCCCTTTTGTGTGGTTTTTAAGGGGAAACCAACAGGACGACCCACCCATTTTGGGGGCTCCAACCCAAAAAAAAGGACACGGCCCAGTCAGGTTTGATGGTGGCTTGAAAGGGACAAGGACCCCTGTTTGATGGACCCAGCGTCGTCCCTCAAGGCATGTTGCGCCCGTCCTTCTGAAGCTCAAGCTCCTCGTAAAGCGACCACCGCACTCGATCGGGCTGAATGGGCCCCACAGTGAAAACTGAGCATGCGGCATGGTAACGGAATCGTGTTCCTTTTGGTGCTCCTCTAAAACCACACCAAAGTGGGTTTCCCAAAAAAACCACGCCCGAATGAACTCCTGGTTGATTCATACGGGGTGTCCCCTTCTAGTGGTAGTGTGTATCCGAAATTGACATCACGAAGGTTCAATCCGACTCTTTCCGATCTCGTTGCTCGGCGGTTCGAAGTTTCCAGCCGCTGGGACGATGTGCTTCGACTTTTCGGGTTTAGGAGCTATGATAGGTACTCTCCCGTCTTATGGAACCTGACGTTTCGGAGTTTCTGTTGGTTCCATGGCAACACAAAATCGGCTTCCAGAAGGGGATCCAGCCATGAAAGTCTTTTACTATGAAATATCTCATTTTTTCAGATTTGTCCGAAATAATACAAAGAAAAAAGTGGGTGTGTCATTTTTTCGGTGACCCCCAACAATAGGGGTTCAAAAACACACACACCCAGGCAAGCTGTGCACCATGGGGTCCATGGGTACGGGCTCGAACGCACAGCTTGAGCCCCGCATAGTCTTCCAAAACCTTCCCTTTTCAAGGCTGTGGGTCAAAAACTGGGTAGCCCGAAAATGGGACCCTGGTAAGTGGAAACATGGATTCAACCCTGTTTGACCCACACCCTTGTCAGCTTCCATGATTGGAGGAAGGGTACCCTGAAAATCCGACAAGGGACATTGGCACATGAGCTTGACAATTAGTTTCCCTGTCATTGGTGGTACCCTGTGCAAGAACCAGGGTGCAAATCCAAATTCAAACCACCGGGCTCCAACCCACCAATCCAGCAAAGCAAAACGTCGGCTCCTCGCTCTTCTGCAAGAGTTCCACCCAGAGTTGGCGCACCAACAACTTTGGCCCCAGAGCAGGCGCGCGCCGCATATGGGTCAGCAGCATGTCCTCGCCGCTTTGGGGAGGGTGGGCAAAAAATGGCAGCAAAAGCCCGCTGTCCCAGAATGGGAAATGGGTGTGTGTGTGTGTGTCCGTTTTTGGAGGCTACCATTGTTGCGGCGTGTTCAAGGGAAACCAAACGGAAAATCACTGTTATTTTGTGGGTCTCCTAAAAAATGACAACTCTAAATGGAGCCAATCCTGTTGGCATGGAGAACGGAGATTCTTTGCGGCGGTGTGTTTCTTCTCTTCTTTTTTTTGGGCGGGAAGGGGGCCTCTTCGGTGCTGGGCCGGATGGGAAAGAGAGCCTTTTGGGAAACGGATGGACCAATGAATCGTTATGGGCATGGGTGAAGTCGCAAACCTCTTTTCTGAGGTCAGAAGCATAAATGTTCTAGACGGCGGCCCTGCAGATGATTAAACCAGTGGTCACAAGTTCCGGGTTCTCCCCAGCACCAGAACCTTAAGCATTTTCAGCCAGCCATGGCTGCATCATCAGCTATTTCCGCATCATCATTGACAAGTGCCAGCCATGGCTGCATCAGCAGCTATTTCCGCAATCATTGCCAATGCACCAGAACCTGAAGCACTATCAGCTGCATCATCAGCTACTTCCGCATCATCATTGCCAAGGCCAGCACCAGAGCCTCAAGCATTATCAGCCAGCCAGCATCATCAGCTATTTCTGCATCATCATTGCCAGAACCTGAAGCATTATCAGCCAGCTGCATCATCCGCATCATCCACAAGCATTTCTGCATCATCAGCCATTTCCGCCAGCACCACAAGCTGAAGCATTATCAGTTTGCTCCTGCACTTCCACCCCGTTCCACTCCACTCCATTCTTCCATTCCCACTCACTTCCACTCCAACTCCGACAAAAACCCCCACTCCCACTCCCACTCCCACTCCCACTCCACGTCCACGTCCACGTCCACGTCCACGTCCACTCCACTCCACTCCTCTCCACTCCACTCCACTGCACTCCACTCCACTCAACTCCACACCATATCACACCACACACACGACACACCACATCATTTTCGTAATTTGTTTCTTACTCACTTATATTCTGCTGCCCTTCGGGGAAAGCATCGGCGCGCGGATGGAAAATAAGTGCGTAATGGCAACTGCTGGCGGTGCTTGATTTGATCTGCTTGCCTTTTGCAAAAGCAATCTTTGGGGGCGCGTTGACCTGGCTGTCTGCAATGCAAGTTGCGAGCAAGGCGCATTCAGAGCCATGCCCGCCGAAGGATCTCGAGGCACCCCAAGGTCAGCTCCGGCGAAACCGCATCAGACCAGATTTGCCGGTTTCTCACGAATGGATTCGCAACCATCCACAGTATGTTTGGTAGACCACTCCACGGAAGCGATTCTGGGGCCGCGGGCGGCGCTAAGTGCATCTTGTCCAGAATGTCAACCTCGGTCTTGAGACCAGAAATGAAACCATAAGGTATTTACAGGGGGTTGAAACCTAAGGAGTTGAAACCTAAAGAATTGAAACCTAAGGAATTGAAACCTAAGGAATTGAAACCTAAGGGGTTGAAACCTAAGGAGTCCACGAGGTTGCTTAAGGTATTTACAGGGGGATTCCAGGGCTTCTTAGGTGTGAAATGGAGTTCGTCCATCAACAGTAGTGGCAGTCACGGCACCCACGAACGCGGCACTGCCGATCGCGGCCAAACCGCTCAACGGCGAGGCGCCGAACTTCACGCACAGGCCGCTCCGCCATCAGCACGGACCGCAAAAGCAACGCCGCCGCGGGTGACCTGTGTCGGTCACGCGTGCAGAAGAAGGAGAGGGTGATGTCCTCCTCCGTCTCCAAGCGCCACTTGATCGGCCACAGCATCTCGGCCAGCTGATGGCCGTTGATCTCAAGCCACTGGATCTCGCTGTGGCGCCCGTCGTGCGCCGCAATGTCCGACGCTGGAACCTGCGGCAGTCCAGCGGAATCCCGCGACCTCGATCCTCCAGGCCATGAGTCTCAAAGAGGATCCGCCCGGTGCCGCGCAAGAGGACCGTCTGAGATGACACACTGGGGCAATGATGTGGGTTGTTCTCTGTTGGCAGCAAACAAATGTGATGAACCACGACCATCAAACACAAATGACAAAGCACTTCTCATTCAATCCGTAGTTGATCCCTCCGCCGCCTGCATGGCTGCTGCAGCGCCCAGTGCAGCTAGTGCGGCCAGCGCTGCCCCCCACCCCCCGCCCCGAAAAATCCTTGCCAAGCTTCCTGAAGACGTCACCCAAGAGCAGCGAGAAGACAAAGACCAGCAGCAGGAAAGCGACGAACTTTTCATTGGGCCCCACCACGGAGTAGACGATGAAGATCCTTAGGGCCGCGCCCACGTCCACGCCAAAGAGGATGTCGAGGTTGCAGCAATCCCCCGGCCCCAGCCGTCCTGCCTCCTCCCACCTTGCGTTGTTTGAGGGAACCTGAGGAGAGTGTGGATGTTGGGAAAGCCTAGCGCCTGCTGTTCTGCGGCCGTTCCTTGGTTGCTGGGGCGGAGGGCGGGGCAGGACAGGAAAAGAAAAGGGTCGGGGACAGGAAGAGGTCAAGAAACAGCCGGGCTGCCTCGCGCTGCTGTGCTGTCCACTAGACGGCAGTCCCGCCTTACGCCGGTGCGCCCCGGCCGCTGATGGCGCAGGCCACATCCGAGCGTTTGTTGTGATGCCCCACTCCCGATGGAACCTTAAGAGGGCCTGACAGGTGACGTATCACCTGGAGGGACACCTAGTTACACCTACGAAGGGAAACCTCGGAGCCCGGACTTACATAAGGCTTAACCATGCTGAGAAGTACGCACCATATCCACCATACCGCCTTACCAGCCACCCAGGTCCACGCAGTCAATGCGAAATGGTGAAACTATCCGCATCATCATTGCCAAGGCCAGCACCAGAACCTGAAGCATTATCAGCCAGCCATGCTAATTGCCAAGGCAACCTGATGCATTATCAGCCAGCCATAGCTGCATCATCAGCAGCCCCCTACCTTCTGCTCTTGCTTTCCCGGCACTGCATCCTTGCATCATTTATCCGATTCGTTGCGTGCTCATCCCATCCCTGCATCCTTTGCATCCTTTGCATCTGTTGCATCTGTTGCATCATATGCATCATGTGCATCCCCTTTCTACCCGCATCCCCCGCATCCCTTGCATCCCCTGCTTCCATTGCGTCTTGCTTCTCTCTGAATCCCACGTTTGTCCCCGCATCCCCAGCATTTGCAGCATCCCTGCATTCTGAGAATTGCCTGCATCCTCGACATCCCCAGCATGACACCTCATGATCCAGCATGTCCTGCATCCCCCACAGCACCCATCTCTGCCAGGAAAAGCAGTCGAAGAAGCAATCACTTCAATATGCCATATGTCCCTCACGCGTGCCACCGCTTCAAAAAAATTTGGTGCACTTGCTGGTTGGCCATTTTGTAGCTGCGTGATCAGCGTTGCCAAGGCCAGCCCAGCAGAACCTGAGGCATTATCAGAAATGTCAAAGCCAGATCATCAGCAAGCCATAGCAGCATTGCCACCAGCCCAGCAGAAGCTACTGCAAGGCATTGTCAGCCAGCCATAGCTGCATCATCAGCAGCCCCCTACCTTCTGCTCTTGCTTTCCCGGCACTGCATCCTTGCATCATTTATCCGGTTCGTTGCGTGCTCATCCCATCCCTGCATCCTTTGCATCCTTTGCATCTGTTGCATCTGTTGCATCATATGCATCATGTGCATCCCCTTTCTACCCGCATCCCCCGCATCCCTTGCATCCCCTGCTTCCATTGCGTCTTGCTTCTCTCTGAATCCCACGTTTGTCCCCGCATCCCCAGCATTTGCAGCATCCCTGCATTCTGAGAATTGCCTGCATCCTCGACATCCCCAGCATGACACCTCATGATCCAGCATGTCCTGCATCCCCCACAGCACCCATCTCTGCCAGGAAAAGCAGTCGAAGAAGCAATCACTTCAATATGCCATATGTCCCTCACACGTGCCACCGCTTCAAAAAAAATTGGTGCACTTGCTGGTTGGCCATTTTGTAGCTGCGTGATCAGCGTTGCCAAGGCCAGCCCAGCAGAACCTGAGGCATTATCAGAAATGTCAAAGCCAGATCATCAGCAAGCCATAGCAGCATTGCCACCAGCCCAGCAGAGGCTACTGCAAGGCATTGTCAGCCAGCCATAGCTGCATCATCAGCAGCCCCCTACCTTCTGCTGCTCCTCTTGCTTTTCCTGCACTGCATCCTTGCATCATTTATCCGATTTGTTGTGTGCTCATCCCATCCCTGCATCCTTTGCATCATGTGCATGCCCTTTCTACCCGCATCCCCCGCATCCCTTGCATCCCCTGCTTCCATTGCGTCTTGCCTCTCTCTCTCTGAATCCCACGTTTGTCCCCGCATCCCCAGCATTTGCAGCATCCCTGCATTCTGAGAATTCCTGCATCCTCAACATCCCCAGCATGACACCTCATGATCCAGCATGTCCTGCATCCCCCACAGCACCAATCTCTGCATCATCCTGCATCATCAGCACTGCCAAGAACAGGCCAGAATCTTTGTGGGTAGTAGCCGTCGCAAGTCCCGGAAGTTTTGTTGCAACCAGGGTTAGTACCCATGTGGCTAACTAAACACGTGAGATAAACCACCACCCCTCAAAACCCCGCCGCCTACCCGAACCCCCCCCCCGAAGATGTTCATTTGGTTCTGTCTTTTGGGGAGCCCTTTTTTGGTCAGTTTTGAATGGACACCAAAAGGAAAACCACCATTTTGGGGGTGCCCCTAATCAAAGACACACCCATTTGTGCTTCCCGGATCCCCCAAAACCCAGTCCTGGGCACTGTCTTGGGCACCCTCCGCGCAAAGGGCCCGAAGTGCCACCAACCTGCGCGAAGTGTCGACAACTTGGGCAAAAAAACGACGGTCCGGGCAGCTAGCCAAGTAGTCAGCAACCCTGGCTGCCGCAAGGTTGGCAGATATTCGCACGGAAAAGCAAAAGGACCCCCTTCCAACTCATTGTCATCCAAGTTTTGGTTTAATTTGGTAGTGGTTCCTTTGCGGCATGGTTCAAACTGAAGCCAAAGCAAAACAGGTGCCATTCCCGGGTCCCCCTATTTTGACGAGCACACACACACACACACACCACACACCTACCCAGTCTGGGAACTTCACTGGTCGGAAGGGTATGGTAGATGCTGCCAGAAGTAAACCAACCACATGGACCACATGGACCACATGGACGCATCGACCACATCGCTTGCGTCAACCGCTTTGATGCGTCTGCTTCCAGACCCTTGGAGGCCACAAGAGCTCCCCAAACAGAAACGGATGAGAGTCACCGCGCCCCATTTGGTTTGCTGACCGGGCCCGGATGTTCAGGGGCCCGGTAACCGGTAGAACCCGTAGTGGCTTCAAGAGGAAGTGGGGTTCAAATCGAAAATCCAAGCCAACAATCCAAACCAACCAAGGGGTACCTGAGACAGAGTGCCTTAAAGAGGACCTGCTCAGACTGTGCCACGATGCTAGAAGTTTGCAAAGAAAAGCGCAAAGGACCCCTTCTCTCTTGTCTAAGTGTTTCTCAAATTGGTGGCCCTGCTGTTGCTTGGTGTTTGAAGAAAAACAAAACGAAACTTTAACCAATGCGGGCCACTGCTTTACAAGCTTGAGGCCGGTCTAAGAAGAGACGCCAATAGGAAAGTCAACCTCGGGAAGTAAAGGTTTGGGTGTGGCTCCAAAATACAAGCCCGAACTTGAATCCTGGCAAACGAAGGAGTGGACTAAAACCTGCGCCTGGGTCTTAAACCCCGGTAAACGGAAAAGTGGGCGAAAACCCGTATCTCAACTTCTGAGCCGCAGCCAAATGGCCATGGGTCAAAAGGCCCGTATTTTCAGTGAACGTCCCAATCCCCACCAAAAATAGGTTCTAAAACGGGTGGTGAATTCACCTACCGACCAAAATGGGATCCCGTTTAACGGTTTTGACAACCACAGCCAAATGGCTGTGGGTCAGAACCCTGTAACCCTGGTGAACATCAACATACTGTAGGTGGTACATGGGTGCTCATCCGCCCCAAAATGGAGGTATAGGTTCTGACCCACAGCCAAATGGATTTTTGGGCAACTCTCAGCCATATCTTCATCTAGAATACTAGGTCCTCCAGTTGCGAGGTTAGAATAAGGGTACCCTATTTTTGGCCACTCTGGGTTTAGAGACACCATCTGCCGGACAAGCCGCAAGCTCATCTCCGCCCAGCCGCAGGCATCCTGGAATTCCAGGAACAAGGTCCTCGGCACAAGCGAGCGGAGAAACCGAAACCGGAGTCAAAACCTATATGGCCATGGGTCAAAATCCAAATCGTACCCCCAGTGAACATCCCAATTCCAGTTAGCTACCAACCTTGTGGCCGGGTCATTTCGAGGTTAGTATCCCTTTTGGCAAAAAGAAACAACCCCCTACTCCAAATACCCGGCCTTTTTTTAGGGTATGATGTCCACCCTCTACTACTAAAAAGAAGGAATTTACCATGGAAACCCGATCGGTTTTTCACAAAATACCCTAGAACAAATGAGTATTTGGAGTAGGGGGTATATGGGTGTGAATGTTTGTTAGCAGACCCAGAAAATTGGTGGCCTTCCTCTTGGTGTCCTTTCAAAACAATTCAAAAAGGGGTACCCTACAAAAAAAACAACCCCATATGGGGTTGGCCTTTTTGGGGGTACCCCGTTTTCCTGGCGGCTTTAAGGGAAAACCAAACGGAGCGCCACCTGATTGAAATCCACTAAAAAAGACACACCCGTATTTACAGAGGCCTAAATACGTCAGATGGGGGTACTTAGATACCAAGCATTGGTCATGGCAGGAAGCTATGAATAATTATTTCGCCGCTTGTGGTACCCTCCTGTCCACGTTCTGCTCTCACATCTTCCTTCAAAAGGAGCAGTTCAGCTCTAGAAGCTATGATGGAGAGAAAATCGGAACCCCAGAATAATAAACCCCAGTTGATCAAGAACCCCCTATGATTATTCATCCGGAGTCTGCTCCCCCAGTTTATAAAGAACCCCCTAACTATGACGGGCTTATTAATCCGGAGTCTGCTCCCCCAGTTTATAAAGAACCCCCTAACTATGACGGGCTTATTAATCCGGAGTCTGCTCCCCCAGTTTATCAAGAACCCCCTATGAATAGGACGGGCTTACTAATCCGGAGTCTGCTCCCCCAGTTTATCAAGAACCCCCTATGAATAGGACGGGCTTATTCATCCGGAGTCTTCTCCCCCAGTATATCAAGAACCCCCTATGAATAGGACGGGCTTATTCATCCGGAGTCTGCTCCTCCGGTTTATCAAGAACCCCCTATGAATAGGACGGGCTTATTCATCCGGAGTCTCCCCCAGTTTATCAAGAACCCCCTATGAATAGGACGGGCTTATTCACCCGGAGTCTGCTCCGCCAGTTTATCAAGAACCCCCTATGGTGCTCACTTCCTGAGTGGCCCAGAAAAAGTATCATAGCTTTTTATGTATGACGATCCAGTCCGGAACGGAACTCTCTTGGAAAGCCCTTCAATGCCCTTCACGCCGGAAAATGCGGTTTTCAGAGTCTGAATAGGTTTTGACGATCGATAGGTAGGGAATGACCCAGTGTCCGGGCTTTGGCCATGAACCGGTTTTGGGTAGTCCCTTAAAGGAAACCATAGGTTTGATGGTGTTCTCGGGGTGATTCCAACTCATTCCCTGCCTATCGAAGCAGCAAGGTTTGTCGACCATGGCATAGGAGACGCCAGCTTCAACGGGGATCCGGATGCATGATACACCTGAACCTTGCAACTTGTAAATGCTGGTGTCCGTTCTTTTGGTGTTGAAAAAGCAAAATGTGTCAAATGGGCATGCAAAATGGAGATCTTTTAAGGAGACGCCAGCTTAAGCTGCTCTTAGATCAGCCAAGCCCATGGTCCCCTGTGGGCTCTAGGATTGGATTAGTAGCCGTGCCCTGATTCTTCTTGCGCTTCATTCCAAGTCATAGAAGCCAGCTGGATTCCCTGGAGTTCCTGAACTGGCACTTCCTGGGTCACCCGAAGGGCTTCTACTAACCTGGAACCCCCCCGGGAAAAAAAAAGCCTTCTTGTTAGTTCTAAGATAATGGAAGGGAGTGTACCCCCAAAAAAAGCGAGGTTGTTCTCCTTCTCTTCTCCCCTTTTTGCTGCTGCGATCAACCAACCCCGGGACCTCCGCGCCACCAAAAAACCCGCCCCGCGCCTCCCGGCTCGACTCCGACTCCGAGGTCCGCGACGCCGAGGCGCGCCGCCTCCTGGGCCGCGGCGGCGCTCTCGCGGCCGCGGCCGCCCTTCTGCTGCAGCGCGGAGCCCAGGAGGAAGAGCAGCGAGGCCTGCGGCGCGACCTCCGCCCTAAGCGGCGGCTAGGCAAACTTCAAGCAAAAAACGTGCGATCGGTGCGAGATGGGAATGAGAAATGGAAATGACCCCGAGAAAAGCCATCCAACTAGTGGATTCCTTTAAGGGAATCCCCTTCCGGTTCATTCCCACATTCCCCACTCAGCACCAGCAAGTTCCATTCCTGGGCTCTCCATGTTCAAGTCTGTCACTCAAATTGCGGGTTCCAAGTTTGGGGTTGTCCAAAACATTTGGGAGGGTATTCCCCGTTAAATTCAGAACTCTGTCCGTTCTCTGTGGCCAAAAATATGACGAACTTGTGGGCGAAATGGACCACTAAACCAGGGCTGTGGGAAATGCCCACTTCTGTGATACAACCAAAGGGGCCTGCCGAAGACTAACACCCCATATAAAGAGGGGATTCCCTTATATCACAGAAGTGGGTATAAACACCTTGATCCCACAAGCCTGCTCACGAAACCAACCAAAAAACCCAACAAGCTACAGGAACCGATGGCTGCGAGGCTTTGGATGAGCCCAATCACACCTGCATATGGCTGTGGGTCAAAACTCAGGAAACCCCTGGTGAACATCAAAATAGGTGGCAAATGGATGTTCATCCACCCCAAAATGGAGCCATGGCTCCTCGGCTACTGCCATATTGGACTTGAGACTTTCCAAAGGCTGTGTGTGTGTGTGTGTTTTGTGTTTTGTGTTTGTGTGGCGTGTTTGCATGCTTGTGTCTGTGCTTCTTTGTGGGGTCCACTTCGGATGGGCTGAATCCTGCACCAGTTGGGATGGACAAAACCCCCATGAAAACTGGGATAAGCCATCTACCAACCTGCGCAGGATTTTGTCCATCCACAGCAGGAACGGTTCGGAAAATGGACACCAAAGAAGGTCTACCGATTTTAAGGTTTGGTCGTCGCTTCAGGCGCTTCAGGCCTGTGGAGCAATGCGGTCGAACCTGGGGCCTCCTAGCAAAATCAAAAACAACAATACTGTGGATGGACAGAACCCATTTCGCACCAGTTGGGAACCGGTGGTTTGTCCCAGGTTTTAGTAGGAGTCCAACCATCCGAACTGGTGCAGGAGTTTGTCCATCCACAGCATCACCACAAGAATGACAAGTCTGCCAGCTTCAACAACACGGCCCCCAACTCCGTTCCGCAAGCAGGGATCCAAATCAATCTACCTGAAAAAGGCCCGAAAGAAGAATCTCCAAATCCTTCTACCGCCCGAAAATATCGCCAAAAAAGAATCCATCGCTTTGACTCCCACGTCCACGTCGCCGGCGGCTTTTCGTCGTGGGCATAGGTGGGCTTTTGGAAAATAGATGGATTTCCCTGGCAAATGGAATCAACAACCCATCTAAACCAGTGGAACCCATTTATTTTCACCAAACTCACCGATCAAAAGGACACCTTTGGAGTCGTAAGGTGTTGCGCCTGCATTCGGAGATCCCCGAACTCCTGTGCCAAAGGCAGCGCCTCCTGCGACAAGGCGATTGGCGACATGCTCAAACGGGCGGAAGCGAGTTTTAGCGCGCTTGATGTTCGGCTCTCTTCCGACGCAGGTGCGAGCGGCGCTTAAAATGAAACCCAAAGAAGCGAGCGTTGAAACCGGAGTGTCTTGAAATAGCTGTGGGTCAAAAATATGTACCCAAATGGAACCCTGGTAAGTGGAAACATGGACCAAAACCTGCGGTCCCCTGATGGTTTATTTTGAGCCCAAATAGGCAGGGGCCACGGGAATTCCCAGTTCAACAGTTGAACAGTTTACTGGTTCCGGGAACCGCAGCGTTTGAAGCGTTCGGAAAGGGAAATGGCGGAAATCCAGTCTTAATAGGGTCCCTCAAAATGGTTAGTGTCTCTTTTCCCTCAAAACCACCAACAGGGTTTCCGCTCGTCTTTTTTTCAGACCCCAGAATGGGTGTTCCTCTTGGTGTTTCTGTGAAACCGCCAAACAAGGGGTACCCGCAAAAACAAGGCGCATCCACCTTTGTGAAAGAGAGAGAGAGAGAGAGAGAGAGGGAGAGGGAAAACAGGGCTCACTGGATTTCCCGTTCAAAAAGTTGATCACTGTGCCGATAGGTTCAAACTGGCGATTTGTTTAAACAGGAAGCCACAACCAAAAAAAACAACACTGGCTCGGCCTTCCTTTTGGATTTCCCTTTACAACCACCCAAAAAGCAAGGGGTACCCGCAAAAAAAAAAAAAAAACGACGCCCCCAAGCGGGACCCAAAAAAACAAAACAAAAAGGACGACACACACAAACGGGACCCAAAACCAAAACAAACAAAAGACGACACACCCCAAACGGGCGCCATTCCGGAAAAGAAAAACAAAATGGACAACACAAAAAAAAGACGCGCCCAAGCGGGACCCAAAAAAACAAAACAAAAAGACGACACACCCAAACGGGACCCAAAACCAAAACAAACAAAAGACGACACACCCCAAACGGGCGCCATTCCGGAAAAGAAAAAACAAAATGGACAACAAAACATTAAAAAAAGGGGCGGTGGAACAAAAGGAAAAAACGAGAATAACAAAACAAAACTAAACTAAACAATAACAAGAAGAAGAAGAACCAAAAAAAAACACACACACACACACACACACACACACGCACGACTCCCCCGGTCCTTGGCCGCCTGCAGGGCCCGGAAGTGCCGGCGCTGCATGCGCAGGGCGCAGGCCGCCAGGAGCTTCGCCCGCGCCCGCGCGTGACCAAAGGCGGCCTGAGGTCGGGCGCCGTCGGGCGCCAGGTGGACGTACCGAACCCCCCAGAGGCAAGAGACCGGGTGTGGCGGGGATGTGACTTTGAACATGAAGAATTCAAAAAAAAACGGGGATCTAAAAAAAAACAAGAAACCGGGGATCTTGTTTTCAAAAACAAAAAAAGGAAGAAAAAAAGAAACCAGGGACCAGGGATCTTGTTTTCTAACAAAAAAAAAAAACGGGGATCGTGTTTTCAAAAAAACAAGGAAGAAAAAAAGAAACCAGAGACCAGGGATCTTGTTTCCTAAAAAAAAAAGTCTTGTTTTCTAAAAGAAATGCTACACACTGTTTTACGGGAGCACCCGCGGGAGCACCCCTTCTGGACACCCCGTCTGAAACGGGTATGGGGCTCACAAACATGTACCAAAATGGCACCTTGGTAAATGGAACCAAACTGAAAACTGCGTAATCCTGGCTCTTTAACTTTGAGCCACACCCAAATCCGGCACGGGAAAGGCAAAATTAAACCACCCGACAACAGGTTAAATCCTCCAGGGTGAAATCCTATTTGCCTATTTGGCACGGGTGAAAATTGGTTTACAGCTGCTCCAAACCTCCAAATCAAAACCCTGCCTGTTTCTTGGATTCCCGAAATTTTTAGGAGACCATTCAAAAAAGGTGGTTTCCCTCAAGCACAGGCCAAAGACCATAAGCTCAGGCGATCTCCCCAGCGCGCGACTTTTCTCGCGGGCTGGAACCCTGCGAAACCTTCCCCAGAGCCCTCGCAGAACCGTCGCGAACTCTCGCAAAAAAAACAAAAAAAAAACTGCAGAACCCCCGGCAGAACCTTTCGGAACCTTCCCAAACCTTGGCCCGCAACCTGCGGAACCTCCGGTTGAAGCTTGCACCTCTTTGAAGCTTCCTGCCAGCCCACCTCCGAAATCAGCTGCGCCCAAAACCTCCAAAACCTGGCTTCAACCTTACAGCAACACCCTCTGGAACCTTCCTTGAACCTTCCACCTGGAACCTTCCTTGAACCAGACTAGCCCGGAACCTCCGGAACCCTTGCTCGAAACTGACTCCAGAGCTTCCCCAAACCACCCCCAAACCTTATCTGGGCTGACACCCCTTAGCTTTCAGCTGTTGGGGAAACCAACGCCAGCTTCCCGAGAAACCATAAGGGCTTCCAGGAATCTCAGGTGGCGTGCTGGACCCCATACCAATGTAGGCCCCCACAATATGTCCCACGACAGTCCAAATCCTCAAAAAGACGCCCAATCGTGGAAGAGCCCATTCTTGCCGGCTGCATCCGATGGACCAAGAAGTCATACGCGCTCTCCGCGCTGCGTAGGCAGAGGTGGAAGTGACGACCCTGCGAAGAAAGCGGCTCGCATCGGATCGCTATCGAAAGTGCAATGGGGTTGGTCAAAGGAATCAGTTCAGGAATCCCATTTTGCCCCAGTGGATGCTTGCAAAATCCTGCGCTACGTTGAAACCATGGGAAACCATGTTTGGTATTCACAAGGGAATCATCATTCCAGGTGCGAAATGGAAATTCGTCCATGCACAGCATGTGCTTCACACTTCGGGAATCAGTTTCCCTTCAAGGGAAATCAAGCACCAGAAGGTGCAAAAATCTCCGACTTTGGCGTCCAACAGTGGCATCGGGCGCAATCGCTGGTTGAAATGGCCAGTGCCAGAGTACAGGGAAGCACAGTCACAAGAAACACCCAGTACTCACATGGCTTACCAATTGAAGAGAATTGAGTCCGAAACGCCGGATCCGCACCTCTTTGTGATTGGGACTATCCCTGCTTAACCAGGATATGCCCCCAGCAAAGCCCCTCAAGGCCAACAAGTCTGCCAGTATGGCATGCCCAACTACGCACACACTGCAGACGTTGAGGCTAATATCCATCGTGGCCTTACACTCCCTCCAGAAAGCTATGTGTTTTGCTGGCAAAAGCTATTCCGGTCGCGACAGGCAACCAAGTACCATCCTGTCCAGTAACCTGGAAGTCAGGAGCCGTGCTGGTTGAGGAGTGTATCACTGAGGCCACATCAGATGGTAGACTGCTCAGTGGATCCCAGGCAAACCAGTGTAGTAGGTAACCCTTCGCCATGTTCCTTTTGGTTTTCAAAGGCCTTGGTCGCCTAATATACTGGTAAATGGAATCCCTCGGTCAGTTGGTGAAACAGTTGACGCTTGGGGGTTGTGCCTTTCTCAAAGAAACGCCCGGTTCAAAGTGGTTGGGGTGGGTTGACCAAGGGGGGAGCAAATGACAACTTCAAAGCCCAAAGGAAGGATCTTGCGGATGGCCTTCCCTTTTGTAACTACCTTTTTGAGGGCAAGCTTGGTAATACCTCCAAAAGGACATCATCACTCCGTCCATCCCACTAGTCCAGGAAATGCCGACTCGGGATCGGACCACACTCCAAGGAATCCCAAGTGAATAGACATCAGCCACGAGCACAAACCTACTGAACCAACAGGACTCCCATGCAAATCTACGGAAGGAACCCAACAAGGGGCTCCCCTAAGATCCCCTAAGAACAGTGGCCGTTCCTACAAATGGGTAAGTTTTCTGGGTTCTGTAGCGGGGTGATTCCCTGCCTGATGCTGATCGCGGGGTGTCCCCTTTTGTGGGAGTTCAGACCACATTTTGGAGGGGCCACCACCCCTATTCATGGCAAAAGGCCTGTGCATTCCTGCTGAAGTGAGACCTTTGCTGGGCTTATCCACAGTCAGAATTTCCCGTCATCTTATCGAACATGGGTGTGTACGTTTCTTGACGGAACCCTTGTCAGGATGGTTCAAAGGGAAAACAAGAGGCAAACCACGATTTCTTGGGGTCCAAATCAGTCCATCCCAAATTCGAACAGATCAGGGCCACCACCTGCGAATCGTATACTTTGACGCATTCTCCAATTTCGGGGGTGGTTTCTGGAAAGCCAAGGGACCAAACCTACTTCCCAAGCTCTTTCCCAGCTGGATTCATGTAGAAGTTCAAACACTTGAAGTCAAAAAACTATAGCAAAACTTACAACTCCACATGTGAGGCAACTCTTAAACTTCCCCCCACCCAACCCCTAACCCCCCACCCCACCCAACCCCTAACCCACCCAACCTTGACCTCCGTGCCAAATCCGACTCTGATGTTTGTTCCCCCTACTTGACCCAGACCAAGAAATGCAGGCTGCTGGGAGCGTTTTGGTGGCCTTTTGGAGAAAATCGATGGGTTCGCCCCATCTCCAACGGTTTACCCATCGATTTTTCACCAAACTCGGCGATCAAAAGGACACCTATGAGCCTCTGACCCTTGAAACCCAGTGGGGCCCGAACGGCAGCCCGCCTTTGTATTTGCGGTTAGCAATGGACGCTTCCTTCAGCTCGAAATGGCAATTTCTGTTCCGGGAAGGCCCGCTTCTGTCCCGGGAACATGTTTCAATTACCTAAACTGTCAAAAAAAACAAAAATCAATTATTTAGTATATGGGGAGGGAGGGAGAGAGGGAGGGACTTGGAGCGTCCAAAAACGTCCCCCCGCCTTGAAGTGGAGCTGGGCGCAGAGCAGCTCGCAGAGCCCGAGGCCGAGCTGGTCGCCTTGGCGCCGGAAGCCCTCCTCCGCCTCCTGGCGTCAAGTCGGAGGTCGGGGAGGTGGGGCTGGGGAGGTGGGGCTGGGGCTGGGGCGGGGGCTGGGGTGGGTCTGGTGTAGGTCTAGGGTGGGTTTCTGGGGTGTGGGTTTCCGAGGTCTGGGGTAGGTCTGGGGGTGAGCCAAAGCTGGATGCGGCGCGGGATGGCAGGGGAATCGCTGCCAGAAACAAACCAGAGGAAGGCCCCTCGGGACGGGAGGAGACTCGCACCATTCACCGCAGACCAAACCCAAACGCCCCGGAAGAGATCACTGGGGACTGCTGTGCTTTGGGAGTTGGTGTATGGGGACAAGTTGTGCAAGACACGGATAAAAATGGGTGGAGGTCTGGGTAATGCAGGTCTAGGGTGGGGTTCTGGGGTGGGTTTCTGGGGTGGGTTTCCGAGGTCTGGGGTAGGTCTGGGGGTGAGCCAAAGCTGGATGCGGCGCGGGAAGGAAGGAATCCCAAAACAAACCCATGTTCATGCGAGCTTTCCCAAGAATTTGGGAGCTGAGGCCAGCTTTTGGGGTGAAGACCGACCCGGGCTCCCCCTAGTTGCCTTTACACAACACCACGCCTGACTTGAAAAAAGGGAACCCTTCCCCCCCCCAAAAAAAAAAAAAAAGCAGAGAGGAAAAAGGGCAGCTCTGGGCAACTGGGGGAAGATGCCGGCGTTTTCTCCAGGTCCTCTCCTGGGAACTGGCTCTCCGAGAAATTTGTTTCTACTCCGCTCCTGTACAGAGGCTGCGAAGAACTTTACAGAGGGGAAACGGAAAGCTCCGGCTGCGTATCACAAGTTTTGAACCGCGGTGCGACAAAGATCCTTACATTGTACACCTGAGCATTGCCTTGTAAATGGTGGTTTCCCCTGTGCAATGGTACAATCAATCTGACCCTTTGAACCTTGGAGACAGGGAACTAAAAGGAACCGAGACCAGTCTACCAACCTTGTGGCCTGGTCATTTCGAGGTTGAAATTCCCTTTTGGCACCACAAAAACCACTTCCTCGGAGCAGAGGTCGGATCCGCGCTTCTTCCGTTGCTCAATGTGGTTTCGTCCTTTTCGACGGAGATTCCCCGCCCTCTCCGGGCCCATCCTTGCCAAGCTGCAGCGCTTCCTCGTGCAGCCCAAGGTCCCCTGGCACACATAACACGGACTTCCCAGCCCGCCTGCCACGGTCTGTCTTTTCGGAGGCTGCCTCTTTTTTCTAGGATGGTTTGCAAGGGAGACCGAAAGAACCGTTCCCTTTTCCAACAGTCCCATATCCCGGACGAACTCCCTTTTATGGCTTGCTATGCAACTATTGCCGTGCAGGACGATCGATTTCTCATCGTCCGGCTCGAAAGGCCGAGTGCGGAGACTACGCAGTAGAAAACGTCTTCGGCTCTTCCGAAGCCATGACATGCTCCGATGACTCGAGAAACTTTTTCCTGCACGGCACCGTGCCCAAAAAAAGTGCGAAATGACTGCTGACCCATCTATGTACATGCATAGGGTGAGAAGTTCCAGAATGCCTGCGAACATTCATCTCATGAAAAGTGATCATCGCCCATAGTACTAGTACATATGAAAACCTCTCTTCTGCACTTTCCGCCCCTCATAGTAGGCTGACGACAGACTAATGTTGACTCCACATTGATCGTCCCACTGAAAGGAGACACCCCCCGATCAAAATCCTACCGCAGCAAAATGGTTTGAGAACCCGCAGGTCCGCACAGACAGTAGACCACCAGTATTCGTGGCCCTTGCTCATACCCACCAAATTTGTCTGCCTTGCAAACTCTGAAACATGTCCAAAACCTGAAATCAGGGATTCCAAGCAACCTTCATCATAGCGCGCCTTATTTCAATCAGTGCGCCGTTTCGTTTTTTTTGGGCGGGTTGAACCCAGGGATGCTAAAGGAAACCCCCAGTTGAGGGTCATTCCTCCCACTCAGAACCAGCACGTTGTAGCGCTCCGGACCTACATCATATGTCTCTTTTAGCCCAGTCGGAGCTAGGCCAGACCAAACCCCTGTTCCCTCATTCGAGGCTTTGGCCTTCTTTGGCCTCCATCCCGCTTGAGGAAAGTCTTGGCCTTATTTGGCCTCCATCCCTCTACTTGAGGCTAAGTCTTGGCCTTATTTGGCCTCCATCCCTCTACTTGAGGCCAAGTCTTGGCCTTATTTGGCCTCCATCACTCTACTTGAGGCTAAGTCTTGGCCTTATTTGGCCTCCATCCCTCTACTTGAGGCCAAGTCTTGGCCTTATTTGGCCTCCATCCCTCTACTTGAGGCTAAGTCTTGGCCTTATTTGGCCTCCATCCCTCTACTTGAGGCTAAGTCTTGGCCTTATTTGGCCTCCATCCCTCTACTTGAGGCTAAGTCTTGGCCTTATTTGGCCTCCATCCCTCTACTTGAGGCTAAGTCTTGGCCTTATTTGGCCCCTTATTTCCTCTACTTGAGGTCCCTCTACTTATCTTTGTACTTCCCTTTTGGCCTCCATCCCTCTACTTGAGGCTAAGTCTTGGCCTTATTTGGCCTCCATCCCTCTACTTGAGGCTAAGTCTTGGCCTTATTTGGCCTCCATCCCTCTACTTGAGGCTAAGTCTTGGCCTTATTTGGCCTCCATCCCTCTACTTGAGACTAAGTCTTGGCCTTATTTGGCCTCCATCCCTCTACTTGAGGCTAAGTCTTGGGAGGCTAAGTCTTGGCCTTATTTGGCCTCCATCCCTCTTGGCTAAGTCTTCCATCCCTCTACTTGAGGCTAAGTCTTGGCCTTATTTGGCCTCCATCTCCTTCTACTTATTTGGCCTGAGGCTAAGTCTTGGCCTTATTTGGCCTCCATCCCTCTACTTGAGGCTAAGTCTTGGCCTTATTTGGCCTCCATCCCTCTACTTGAGGCTAAGTCTTGGCCTTATTTGGCCTCCATCCCTCTACTTGATCCTAAGTCTTGGCCTTATTTGGCCTCCATCCCTCTACTTGAGGCTAAGTCTTGGCCTTATTTGGCCTCCATCCCTCTACTTGAAGCTAAGTCTTGGCCTTATTTGCCTCCATCCCTCTACTTAAGGCCAAGTCTTGGCCTTATTTGGCCTCCATCCCTCTACTTGAGGCTAAGTCTTGGCCTTATTTGGCCTCCATCCCTCTACTTGAGGCTAAGTCTTGGCCTTATTTGGCCTCCATCCCTCTACTTGAGGCTAAGTCTTGGCCTTATTTGGCCTCCATCCCTCTACTTGAGGCTAAGTCTTGGCCTTATTTGGCCTCCATCCCTCTACTTGAGGCTAAGTCTTGGCCTTATTTGGCCTCCATCCCTCTACTTGAAGCTAAGTCTTGGCCTTATTTGCCTCCATCCCTCTACTTAAGGCCAAGTCTTGGCCTTATTTGGCCTCCATCCCTCTACTTGAGGCTAAGTCTTGGCCTTATTTGGCTACTTGAGGCCTTGGTCCCTCTACTTGAGGCTAAGTCTTGGCCTTATTTGGGCATCTCTACTTGAGGCTAAGTCTTGGCCTTATTTGGCCTCCATCCCTCTACTTGAGGCTAAGTGGCCTTGGCTAATTTGGCCTCCATCCTCTCTACTTGAGGCTAAGTCTTGGCCTTATTTGGCCTCCATCCCTCTACTTGAGGCTAAGTCTTGGCCTTATTTGGCCTCCATCCCTCTACTTGAGGCTAAGTCTTGGCCTTATTTGGCCTCCATCCCTCTACTTGAGGCGAAGTCTTGGCCTTATTTGGCCTCCATCCCTCTACTTGAGGCTGAGTCTTGGCCTTATTTGGCCTCCATCCCTCCACTTGAGGCTAAGTCTTGGCCTTATTTGGCTTCATCCCTCTACTTGAGGCTAAGTCTTGGCCTTATTTGGCCTCCATCCCTCTACTTGAGGCTAAGTCTTGGCCTTATTTGGCCTCCATCCCTCTACTTGAGGCTACGTCTTGGCCTTATCCTCTACTTGAGGCTAAGTCTTGGCCTTATTTGGCCTCCATCCCTCTACTTGAGGCTAAGTCTTGGCCTTATTTGGCCTCCATCCCTCTACTTGAGGCTAAGTCTTGGCCTTATTTGGCCTCCATCCCTCTACTTGAGGCTAAGTCTTGGCCTTATTTGGCCTCCATCCCTCTACTTGAGGCTAAGTCTTGGCCTTATTTGGCATCCATCCCTCTACTTGAGGCTAAGTCTTGGCCTTATTTGGCCCCTTATTTCCTCCACTTGAGGCTAAGTCTTGTCCCTCTACTTGAGGCTAAGTCTTGGCCTTATTTGGCCTCCATCCCTCTACTTGAGGCTAAGTCTTGGCCTTATTTGGCCTCCATCCCTCTACTTGAGGCTAAGTCTTGGCCTTATTTGGCCTCCATCCCTCTACTTGAGGCTAAGTCTTGGCCTTATTTGGCCTCCATCCCTCTACTTGAGGCTAAGTCTTGGCCTTATTTGGCCTCCATCCCTCTACTTGAGGCTAAGTCTTGGCCTTATTTGGCCTCCATCCCTCTACTTGAGGCTAAGTCTTGGCCTTATTTGGCCTCCATCCCTCTACTTGAGGCTAAGTCTTGGCCTTATTTGGCCTCCATCCCTCTACTTGAGGCTAAGTCTTGGCCTTATTTGGCCTCCATCCCTCTACTTGAGGCTAAGTCTTGGCCTTATTTGGCCTCCATCCCTCTACTTGAGGCCTTGGCCTTATTTGGCCTCCATCCCTCTACTTGAGGCTAAGTCTTGGCCTTATTTGGCCTCCATCCCTCTACTTGAGGCTAAGTCTTGGCCTTATTTGGCCTCCATCCCTCTGAGGCTACTTGAGGCTAAGTCTTGGCCTTATTTGGCCTCCATCCCTCTACTTGAGGCTAAGTCTTGGCCTTATTTGGCCTCCATCCCTCTACTTGAGGCTAAGTCTTTGCCTTATTTGGCCTCCATCCCTCTGCTTGAGGCCAAGATTTGGCCTTCGTTTGGCCAAACCGTTTGGCCGCACTGCCCCCCAACTTGTGGGGCAAACCCACTCGTGTTGCTCGCCTTTCACCTCCGCAAGCGCCAGCCGCATCTTGGCCCCAAGCTTCCTGGGCTCGACCCCCGAAGGGTCGTGGCTCGTCTCGTTGGAAAAGCCATGTGACCTTCCATTTCCATACTTTCCAGGGATCCTTCCTTCTAGAAACCTCCGCAATCCCAGGGAAAACGGCTGGTTTTGAAAAGAACGATGGTTGAAAAGAATGGGGAATCAACCCCTAGATTTTTGCGTTGGTAGCCCCTTTGTTGGCCAAAAGGAAAACCGGCTTGCCGCCGCTTTTCGCTGCTCTACCCCCAGTTTTGAGGCTTTAAAGGGAAACCAAAAGGGAAACCGGTTTGCCACCATTTCCCTACAAAGACGAGCCACCCAGTTGTGTCCAAAACAGGGAAGGGAATAACCCCCGAACCGAACCACTCTCTGGTTTCCTTCAAGGGATGTCTCAGTTCATTCCCCAAAACCCCGACGGATTCCCATCAAATCAAACCAGCAAGCTAAGGAACCGGCCTTTTTGGTCACAAAGCCAGTGACCAAAACAGATCGAGGGTCTCCAAAACGAGGTTGCATCCAGTTGTGTCCAAAGCCAGGCCGGGTTTCTCCAAATAGGGAAACCTACCAGGTTTCCCTCTGGTTTCCCTTTGGCAACCTCAAAAAGGCTGCCCTCAAAAAAAGACTTGTGCCGCCCAATCCTTCCCCTGACTTTTTTCACATACCCCAAAGGAACCCCGTGGACGACCCACGCGAACCCTACAGTCCCCTGAAATTTTACATGCCCCTAAAGGAGCTTCCTGCCTTTTTGGGTTGATCGGACGCTCCTTTTGGGGGCGCCCCTTGGAACGTTCCATGTGGGTGCGTCTTTTTTTTAGGTTGGCTTCCCTTCAAACGCCACCAAACAAGGGGCGCCAACTCAGAAAAAGACAAGCCCAAATGACCAAACAAACCTAAAAAAACAACCTCCAAGCAAACAAAATGCTGTCTTCCCTTCAAGCACCACCCAAACAAAACAAAGAAGAAGATACATGTGCTATAATAATAATAATAATAAAAATAATAATGCATAATTTTAATAATGCATAATAATAATGTTGATGATGATAATAGTGATAACAATGATAATAATAATAAACATAATATTGAAAAAGAGCCACCCGCCAAAAAACATCATCAACAAACCACCAAAAAAGAAAAACACATCAATAACAAAGACACACACACACACACACACACACACACACGCACACACACACGCACACGCACACGCACACGCACACGCACACGCACACGCAGACGCCCACGCGCAGGCACACGCACACGCACACGCGCACGCGCACGCGCACGCGCACGCACACGCACACGCACACGCACACGCACGCGCACGCGCACGCGCACGCGCACGCGCACGCGGACGCGCACGCTTGCACACACACACACACACACACACACACACACACACACACACACACACACACACACACACACACACACACCAAAAACCAGGTGAACAACACCCCAAAAATGGGGTGCCAACCGCTTTCCACACCAAACCAAAAAAGAGCCAAAGCCATAGAAAACACGAGCCACCCACCCAAAAAAAGACAACCTTAACATCCTCCCAAACCAACGGGGGGCACTGCCACCGCCCGGCTGCGGTCGCTTCGTCGCTTCCGAGCGGCGCGTCCGCCGGCGCCCAGGCGGCCACAGCCTCCGCGAGCTCCGCCGCGCACGCCAGGAGCTCCGATCCGGCGGCGGATGCGTCGCCGTCGGATCCGCAGGGTCGCGCCTGAGGAGCTGGCGGCGGTGGCTCAAAGAAATGTGCGGGATTGGGATGGGATTGGGATGTTCACTGGGGGCACGATTTGGATTTGGACCCATAAATAATCAGAAATACATGCACCAAAAAATGGCGCCTTGACACATGGAGCCAGAAGCTAACACCTGCGTAAGCCGAGCTCTTGAATTTTGAGCAGCCAGGAGGCGTTTTGCCCGAAGGGGACAAAGAGCGAGTTCGCTCTTTGGGGGGGTTGGAGGGGGGGGGGGGGAAGTGCGGTAAATCTCGGAGAATTCCGAAGGTTTGGGTAGGTTTGGGGGGGGAGGGTGGGGGAAGAGGGTAAAAGTAGTGTACATAGCGGAGAATTCATTCTTTGGGCATAGCATAGATGTGGTCAAATCCGCGCGAGTCAAACTGTGACGGTTTCCGTATGCACCTGGAACAAGCCCGAGCTGGCGATGCGTTCAACATGCTCTTCCGGGATGCTTTCAAAGGGAAGCAACGGGAAACCAAGAAAATGGATCAAAGGGGGCCCGTGAACGCTGCCTGGTGAATCAGGAAATCTTCACCGCCATGGAACCGAAATCTTACTAATGAATTTTGAGCCCGGGTGAATAAACCAGTCCGAACAGGGTGGTGTTCCCTCCAACAGTGATGAACCCCACTCAAGGGGAACCCACTCAACAGTTGGACACAAATCCCCGCCATGACGAAATGATCTCCACCAAAAACCTCCGGGGGACCCCCATTTAAACGCCCTTGGGGTCTCTTGCTAGGTCCTCCAGTAGAGAGGCTAGAATCAGGGCACCAACTTTTTCAGTGGTCTGTTGTAGTAGGGGAACCCTCCCCAAACAGAAAGGGGTCAAAAAGGGCACCTAGCTGGACCTAGACGACTTCTCAGATGGTCCGAGACTTAGCTACATGGCTAGTAACTCTCGCTGTATACCCACTCTAAGTACCGTCCCCCTACTGGGGGACCGAGCTTGTGCAGCGCTGCTGCCAAAGCTCGGGCGCTGGCAGCTGCCCCTCCCGCGCGGCGGAAAATCCCTCCGCCCGCGCGCGCGCCCGCAGGCCGTGCACCACCAGCCGCCCCGCGTCCCCCAAAGCGTCGCCGAAGTCGTCGAAACCGTCGAAGTCGGCGGCGAAGAGCAGGAGCGACTCCACGGCCGTGTGGGTGGCCGCCCTAAGTCGGCGCGTGAAATTGCATGGGGAATCCCTGTGGTTGGACCTAAATGATGTCCACGAAAGGGGTAGTCGGCTCTTGGCGGATCCCCTGAAAAAGTGGTTGGACCTAAATGATGTCCACCAAAGGGGTAGTCGGCTCGTGGGGGATCCCCTGCAAAAGTGGTTGGACCTAAATGATGTCCACCAACGAGAAATTGAATGGGGGATCCCCTGAAAAGTGGTTGGACCTAAATTAAATGATGTCCACCAAAGGGTCCGGGTACCTAATTAAAACTCACACCCTTTTGAGAGGTCCCTCTTTTTGTGGGGGGGTTAAAGGGAAATCACAAGGAGAACCGCGAATGACGCCATTTTGGGAAGAGGTCCAACTTTTGATCCGATGCACCCCAATGGTGGTCCCAACCTTGGTTGCTGCAAGGACCCTGCTAAAAAAAAGTCACTTGTTGTGGGTCCAATGGAAAATCCACTGTTTTCCAAACCTGGGATGTGGGCTGTGACAAAAAAAACTGCTCAGCTTCCGCCGAACAGACAAGTCGGCGGGTGGCTCTGCGGCTTTCGCGGCAAAGTGAGGGTGGGAGGAGGTTACCACCAAAATTTGACTTGGTTGACGTTGGAAGGGAAGCAAAAAAATAAACTTTAGCAGTTAAAGGGAGATTTCCTACTAAACCACAGTAAGCAAAGATGCAAAATGTGTCCCTACAACAACCATGAAAATGGTGACCAAGCCCAAAACGCATTTTCCTTTTTTGGTCCGGGTTTTTGCAGCTCGGGGAGTGAGGCACTCCGCCCACTCAATGGACCGAGCCTCCCAAAACGAGTTTTTTCCGGCCGGGCCCGCCTAAGATCTTCAGGTCCGCGCGCTCCCAGCAGCCCACACTCCGCCAGCGAGAAGAGGAACGCCCCCTGCCGCGCCCGAGTTCTGTGGCCCTCGCGCGCCTTGGCGGAGTAGGACGAGGCCTCGGGCGCGTTCATAATGTTGACCCCAGATTAATAAACAATTTTATTAATATGGGGGTATCCTCGGTTTTAGTGGGGATTCATCACTCTTGGAGAGGAACGCCCCCATATTAATAAACAGAAGTTTTATTAATCCGGGGTCAACATTACCAGTTCCATGGCGTCAAACTTAGACCAGGGAGCCGCAGCTTTTTTGGTCCATGTTTCCACTTACCAGGGTTCCATTTGGGGTACCTATTTTTGACCCACAGCCATATACACCCAACAAGGGGAGAGGGGTATGAACATCAGGCCTTTTGGGTTCATTTGCCCAAGGGGGTATGCAAAAGGGGCATGCGCAGGCACCGTTGGAAACTGACGAAGCCCTTGGTGGACCCGGTATCTGGTGTTTTGGTGTGAAGTCACTGGGGAATCTCTGACTGGGTCAGGGCCATTGAAAGAAATATCTGGCCATCATGTGAGTACCCTCCCCCAAACATGGAAGCTCCCAAGACTGCTTGGGAAGACTTGGTTCCATTTACAGAGGCCTTCTGGGAGCTTCCATGTTAGCCCGAGGGCGTGTAAATGGCCATCTTCAGACATGATCGCGACTAAGAGTGACTATTCGTGACTGCTGAAAATGTCTTTTGTAGGATCCGGAACCCCCAAAATGCCGCAACGGGGTTCCTTTTGGCTTCTCTTTTGAAACGATGCAAAAGGGTACCAACTCGGAAAAAGGACACACCCTATTATTGGAGACTACTGGTGACTATTCGTGACTATGAGTAGCTGTTCGGGGCAATTCAAGCCAGGGCCGTAACCCAACCATGGCTGCCGGTGCTCTGGCTCCTTGGCAATGCACCAAGACCCTACGTGATGTATGTCGGCCTCTGTATGTTGCAGCGGGAAGCAGAAGCACGTTGCACAACTAAATATATACACCAAGCACTATGTAAAAGGGTTCATTGAAGTGGCGTTCCATTTTGGTACTGTTTTTTTTAAGCCACAGCCATATTCACCCACCCCAACTAAGGGACCAGTCTGGCTGAACAATTATGATTCAACCACCCAATGACAAAATCAACAGCAGTGCCATTCATCAAGCTACAATATGACCAGACTTGTCTTCGAAGATTCTCTTTGCCCCTTCCCCCCCCCCCCCACACCAAACCCTGTGCCAAGACGCCAGCCCATCCACTGCAGCGAGTGCAGAAGTCAAATCCCGGCCGGGGGGAAGAAAGTACTCCGGCACGTCCATGCTTCATCGACTAACATCCGCTGGGGACGAATCTGCCCCTGCAACAAGTGAGATCAATCCTTGTTGGCAAAAAGGACGGAAAAACAAGAAGGGGAGATGTGCAGGGATCCTTACATTATACACCTGAACATTGCCTTGTAAATGGTGGTGTCCCCATATTTTGCTGGAAAAAGCCATGTTTCAAATGGTTGCAAAATGTATCTTTTAAGGAGCCCTGATGTGGTGTGTGCGTTTCTTTCAAAAAATGAAAGTTGAGAAGGTATGCCAAGTCTGAGAGGTGCTCCCAGTTTCGGGTCGGCCAGCGGAAGGATTTCGTCCATCGACGGTATCTCAAGACGTAAACCTGGAATTGGAACGGTTTTATCGTCATGTGGCTGTGGGTCAAAAATAGGTACCCAAAATGGAACCCTGGTAAGTGGAGAAGTAGACTAAAAGGCTTTTGAGTCACAGCCATCCAGTCTGGGTTGGCTGGAGCAAATCCTAGAAATGTTGGTGTGGCTGCAGGTCAAGAATATGTACCCAAAACGGAATTCTGGTAAATGGAAACATGGACCAAAACCTGCGGTCCCCTGGCGGTTTAATCTTGACCCACACCCAAATGCGGGTGGGGGAGGGCTCTTTGTTTTGGGAGTCCCGGCTTGACGCCCCGAAGTTGAGCTTGGGCTAACAGCCGACCACTGAAAAACCTGGCACGCTCCAAGTGGGTTGGTTTTCTTGAGGGGGAAAAAACAAAGGAACAAAAACAAAGCAAAAAAAAACGAGGTGAAGATCCTGAGAAAACGGATCTCAAAGTTGAAGCAAGAAGATACCTGAAATAGTGTCCACACTGGCCCAATGGATTTCGGGGCGATGTCCCGAAAAGTGGCGCCGGTTCTATGCAGCTGCGAGCCAAACCGCAGCATGTCGCATGGCGATGAGCATCCCCTCCAAAGGTGCTCGTGCATGGACGAAATCCACTTCGCACTGCCAAAGAAACCCAACGGAATGATTTGATTCCTCTTTAAATACCAACAAACGTTCTGGTTTCAACCATGGCTTCACTTCGTGGTGCGATTTCGTGGGATTTCGCATCCATCCAAAGATATGGGCTCTCAAAATGAGAGGAACTATTTTGAAGATGGGCTGGCCTTCAACCCAAGAAGGTCTTCCCAAGAAAAGACCCGCCTGAGCGGGGCCTCGAAAAAAGGCGAGTCCCCAAGGCTCAGCAAATGGATCGACTGGAGGTCACCGAAGCTTTGCTCCAAAACTTTTGACGATTAAACTGCGAGAAAGAAGTGGCCAGGTTTTGAAAGAAATCACAGAGATGGGCATGACTGCTTGGATTCCGATCTTGCCCCAGGTAACGGTTGATTCTCATACGAAGCAAGTCGGGAATTGTTTGCCACGACAGGCTTGTGGTTCGTTTTGCCTGCAACACTTGGTGGACCAGCCCAGCTGCAACATGCGGTGCTAGGGATGCTGGGATGCCGGGGGTGACCGAGGCGACGGGGATCTAAGTGAGGCACTGCAAATGGTGGTGCTGGGTGTCTGATGATGCTGGGCATGGGGATGCTGGAGATGTTGGTAATGCTGTGGATGCTGGTGATCCTGCTTGCTGGAATGCTGGGAATGCTGGGAGTGCTGGTAATGCTGGGAATGCTGGGAGCTGGTAATGCTGGGAATGCTGGGAATGCTGGTGATGCTGGTGATCCTGACTGGAGATCGTGTATCCTGGGAATCCTCTGCATGCTGGGGATGTTGTGGATGCTGATGCTGGGGATGCTAAAAAACCGGTGGATGCTGGATCTTGTGGATGCTGGAAATGCTGGGGATGCTGGGATGCTGGTGATTCTGTGGATGCTGGGGATGCTGGGAGATGCATGGGATGCTGGGATACTGAAGATGCTGAAGATGCTGGAGATGCTGGGATGCTGGGGATGCTGATGATGCTGATGCTGCTGGGGATGTGGGGATGCTGTGGCTATTCTTAGACCTTCTGTTGCAGAAATGTTGGCAGACGACGATCATGGAAATCTTCGTGACCGGTTGCTAATGTTGCCGATGTTTGTACTTGACAAAAAGTTGTTTGCTTCGTTGCGGAGTGATTGAGCAAATCAGGTGACAAATCGCTAAAAGGCAAGCAGTTTTTTTAGGCACACAACAAGTGAGCAGCTTGGTTAGAATAAGCTGAAAGGGGCCTTTTTAAGGTTGGCTAAACAAGAAGCCAAACGAAAGACTACCCATTTCGTCCATTTAAAAACAATATGCCCAGTAGTGATAAATTCCCACTAAAATAATCAAGGGAAAATAACAGATATCATGCAGCAAATGGAAGATGTGAGAGGTTCCCAAATTCTGAGACAAAAGGCGCACGTCATCCGAGCTTTGACAAGCCGAGCGCAGCGCAAAGCCCGAAGCAGCAGCGCGCTGCACGGGCGACGAAAAAGCGCCTAAAAAGGCGGGCCCGGTTTGAACGAAACGGTCTGAGTGTAAATGTATGCGGAACCAACCTGGCTATGGGTCAAAACCCCGTACCCCTAGTGAACATCCCAAACCTCGCTAAAATCGGTTCTAAAATAAGTGGTGCACCTACCCCAAAATGATACCATTGGTGTTGACCCACGGCCACTTTCTCTCGTCCGGATGGAGAGGTGGAGCGGTCCTGGTATATCCGGGACAGGCAGAAGAACTATGCGGGGAGGTATGTGGTGGTTGCCGTTGACCTCCGTGTGTACTGGTTCTGTGCACCGATATTCCGATGATGGATGCCCTAAATATTGCCGGGCACAAGCAAGCCATCTCTAATTTACCGTATGCGGTGGTCTCGTAGCTTTGCCTATGCTTGGTTTACTTGCAAAACAATTTTCCGGGGCATCCACCGCATGGGCTCAGTTTTGTGGGGGGGTACCCTTTTAAAGGTTTGTTTTCAGCAGGTAGCCTTGCTCACGGAGTGCCACTCAAGCTCCAAGCGATTCGCTGGCGGCTGCTTGTCCCAGGCATTCCCGATGCACCGCTTGAGGGGTCCCATTGCTCGCTATTGTGCGGCGTATAGTAGGGGGTACTTAAAGACTGGAAACCAAAGCCCGCGAGCAAGGTCAAGTCAAAGCAGTTCAGTGCAAGCAAGCCAAGCAGGACACTGCGAAAAGGACTGCCAACCCTCTTGGCCCGTCCTAAAGACAAAAATAATGACCGCCTTCCCTGCTGAATCAATTGTGGGGTTCCCCGCTGTGAGCAGAATAGCATCCCCCGTCCCCGTGTGCAAGATTGCGGGGTTCCCCACTGTAAGCAATTCCCCGTCCCTGCTGTGGCAGATCTCCCTTTGGGATGCGCGAACCAAGGATCAGTCCAAAACCGAAGCAGTTGATAGGTGATCTAATTCCATTTGCTTTTTTGCCCCCGAGAAATATGTCCAGTAGTGATAGGTTCCCTTTAACAAGGGAAAATACTGTCTTTTCTTCAGCAAGCGGATGTCTATCCCAATATTTCTGGGGTTCATACGTCCCAACTAGTGCCGATCGGTGCGGATTTGGTCCATCCGTAGCCTGAGGCCCTCTCTCGAGCCAATGTTGCTCAAAAAGCATGGTGCAAGCGCCACTTGGCCCTGGAAAAGGGGTACAGAGAAAATATATGTTCAGACCCAAGGCTTTTTCCTATTACACCCTATTCTAGCCAATGTCCAGTTATCTTGGGATTATGTTGGATAATTTCTCTAAGGGAAACCAAAAAAACAAAACGTTGCCATTTTGGGGTCCCCCAAAAAGCAGACGAGCCTTCCACTTACTTAGGGGGAACTTACAACTGACTACAGGGCCCTTGTACTTCTCAACCAAACTCAACAAAAAGGACACCTATCCAGTAAGAAGAGTTCTTCAGGAGAAGACAGCTAAACTATACTCCACTAAGCTCAACAAAAAGGACACCTATGCCTATACAAGGAGAGTTTTGGATCAAAAAGGAAAGCCAGAAATCCAGGCGGGCCGGGCGCCCCGGCATCCGCGTCATCGCTGGCGGGTGGGCGTTTAGATCCGCGTGAGTTCAGGGCTCGTGTTGAGCGCTTCTTCCTTCTTTTTGCTCGCAAGTCTTGAGCAAAATCCTCCAGAAGGCCCCTTTCAAAGGCCCAAAAGCCCATGATCTTTGCGAGAGCCTGAAAAAGCCCACATTGCCTGGCAGACCTTCGCTGGCCTTCACTCCATGTCCTCGCTACGAGCCGAGCGGCCGACTCCATTTCCGTGTTGTGTCGGGATCCGGATGCATGAAAAACACCGATCGAGCATTGCAACCTGTAAATGGCGGTGTCCAACTTTATTTCGGCGGTGAAAAAGGCAACATGTTTCAAATGGGCAAGCAACATGGAGATCTTCTAAGGAGCCCTGCGGGAAAAGGGGGAACGAGAAACTCTGTCCAATGCTGAAATCGATGCCTTTCAAAACGAACAGCTTTGAAAAAAAAGACATATTCCGAAACGAAAAATGGAAGACCTCTGCTTTTCTTCAAGATGGCCTGAAAACAAACTCATTCCGGTGGCATGCGCACACTCGAGAGGAATCAAGCAAAGTCTTGTGCGAGGAGGTTGTCCAGAAAAAGAGGGGAAAGCCTACCGCTGCGAACCCGGGACTCTAAAAGCAAAAAAAAAAACTTGGCTGGAAAAAGGACCCAGCAAAAACATATATCTTTTTTGCCCGGTTGGTGGAAAACAAAGGGACCCCAAAAAAGCAAAAAAGCAAAAAGGGGAGCTAACTCTGGGGAAGGAAAGAGGATGATCTTGCGGCCCTTCCGTCCGCGACGCCTAGAAAAAGTTTTTAAAAAGATGTGTGCAGTAGTGACAGATTCCCTTTGAAACCAACAGGGGAAAGCAAATGAAATATTCTCCTCGGCAATATGGAAGGGCCTCTTGCTTTTGGCCAGCCATGACCTTTTCCTTACGCCAACCGTTCAACAGCCATGGATCTGTGAGTGCGAGACACCTCCCTTCCTTCCTTCCTTCTCCTTTTCGCCGCATGATTTGCGGGAGACAGCGTTGGGCCAAGCTAGCACCAGTTTACCTAGGCTCTCCGAATCTGACCCTGAGAAATGGTGGGTCAGACTACCCAAAAAAATGTTTCAAGATTCGGGTCATGACCAACTAGGCCCTCCAGATTTGAGAGATTAGAATAAGGGTTCCCGATTTTTTCTCTGTGGTCTATTTTAGTAGGGGAACCCTCCCCCAAAAAAGGGGTTAAGAAGGGCACCACTGGGGGACCTCGCCAACCATGTTTGAAGGGTCATGGAGAAGACTCGTCCTTCGAGCAACCAACGTCTCTCAAGCTTCGCCCAACGCTCGTGAAACCGTCGCCAAGAGGCGCCCTGCGTGCCACGACTTCGGTCGGAGCCGGAGGGTCTACGATCCAAAAATTAACATGGGACATCCGCGCTGCGCGAATGAGCGGGCTACATGGAAACCTCGAGAGGGTGATCGCTGGGCTTTTGGCTATCCGCGTGGTAAAATAGATGACCAAGTCCCTGCTCATGTGCTCCTCCCCGAAAAAACAAGCCAACTGAGTTGGGGGTTCATCCGCCCCAACCAACCGATTTCATGTCGCAAGTAAGGAGCCTTCATGAGCTTGGTCGGTCCGCGAGGACCGCATGTAGGTCGCTATGATCTTCCCACCACGGAAACCTCCGCAGATGGAACTCAAAAAGGAGGGAAGGCGAGATTCCAACAAACACGTCCCCGGTCAAGGGTTTCATTAGGATTAAGAAAGTCTTTCGCTGGTTCCATCCTAACCGCGAAAGCACGCGCTCACACGTGCGCCACCGGCACACGCCGGATGCCTCGGTAGTACCTCGGATGCCCCGTGTGCCGAAAGTGAAAAAACGGGGCGTGCGGAGAAACGACAACGGAAACCAAAAGCAAGTAACAAACCTTGTCCTGGTTCGTTAGGGCCAGGAAGAACCATTGAGAAGATGCAGTAAATCAAAGAAATGGACATGATGTCCTTTTTGCTGGTGTTCATGGGAAATCGCAAGGAAAACCACCATTTTGGGTGTCCCCCCGAACCCCAAAAGCAAAACACCCAAATTTCAAATGGGCGCGACATGTGTGCTTCAACCTGCTCATATCTGTAGGAATTGGGCGACACGCGAAAAGCCGAATCGCTCTGTGTAACTTCCCTAAGCCATGCTTGCGAAGCAAGGCTACCCACCAAGCAGCTACCCAACTCATCTGGACAAATGATACCCCTACCCCAAATACCCCACTTGTTCAGGGGATGTTGTAAAACCCACCGGTTTTCCCCAAGCACATCCGATCCTTGCGGGGGGGGGGGGGTCAGAGCTCGACCAAAGTACCCACACTGCGAATGTACGAAGTGGCCCCAAGAAAGGGCGCGAAGGCTTCCCCGAAACGTGGCTCTGAGCGGGGACCCAGAAAACGCACGAATGGGTGCGTCCTTTTTTTGGGCTAGTTTGAGACAACCCTAAATGGGTTTGTCTCTGGGCTATGACTTCAAAAGAGATCCTATAAGTCTGCATGTCATGTGACCTAACTTGAACCCCACCCGAAGCGGAACGGGCTTTGACTGAAGGGTGCTGAGTGCTTTTTGGATCAGAAATCGCAGGGCGACATGGGGGCGGCTGGCCTTTTTGTTGTGGGTACCCCTTGTTGGTGGTTTTGGAGGGAAACCAAAATGAACCCACCATTCTTGTGGGTCCCCTGAAAAAACCGAAACAGCCACGCGGTTTCTGAACAGAGTTTCTGCACAGGATGGGTGAGAATGGAAAAGGGATCAACTCGACTTGTAGGTGTTCTGATTCTGACCCAACAAATTCTTCAACCAAACCAACCCGCAAAAGGACACCGAAGCGGCCTCGGACGGACAAAACATAGCCTCGGAGAGACCGATTCGAATCGGAGAGACCAATTCGGGGCCGAGCCGCTCTCGGAAAGGGCAAGCACAGGGGGTGCTGAGGTTGAAGTACCTTCCATGCGCTGGGCGGTGGTTGGAGGCTTGGTCATTCTCAGACTCCAAGTGGCGGTTTCCATGGGGGAAAAAAAAAAACGAGGGGAGGGGGGGCTCTTTTTTGGGGCTCTTTTTTTGGCTTTTTGTTTTGCTCTATTTTTTGGGGTTTTCCTCCTCCCCCCCCCCCCAACGCCCTCCAAAAAAACAAGAAAACGGGAAACCGCAGGCTGGAGCTTTGAGCCTCTCGGATTCGGCATTTTGATTCATCGCAACAAGGGAGCAACCTGGCAGCGCCACTCAGGCAAGCGGCAACCTAACACCAACGGAGGATATATTAATCAAACTGGTCATTGCTGTTCGCAGTAAACTAGAAGAGATACAAAACGAAGTGAAACGAAGCCTCAACACCCACAGTTGTCCGCCAATCAAGACTCGCTTTTTCTAGCATGGGACTGTCGCTTCCTGGTTCCCGGCCGCCCTGGCAGAAGAAGGGGAACGTCGTTTCGGGGTGGACTCACCAAACCGAAATGGGAAAGGGGTGCCCGTCAGTCAACTGGAGGTTCATGTTCGCCTATCGGCGCAAGGAAGGAGGCACCTATACACTCGCAACCAGAAGCAGTGCGTTGCGATTGGTGCTTTCACAATCATGTTGACGCAAAAGTGCCTGTCATCAAAATCCGGGTCTCGGAGAGTCTGCGGTGTCCCCCTGGTTTTCCCTTTAAAACGAGCCCGAGAACCCATGGAGACATCGGGGTGAACTCCCCCCAGGCTTAGTTCAAACCCATGACTTGCCCCTGAGGCACCTGAATTATTTGTTAAATATGTATATATATATATATATATATATATGGGGAAGAAAAGAAAAGATCTGTATTAAAATGGTCGTAATCCGAGAACCATGTGAAGAATTAAGCAGGCGGAATTCCGCACCTATTTCCGGATTTGACTACCCCGTACTAACCTTCATCTACCCGAATCGGGTTTGATCGTGGCTCAAATGGTCCGACGAAACCTCGGCCCATCAGCCGATGACGTCGATTCGCCTTAGGTGAGAAGCTCGAAACTTGACGCCGGAAAACTTGACGACTCCAGGTCCCCAAGGCCAAGAGCCATGGATTGGCACAAGCCAAGCATGGCCATGGGTCAAACCCCAAATCGTAGCCCCAGTGAACATCCGATTCCATCCAACCACAAAAACCGGAAGCCTAGAATGGGTGGTGAACTCACCAATCCCAACCAAAATGGGATCCCGTTTAACGGTTTTGAAACCCACAGCCACATGGATCAACCAAACGTGGAAGGTCTTAAGGACTAGAAGCGAGTCACTCAGGTTCTGTATGTCTTTCGTTCATGCAAGAGTTCTTCACACGTTAACACCCACTACTTTCATCCCCCCCCCTTCCGCTAAGTCAACCATGGCCCAACGCAAACAAAAAACAAACCAGGCCCAACCAAATTCGCCCCCAAATCCCTCCAATTCCTTCCCTCTTCTTTTCTTAAACCCCTTAAACCCACCAGTCCTAATCCCCGTCACTCCCCAGTCAATCCACCAACCAACCAACCAACCAACCAACCAACCAACCAACCAACCAACCAACCAACCAACCAACCAACCAACCAACCAACCAACCAACCACCACCACCACCACCACCCAGTCCCCTCTCCCCACACACCCCCTCCCCCCAGGTCCAACGTTAATCACCCCCCAGTCGCTCCACCAAGACCCCTTCCACCCAAAACCCGGATTCCCGGACTTCCCGGACCCGGAAGGTCCAGCCTGTAGAAGAAGATCAGAAAGCCCTCGAAGGACACCGCCTCCTTCCGCTCCCGGTCCGCCTCCGCCCAGAACCTCGATCCGCCAAGTCGAACGAACCTCCGGCCCCGGTTTTGGCTCGCGCCCGCCCCCGCGCGTTTCGCGCGCCGCGTAGCCAAAAACCGGCTCGTTACGCGAGGCCTCAGCCACGGGCGCGATGTTGTTGGATCGCCGAAAGCCAGGAATCGCAGCGCCGAGATCCAGGACACAAGTGGTCGACTCCCGTGGTACGAGCAATGCAGGAGTTGGTCGTTTGGATTTGGCTTGTGTGCTTATGTTGGTTCTACCGAAATGGCGGTTTTCAGGTTTGTAGCCTCACTCACTGAACATATTCACCCTCGAAAAGGACATGCCCTAAATGGGGCCCCGATGTTTGGAATCAGACAAGGACAGCCGTGCGAACCTTGTTTAGTGTGAAGCCCTCGTTGGTGAATTGTTCCTTCAGGCAAAGACCGCGCTAGATTGATTCATCAAGATTGACTCCCTTTGGCGTGACCTGGTCGTTCCTGGCTTTACAGGAAACCAGCCGTACTTAGACGGTTTGTGAGGTAGGCAATTGGTTGCCCCAGTCCAGTTCCGCCCTCCCCCGGATACCTCCCGATTAGCCGCCTGGCCTTTTACACATCGGGGTTTACTCATTGACCATCTCAGGTTCTACTTGGTTTATAAACAAGCTGTGAGCCGTGTCAAGCTCCTGCCCGTGATTTTTTTGACCATCCCTCTGTCGAAACCCTGGCCTGCTAGGGTTGTTGCTTGGATCCCAGCTTTTCTAGGGCGACCTTCCATGTCCCACCAAGAAACGATGAGACCTGGTGGGCCACGATTGAATCACTGATGGTTCTGGAGGTACCTTCCATTTCCATGCTGAGGGATCCGAATCTTTCTAAAAAACCTCCATAAACCCAGGGGAAACGGATCTGGTTCTTGAAACGAACGATGGTTGAAAAGAATGGGGAATAAAACCCTAGAACTCTTAGTGGGTTAAACTTGGAAACGACCACTAAACCAACTAAAACGCCAAAAAGCTAAACACGGGAAGCAGCTACCCCTAGAAAGCACCTAGAAAGCAGGATCCCTAGAAGGTACCCCTACAAGGATCCCCAGAAAAGCTTACCTACATGGCCAAGTTCCGATCGCTGTTACTCAGTCACTGCTGCGATCGGTTTTTGCGTAAAGCGCATGGGAAAAAGATTCGATCGCCACGGGCGATCCAGGTTCTCGGGCCCCGGGCTGCTGCACCCGGCTGGGCGGCAGCTCGCAGTTCCCAGGCAGCTGAGAGAGCGGAGAAGCCACGCACGCATCCCCTCTCGGTTACTTTCTGCCCAGCCAAAAGTCTAGCTTTTAGTGGTTTGATGGAAAAAACCTTAGCTGGCAAAAAGTTAAAGTCCTAACATCCAAGCAAAATGCACCAAAGCCCTGTGTGTCTCAAAATAGGGATTTGGACGCCTAAAATATTGGTGTTTCGATTCCTTTTGGTGTCCTACATTTCGCTTTTTGGAACCTCCAAGAGTGGCAGTCTTAAGGGAAACAACCAGTAAATTGATCAACTTGTTAAGGGGAAATCCTGAACCCCTTGCTTCCTCTGGCTGGAGGCTGCAAGCTAGCCCACTGTCCGTCGTTTTGCCACTACAGCTACCAGAAAGGTTTTACCCCCCTGGCTGCCAACTATAGTGACTTGCCCGGCAGCACTGAGCAGGGTTTGATTAGTATTCCCTCACAGCGCATTTTCTCAATTTTTGAACATGTGTCGAGCCACGTGCAACTGCTTCTCCATGTCAAGTAGATCTGGACTCTGGACTTGAGGTCCGGAACGAGCAAAGAAGAACTCAGCATGAATAATCATAATGTGGATTGCGAAATCCGGAAATCGCACCACCTTTGAGAAACCCTGGAATAATTTGTAGATACAACAAAACAATGGTTTTAACCATGGTTTCAAAGTGGCGCAGGATTCTGTCCGTCCACAGTATGAATCGTCAGAATAACCTTGCTGTCTGTTCCCGCAAAGAGCTTGGGGATATCAGTGCATCCTCTGGCTTTCGGAATTTTGGTGAGCCCCCCGCATGGCTGATATGATGACCAAACCAAATGGCAAATAATGTTAACCCCGGATTAATAAACCCCTGGTTGATTAATAGGGGGGTGCTTTTCCCTTTTTAGTGGTTGGATTCAGACCACTTTTGGAGGGGGTTCCACCCCCCCTAATGGGACGGGTTCTACTTAGATCCTGGGTCAACATTACACAGGGAAAATGATCCTTTGACCGGACACGTCGAAGGTCCGTGCGTGGCCTATGGTAAGAAACGCGCGACCAGAAAAAGACGCTGAGCCTTCAGAGGCAAGCGCAAAGGACAGGGGAAAATTTGCACCCGGGAACCAAACAAAAGTTGGCGCCTAGATGCCAAGTTGCTACTTGGTTCAGTCACTCTTGCTGGCTTGCGGGGTACAGTGCATGAAAAAAAAATAAAACTATCGCAACTGGCGATTTGCTGGTGGATCTGAACCACCAAATTATGATGTCCACCATTGCAGGCCCCCAATGTAAATTTAGGAATCCCCAGTAAGGGACCGTCATGCGTCCGCGCTCACGAGCTCCTTAAGCCACAAACTTTCGGGAACGCAAAGTCCGGAGCCACCATGCGTCATAGCGCAAGCCATTCCGTACATCCATCTTTGATTCGCCTTGCGGCAATGGGCAGGGACTTTTGCGTGTGTGTGTATATATATATATACATACATATATATATATACATACATATATATATATATACATACATACATATATATAGTATATATAGTGTGTGTATATATATATATATATAAATGGGGGTTTTAGACCCCATAGCCTCAGCTGTTGGCGAAAAGGACCAGAACCCAGCGTCTCCGCTCCGCGATCATCCAGCTCCGCACAGCGCGGCCGGGTTTTTAAACCGGCCTTCACCAGAGCGTTCAGCAGCGTCCTGAACTCCGCGTAGTCGATGTAGCCGCTGCTGTCCTGCGCAAGATCTCTCCCCGCAAAAGAACTACTAGACATAGTCTCTCATTTTTCCCATTGGTCGAAAAACCAAATGGTTGACCCATGGCCATCTTGTCGGGTATTCATATAATTCATATGGGTATGGGTCAAGATTCACCCACGAGGAATTGGACCGCAGGTTTTTGGTCCTTGTTGCCATTTACCAGCACAAGCCATACCTATTTTTGACCCACACCCAGATCTCGCAAAGAGGCCTCGCTTGTGGCCAGCATCGATGTCCTTTGCATTAACAATGGATGGCGATTCCTGGTAGATTAAAACTAGGCTGGAATTAGGACCCCTGCAAAACAATATCTTCTTTGCCTGGCTAGTGGAAAACAAAGGGACCCAAAAAAAAAAAAAGGCGAAAAAAGAGAAAAGAAAAAGGAGAGCTAATTCTGGGGAATTGGATTGACAATGGATGGCGATTCCTGGTAGATTATGGCTCACAACGCAGGCTGGGTCGAGAGGTTGAGAGCCCTAGGGTTCCTGACGGCTTGGAGCCTTAGGCAGCCTTCGGGTTCAAAAAGCCCCCTGAAAACAACCCGCCCAGTGGGTGGGTGGCCAAAAAATAGGTCGCACCAATTGAAACCGTGGAGTTGAAACCGTTGTTTGTTGGCTTTCACAGGCGAATCGACTCTTGCCAGCGGTTCTTAGGTGCGAAATGGAGTTCGCAACCATCCACAGTAGGGATTCCCGAATCTACTTCTACCAGCCAAAAAGGACACCTATGGCGGCCAGGCTTTCAACTTTCCTTTCCGGAGACAACAAAACAAAAAGCTGCGACGACTTCGGGATGTTTGCTCTCGCTGAAACGGGAAACTGCATCTCCACCCTCCGAAGGGGTGATGAATCACCGCGCCAAGGAAAAAGGGCACATCGTTCGCGGCTTGGACGGGAAACAAGTTGATTATGCCTAACCCCTGGTTGATGGATGGCGGGAGTGTCTGGCTCTAAGGGCGCAAATCACTTAGGGGAAGTCCGCCATCATCCGCACCAGGTTGTAATGGATCCGGGGTCGACAAGGGATAGCCGTGAAAGGAAGACCCGAGCCCAAATGTCGCCTGGGAATGCGAATCAATCCCTTGTTCCCAGAAAAGTCTTCCCAAAATGTCTAAAGTGCAGGAACTACCAACTCAAACCCTCCAGGGCAAGTCCCCTGGCTGTGAAAAAGATCCATAACCCTTGTTTGCTTGATGTTGTATCTCAGCCTCTCTCTTGGATCCTGGCGCGTAACCCAAACGAATGGCATTCGGGCGCACCTTCAACATGAGACATGATCAAAAATGGCGTGTTCCCCCGAAAGGACCTGGAAAACTGAGTGAGACCCCTGGGTTTTCTTGGAAGATAAAGTGTGTATATATATATTATGAACTTGGTATTGCTGAAATCAAAAAAGCACCAAACGCAACCAAAAGGAATTCTCCCACACCGAAGGCCCCTTGAGAAATCTCGGATGGGTTGCTGGCATTGCCTTTTGAGACCGAACCAAGTCCTAAAAAAAGTGTCCAGAGGGGCATCCGACGGCCGTCCACAGATTATCTAAACGCCATTCCCCCCCCCCAAAAAAAAAATGTAGATTATGCAAGGGGCTAAAAAACGAATTGGAATGGGAGTGCGGGGGGAGAACCGGAAAACAGCATTCAATCATGCTCCCTAGCGTGCGCATTTTGTTTACTCATTATATTCCTCACCCAGCAACGAGTATGGCTTGCTGCGGAGCTCTTTCCAAAAAAAAGCTGAGTCTAATCAAAACGGATCGATATTCAAATATTCGATCCAAGGCCAGAACCATGCTTCAAGAAAATTCAAAAGGCGGAATGCTGCATCTATCTATGGCGAGGGGACTATCCCTTGCAAACCTTCATCTTGCCGACTTTGATTCTTGCTTTTGCACAATAGGGAATGACCTTCCGAGTCTTGGGAATGAACCGGAAGGGGAGTCCCCGAAAGGAAGCCACAAGGGCTGGTTTTCAGGGGTCATTCCAACTCATTCCCTGAGCACCAGCAAGTAGGAATCGGAACCCAAAGAAGGCGTCGGTTTTTCCTACCAGGTCTCCCCTTTAAGGTAACCCTGTTATAATTCCCTAACAAAACTCGACATGGATTACCCCAGTGGCTCAAAAAGTGTCGTTTCGGTGGGGGCGGGAAGGTGCTACGTCTATGCCTGGACACCGCATTCTAAAGGAGGGAAGTTGCTTCGCATTTTGCGGCGAAACCAACTTGGAGAGGTAAGGGTAACCCCAAATTTTCTTCAACACCTGGTTGGCTATTAGCAAGGTGTCGCCTTTTGGTGGAAATCCAGGATCACGTTGGGGGACTGCTTGTTAGCAGGATTGGCTCTACTTAGATCCAGGGTTTATCCGGGTTTGACACATCATGGGCGACCGCGGTTGCTTATGCCTTCTCTGCTCGCGGGAGGAAAGTCCGTCACAAGAGCTGGAACTGCGAAATACACGGCCATAGCTCCCCCAGCGGTTCCTGCCCAACCAATACAAAGATGTGTTTTGTTTGTGTCTAAGGTTGGTCCATGCTGAAATCATGTTGGGATATCCCAGATCACTTCCTGAGTAGATTTGCCCACTACAACGGTCAACTTTAAACTCCGGGAACTCTGGAAGTGAGGATATGAGGCTCCTCATCGAAGAAGTCGAACTTCTTCTTGTACTGCTCCACCTGCGGCCAGGTGCCACATCATCAAAACCCGAGCAACCTGCCGCCTAGGCTTTTGTGAGTCTCCTCCCAAAACAATCAAGAGATGTAATACCGTTGATGGACGAGATCCATTTCGCACCATTTGAAACCATGGTTGAAACAGTTGTTTGTTGGCAGTTGCAGGGGAACAATCCTTTCAGGGTTTGCTAGGTGGTGCGAAATGGAAGTCGTCCATCCACAGTACTGTCTGTTTATCACATCAAAGGCGGGGCTGCCTGTGTGTGTAGATGAACATCTAGCGCGCGCCACAAACACAAACATTGAAGGCATGCACCCCTCGTAACCTTAGTCAAACTGCGAACCAATCGTGGTGGGCAACCGGACCTGCGTGGTACGGCTGATCAAGGCGAGGAATTATCGTTGTGAGAGCCTAATTACCTGGGTCCTCCAGAAGAGAGGTTAGAATAAGAGTACCAACTTTTCTTCTGTAGTCTGCTTTAGTAGGGGAACCCTCCCAACCAAAAAAGGGGAGAGAAGGGCACCTAGCTGGGGGACCCAGTTACATCACATCTACGAAAGCGCCCTAAGCAACCTACGGGTCGTTTTTGTTTGCTTTCGCAGCTTCAAGAGCTCTCGAGAGGGGCCCCGGAAGCCTAACCGCAGACCAGATCCGTGAAGAAAGCCCCAAGCAAACCGCAGGGATCCGGATGCAGTGAATACACCGATCGAACATTGCAACTTGTAAATGGCGGTTTCCAACTTTACTTTGGGTGTTGAAAAAGCAACATGTAACTCAAATGGTTGCAACATGGAGATCTTTTTTTTCGGAGCCCTGCGCAGTTCATCCGCATCCGCCTCCCTGCAGCCTCTGTGGTGCAAGGAGATTCTCTGCATGCACTCAAAACCCAAATGTGGCTGTGGGTCAAAAATGCGTACCCAAAATTGAGCCCTGGGAAATGGAGCCAAAGACTAAAACCTGCGGTTTCCTGGTGCTATTTTGACCCATACCCATGTCATAGACAGAGCAACACTGCGATCGCGTCCAGACATGCAAATGTAAATGATGTTGGAACCTTTCAGATGCTAAGGTAATCCTTTTCAGGTTGGTTTCAAGGGAAGCCGGAAAGAGACAACAGCTCTTGGGTTGACACATACCCAACTGTTTACCAGGCCCCTAGCCCAAGGTCACATAACCATTGGATCGCCGAAGGCACACTGTTCAAAAAGCCTGCCTTAAAGGGCTTCCAGTGTCAAAAGCTACTACCTGGACTCTCCATGACCCTTAAAAGATGGTTGGTCATTGCCCAAAAGAAAGAGGTCAAATGGGCCCTTCTTCTAGGGGTCACGTAGACTCTAGGCAAAATCGGGGCTTCTTTTTGTTCAAACCCGCCCCGCCGAAGGCCAGCGGTCCAACTCGCCCGCGAATTCGCTACGCGCCTCGATGATGGGCAACTCGTACTTTCGGGCCTGGCGAGATGTGGCAAGGCGATGTGACTTTTGTCAGTGGTCTCTTGTAGTAGGGGAACCCTCCCCAAACAAAACGGGGTCAAAAAGGGCAGCTGGGGGACCTAGACGACTTCTCAGATGGTCCGAGACTTAGCTAATGTTGACCCAGGATCTAAGTAGAGCCCGTCCTTTTCACTAGGGGGGTGGCTCCACCCCTCCAGAAGTGGTCTGAATCCAACCACTAGAAGGGGAAAAGCACCCCCCTATTAATCAACCAGGGGGTGATTAATCCGGGGTTAACATTACGAATAAAGACAACGCGGAAAAGAAGAATGATAATAATAAACCTCCCTGTGGATGGATCGAAATCCAGTAGAACCCTGTGGATGGATAATTCGTCAACCCCCTGAATCATTCAGCAGAACCACCTTACAGTGGATGGTTGCGAGATCCAGAAATCGCACCGGCTTTCAGAAACCCCGGAAGAATTCGAATCCCCTGTAAATGCCAACCAACAATGGTTTCAACCATGGCTTCAATTTGGTGCGAACGGATGTCATTCATCCACAGGAAAGAAAACCCAAAGAGGTCCCTTCAGGTCGACTCCCTTCAGCTCGCTTTGGACAAAAGCGAAATCTTCCATCCAGGGGGACACCCTAAAGGGGTGGCTTCCCTTTGGTCTCCAAAGACTTTTCCCTCCAAAACTGGTACCCTCCAAACCCACAGAAAGTCCCCCCCCCTTTTGGGGGCGGTGGCGCCGAAAAAAATCCCGCACCAGCTCGCGGACTTCCATCTGGGCGTTGGTCAAGAGCATGGTCTCGTTGAAGAAGTGCCTCCCAGACGTTAAAACGTCTCGGGGAACTGGTGCTCAGTAGGGAATGAGGGAATGACCCTATAAACCAACCCTTGTGGTTTGCGTTAAGGGAGTCTCTGGAACCAAATGAGTCACTTGCTCAAAACTTCCTAGATAGCCAAGTTGCGATGGCTTTTTTCAGTCACTGTTGCGATCGGTTTTTGGGGGTTTTGAGTGCATGAAAAAGAAGAAGAAAAAAAACGATCGCAACTGGAGATCCAAATCCCAGAACCATGCTTCAACAATTAAGAAGGCGACTATTTCTGGCTGGGACTGCCCCTTGCTAACCTACTTTCACGGCTCGTGGAACCTTTTGGGGGGCGACAAGGCGAGAAACTCCCCGGATCCTTTCTCGTTGGAAACTTTGGGGGGCCGGCTTCCCCCCCGGAAACATTTGGAAAGCCGAGAGAACCCGAAAGTTTGGTGAGAAACCCCTAGCAGGCCGAAGGGCGGAGGCCAAATGGACCCTTCTAGTGTCTGGGGTCGGGAAGGTGGGTCTCCTCGTATCTGGGTACTTCCTCTGTGCATCGCATGGGAACAAGACAACACACACACACACACACACCCCTTACCCAAAGTTGAGCTTTCACCAAAAAAAAAGAAGGAAAAGAAGAAAGACGGCCCCAACATCCCCCCCCCCTTTCTCAAAGTTGAGCTTGCACCCCCCAAAAAAGAAAAAAACCGCCTTTCCAGCCCAACGCCCCATAGATGTACTTTTGCCCACCGGGACCGCCTACCAACAATAGAAGTGGCTTTGCCCATCTTCGTGGGAAACGCGTCCTGGACCGAAGCAAGCCACAACCAAAACCTGGTATTCACCGCGCGGGATGGCATTCCACGGGAGCGGTAAGGTTTGGTCCCGGGGATCTGAACCGCCCCAATCTTGATGGTTCTATCCCCAACCTTCATCTGTGGCTCGTCGTGTTGTTGAGCCTCGGCACCCCGTGTTGGGTGGTTCAAAAGGGAAGCCGAAAGGACACTTCCATTGCAACGCGAGCCATTTCGGGGGGTCGTTCCTATCGCAACAAACGCCCAAAAAGAAGACGAGACATCGTCACTAAAAAACATCGGACCCGCCATGTTTCGGAGTCCTTCCTAAGGAAATAAAAAAAAAACAGGTGAAATCCCCAACAGCATGCGGTGCTCTTTTTAGTGCTCGCACCACCCCGCAGCCCTCGCAGAACCTCGCAGAACCCTGGTGGAACCCTGGTGGAACCCTGGTGGAACTGTGGCGGAACCCTGGTGGAAATCAATACCCCCCCCGAGCCTATCTGGGCTCATCGACCCCAAAGCTTTCAGCTGTTGGGGAAGAAAAAAGAAGAAAAGAAAAAACGAGACCCCTCGCACACCCAAAAAAAAAAAACGTCGCCGAGAGAAGGCGCCAGCTCGCTCGCGAGCTGGGGCTCCGCGGGGCTCCGCTCCGGGGCTCGCGCCTGGAGTACCAGAAGGCGAAGTCCAAGAAGGTCACGGCCTTCTCGGCCTTGGCATCCTCGGAGCTTTCAGCAGATCGATCGGAGCCCCCACACGGAGAAATGGGCTTCTGGGTGAAAACCCCAAGCCCGTAGCTTGCAGGGAACAGCCGGTTCAAGCCAACCACCAAAATCGGGTCTAAAAAGGGAGGCGAACCTGGCCCTAAAAGGATTTGTCTCGGTTGCGAAATCTGCTCCCCTGCTAAAAGTGACTATCCTTTTAGTGGTTTAATACGGAAAACATCCATTAGTGGGCCAACAGTTCTCAAGTCCTAGCATCCTTGGCAAAATGCACCAAAGGTTTCGTGGACTTGGCAAAAGTAGCCATTGAATTCCTCACTTCCAATGTGGATGGTCCAAAAGTAGCCACACTTTCCGGTGGTCTTGAACTCGACAAGGCGAGTTCCCTGTCCAACCCGCGAGGAGTTGAGTTCGCCCTTGGTTTCTGAAATCCCATGTAGCTGTGGGGTCAAAAAAATAGGCATCTAACAGGGAAACCTGGTAAATGGAAATATGGACTATTCAACAACGAAAACCTGGTCCAATTCCTGGTGGTTAAATTTTGACCCATACCCACGTTGAACAGGTCCTTTCAGGCCATGTTGATTGAGCCTTTTTGGGGTGATCTAACCAAAGCAGACCCCCACCCCGAGACCCCCATGCAGGTATTGATGAGGGGCCCGGTCCCTCCTGAGACAAATGATTTTCCCCATCGAAAAGGGACCTCCCTGAACAATCAGTGGGCGGGGTTACTAATCAGGGGTCTGGCATTACCGTTGACGCGAACAAAGTCCGCGCGATCCAAGTGGTTTGCCACCCGTTCAAAGGGCTCCCCATCTCAGAGTGACAGCCGAGCCCTTGACTTTTGCGAACCCACTGTAAACCCTTGCCTCTGGGGTGGCTTGACATTTAGCCAACTCCCTGGCCATTTAAATGTTTTCCTGCACAAAACAAAACGCCGTGCAAATGAACCCGTGCACAAAACACAACACGCCCGCAAGCAGATTGCAACAAAGCAAGGAACCGGAGCAGCACAAAACGCCCATAAGCAAATGATTCGCAAGCGATAAAAAGCATGGGATGTGCGGCCTTGAATACCAAGCCGAACCTGGGAATGGGCCTTTTTCTCTCCGGGCTTGGCAACATTCGGAGCCCCGGCCTGGGGAGAACACTAACGCCCCTCACCCCCGAAAGGGCTGCGCATCAGATGACTGAAAGCCTCTCAGGGGATTCACTTGGAAGAAGCGATGGTTCCCCCCACTTCAAAACAGGGGGTAGCTGGCACGTGCGTTCCGGACACGCCACTAATATGGAACCTGCCAGACAATCCCTTGTTGGAGGAAACTTTTCTTGCAGGACCTACTGTGAGGTTCCATGTTTGCATGGGAGGGTATGTGTTCGGCCAATTTCGTGGAGATAGGCGGGGTCACTGAATGTCGAGGACGCGCAGGTGGCGCATTTCATTTTGCCGAAGGGGACTCTTTTCGTTTTCGCTGTCGGCTGTACCATGGTAAATGGAAATGGGATTGCGTTGCAAAGATTATGTTTGTTCTCGGTTGCTTTCTCCCCCCTGCTAAAGGTTTAACTTTTAGTGGTTTAATACGGAAAACCCCTTAGTTGGCAAAGAGGTAAAGTCCTAACATCCCTTGGCAAAATGCAGCTCTGTGTTGGCGCCGCGCCGAGGCGCCTTTGCTTTCTGGACAACTGACTGGGGACATTCCCTGTCCGAAGGCTTGTCCAAATTGCCGGGGCCGTCTGGTTGGTACACATACCCTCGGAATTTCCCAGACTGCATATGATTCTACGGCCTCACCAGAAACCAAAACTGGTGGACTTTGTCTAGGTCCTCCAGATTTGCGAGGTTAGAATAAGGGTACCAACTTTTTCTGTAGTCTATTTTAGTAGGGGAACCCGCCCTACCAAAAGAGACAGGTTTAAAAGGCACCTAGCTGGGGGACCCAGTTGTGTTGCTTCTTGCTCTGGTGCCAACCTGCCTTGCCTTTTTGTTGGGCACCCTTCGAGCGCCTGAGCGCCAGTGGCGTAACTAAAAGACTCGTTCGCTCCAAGCCGCTGCATCCTGGAAACTCTGCTGGATGAGCCTCGCAAAGGGGGCTGCGTGCAAGCGCGAAACCAAAAGCGGGCGTGGTCTAAAGCGAGGGCAAAAAGAAGAAATGGCTGTGGGTCAAAAGGCTGGTTTGGGGGGATCAGGAGGGGAGCCTTCCATTCACCCTCAAGAACCGGGGCTTCAAATCCAATTCAAATCACAAATTGGCTGTGAGTCAAAAATAGGAACCCAAAATGGAACCCTGGTAAATGGAACCAAAGACAAAAACCTGCGGTTTTGTGGTGGTTAAATTTTGACCCACACCCAAATCACCATTTGGACGCCGCGGATCTTGACGCAGACCAACAAAACATGCCCTCGCCCTTGTTGCTTTTTGTTGCGGTGGATGCCCCGTTCGCCATGGTGCAAGTAAGACAACACCACACACACACAGACACACACAGACACACCCAGACACACACAGACACACACAGACACACACAGACACACACAGACACACACAGACACACACAGACACACACAGACACACACAGACACACACAGACACACACAGACACACACAGACACACACAGACACACACAGACACACACAGACACACACAGACACACACAGACACACACAGACACACACAGACACACACACACAGACACACACACACAGACACACACACACAGACACACACACACAGAGACACACACACACAGACACACACAGACACACACACACACACACACACACACACACACACAGACACACACACACACACACACACACACACACACACACACACACACACACACACACACACACACACACACACACACACACACACACACACACGCACACACACACACACACAAAGCGATGGGAAACTACAGAAAATTTGGTGCCCTTACCTCCATATGAACGGGGCATCCACCGAAACCTCCTTGTCCTTGACCTTGGCGCTAAGTTAGCCCATCACGCAGCTTGGCAACCACGATGCCATATGGCCGTGGGTCAACGCCAATGGTACCATTTTGGGGTAGGTTCACCACCCAGTTTAGGCTTCCTATTTTAATGGTTGGATTGAATCGGATGTTCACTGGGGGTACGATTTGGGTTTTGACCCATGGCCATATGTGCTACCACTCTCCGATCGCGTGATTCGATGGGCGAAAAAAAAGGTAGGGAACTGTTTGATGTCCGGCAACGGCAAGACCCAACCAGTCTCATGGAGTCTCAGACCTCAGCCTCGGCTCCGAACCAAGCGATATAATTTTGCCCGACGTCGAGCCGGAGCCTAGGCGAAACCACATTCTGTGGTTACGAAAACCATGTTTCGCGCCCTCAAACCAAGGGAACACAAAAAATATTATCTTAAGCAAATGGAAACCATACTGTGGATGGACGAAATCTATTTCGCACTACTTTGACACGATAGGAAACCATTCTTTCTTGGTATTTGCAGGGGAATCAAATCCTTCCAAGGCTTCTTAGGTGCGAAACGGATATCGTCCGTCCACATATGCGCAACACTCCGAAAACAGACAACAAGCGCGCCACGACAATTCAAAACTGGATGGATCGGGGCACCAGTTGGGACTGGCTGTTGCTCGCAACTCACTTGCGTGGACTCAAGCCCGGGAACTGAAAGGCGTTTCTCTTGGGGCCGAACACCGGCGCCAAAGGACAAGGCAACACCCCTCCTTTCTCAGGCCCCTTACTTGACCCCCTGGAACTGGAACTGTAGGTTCTGGTGCATGTCTGCCACTGATTGGCATGATTGGGGGAGGCGGTTCTTAGGGTTTGAGTCTTTTTGCCTCTGCGATAGCGCACAGAGTCTGTTCGACGCAGCGATTTCTTGGGGGGGGGAAGGAGAAGGAGAAGGCCCCCAAAACAAAGGTTTGAGTCTGCAAAATCGACTCCTAGGATGGTTGGCAACCTCCCTCATTTGGGGCATTGGCTTTGGTGTTCTTCGACATTTGGCTCTGCATCGACGCTTCGAGTGTCCATGGCACGTGTCTCTCGGGCCAATGGGCTCCCCGGCCCCGGTGGCAGCTCGGCGGTGCTGTGGCAGCCTGCCCAAAGGGTTAACCACCGGAAGCACCGCGAGCGGTTCGACAGGTCAAAGGTGTTGAAAAAGCAACATGTTTCAAATGGTGGTGTCCAACTTGTAAATGGTGGTGTCCAACTTTATTCGAAGGTGTTGAAAAAGCAACATGTAATTCAAATGGTTGCAACATGGAGATCTTTTAAGGAGCCCTGTTCGATAGGCAGGGAATGTGTTGGAATGACCCCGAGAGAAAAATCATCCCCTAGGTCCTCCAAATTTGAGAGGTTAGAATAAGCGTACCAACTTTTTTCTGTGTGGTCTATTTTAGTAGGGGAACCCTCCCCCCAACAAAGGGCAAAGGGGCACTACTGGCGGACCTCGCCTACTGTTTCCCTTAAGTTGTTTCCCTCAAGGCCAACTGGGTCATTCCCTACTGAGCACCAGCAAGGAAAACAGATTCTTTGGGAGAGGAATTCATGACGAATTGCTCGAACTGTGTGTTGGAGAATACTGTGGACCCCCCAACCGACCTCCCAAACCCAAAGCCACCCGGAGCCTAGTTTTGCCTCATTCGGCTCCATTTGAAGATCATGTTTTTGGTGCACTGACCGGAGTTGGGCCAAGTTTACTGAATTCTTGTGCGCCTGCAAAACGTTTGTTGAGTACCCTGTACAACACCTATGGAAAACCCACCATTGTGGGGCTTTCCCTATTTTGCGGTTCAATCGTTGCAAACGTCTCCCTTTGGTTTCCCTTCAACCCCACCCCAAACCAGGAAAACACACCCACCATACTGTGGACAAACGGAATCCATTTCGCACCACCTCAGAAACCCTGGAACGACGATTCCCCTGCAAATACAAACAAAAACAGATAGTTTCCCATGTTTTAATAGGTGGTGAAATGGATTTCGATGGTTGTTGAGGAATGGGAACCCTGTTGATTGGTAAAATCATGAGGGGACGGAGGGGAGGGGAGGGGAGGGGAGGGGAGGGGGAGGGGGAGGGGGAGGCCTTACCTCAATTTGTCCAAATTATCTTGTTTTTGCATCGAATGTGCAAAAAGAAGCAAAAAAGTGCAAAAAACATTCAAAATGAAAAAATCTGCAAAAAGGTGCCGAGTCTTCCCATGTTCTTTGGAGAGTTGCAGCACGACTTGCCAGAGCCAGCGCAGTAGGCGGCTGGCTTGGGATCGGTCGGCTTGTCGCTGTCCAAAAGCCGTCTGGTGGCGTGCGGGGATTGGTAGTTGGTGACTTCTTGCGGCGGCTTGTGAAGATGACGTGGGATCCCACGCACACTGTCGGAGATCCAGCAAAGCATTCAGGAGAGCACTGAGGCCCTCCCAGAGAACAAGTCCAAGAACAAGAAGAAGAAGCCGGCTGCACCTACCACAGGGCGTGCTCTTGGGCCACCCCGGTCTAGGATTCATTCAGCGCCATAGTGGAAAACGGCGCTGCCGTTTGGGTCTTGTCCCTCTTGGAGTTGGACCCTGCTGCATACCCCGCCAAACAAGACCCTGGACTTCGCGGGCCAGAGTGATCTTCATAGGCTCATATAATTGAAGCCTGGGAAGAACGAAGCTAGGACGAAGCTCGGTCATAGGCACCGAAGCTAGTCAAAGCTAAAAGCACCTGACCCCCCAAAATGTTTGTACCCTCTTGGGGGGCCTGACACACATGCACACGGTCTCCAGGGCAGCGGCGCGCTCGTTCCTTTGACCTTGCTCCAAGGCTTGGGCTAGTTGTTTAAAGTCCTGGCGGCCTGAAGGTGTGCAGACAACTGGCAAAACACGCATTGGTGACTTTCTGGGGGCCGGGCCATCGCTCGGCCGCCACTGCCCGTTGCCGACACGCGCGTAAGTCCCGGGCGGATCCGAGGCCATCGCGCGTGCGCGCGTGTATGTATGTATGTATGTATGTATGTATGTGTGTAAGTAATGTAAGTACTGTAATGTAATGTAATGCAATGTAATGTAATGTAATGTGACACAAAGTCTGTATAAAGATGAGTTGAAATGGAAGCTCCTGCCAAACTGCACTGACTCTGCAGGAAGCTGCATGGAACACAAGGTGTCGCAGATTTTCAATCAGGCCACAGCGGCTGAACAGGCAAATTGCAGCCCTGAGAAGCTAAACGCTGTAGCAGAAAGGGAAGGCACTTGCGGAAGGCATCTCATTGACTTCCAACTGAACCATACAGAATTGTCTTTTGTTGGCGATTTGCACAATTCATCACAATTCTCTACACAACGAGCAGAAGGGCTCGGCTGAAAGCCTGATAAAAGCCACACACACACACACACACACACATTTGGGCTGCCGATGAGCTCATTGCTGGCACCGATTTTGCTGCCAAGAATTTGGACGGTGACCTTGTTCTCTGTGATTGGCCAAATGGACAACAGCTATCGCAGGCTTTGGACTCCTCTCGAACATTTGCCAGACGCCACGGGTGTGAAGTATCGCCTCCAGCTCAATGTATATCGCTACATCCTTCACAAGTCTACCTTCACCCAGAGCATGAGACCGCCGGCCCTTGGGTTGACGTAGTCCCGATCATAGACAAGAAAGCTTCTGATATCATGGCAGATCAACGCCGAAGATTGGCAATGAGCTCTACAAATGCCTGCAGGGGCGCGCTGTGGATGCTGTGGAGCTGCTCCCGAAAGAGCTGCAGGGCAAAGTTCTGGGCTTCATGAGTCGCACCATCACCAGCGCACCGTCATCGCCAGGGCTGTGCCTCCAGGTCTTGCAAGGCTTTCCTCAACGTCGATGACGCAGACGGCTTTCCTGGCTGTGAAACCTGAGCTGCTTGCGCAAGAGGCAAGCAGCAAACGCTCCGCACGGTGGACTTCGAGAGCACGCCGGCACTCAACGATGACCTTTCCAACGTGGAAAACGCAATGTCTGGTCGGCCATCCACTTCATTGACGCGAGCATCCTGCGCAGCCGCATTGCTGGTGGCCAAGATCATATTGCAAAGAGGAGCGATTTGCTTCAAACCTTCGCGGCCATCTCGACCGTAGCTGGGTTCGAGACTGGGTCATTCCCATCTCGCTTCGCGACGTCATTCTGACTGTCAACGGTAAGGCTCACAAGCTCCGCCGGGCATGGACGATGGCGTATCCAAACAAAAAGGAGCCGGGATTCAGACCCAAGTCACCCAAACCACCCAAACCAGGAGCGCCTGACTTTTTCTCCCCGCAATCGCCACTCTTCTGGCTCTCAACCCTCGGAACTGCCCAAAGCTCCCAACCCTCGGAACCTAAATACATAAATACGCGAACGGCGATATGTGTACATGCTGTGGATGGACAAAATCAATTTCGCACCGCCTAAGAAACCCTGGAATGATGATTCCCCTGTCAATATCAACAAACAATGGTTTCCCATAGCTTCAAAGTGGTGCAGGATTCCGTCCATCCACAGTATTATATATACATATGCATACATGTATATCTTTCTTGGAGGGTACAGATTCCGAGACTCTCATGTTCTGACCAACAGACCCATCTCAAAGTTGATTGAAGCCCCTGGTTTGATCCCGGCGCTTGCTTCCAAAAACAGAAACCACAAAGCAAGATACACAAAGGCAGCCTCCCAATCTGTACCCGTCCACCAGTACGAGGGGAACCACTCCCAGCCGGCATAAGGATGTTGCATCAACACCCTTCTGAAAAAGAATCTTCATCAGTGGGGACATGTCTTAGGTCACGAGTCTAGTGGGGACATGTGTGTTTGTGTGTGGCTCAAAAGTGAACAACTGGGCGCAAACTGCAGGTTTTAGTGTTCGATTTCCCATCTTTGGAGCCGCGGGCAATATGCTCAAATGCAGTATGTTGGAGGCTTCTTGGAGACCTCTTGAAGGTTTGAAAAGGTAAACCCAAATAACAACACCTAAATAGAACCACCATGCAGTTTGGAATCACCTGAAAAGAAAAAGAAGAAGAAAAAAAGAAAAAAAACATGGCCTCCTCTTCTATTTACAGGCTCAGCCTCATGTCCCACGGGCCTCCTTTTGGCTTCCCAAATAACCAAACCAACCAAAACGCTGGCACACAGGTCCGCCTCACAATGCTTCAAATGTTGGCGTTTTTCGGGACCCTTCGCCTCCAAAAAAAAGCCAAGAGCCACCATGTCCTTACCGACTCCTTGTAGCTTTCGCGAATTTGGATACTCCGAGCCAGCCCGGCTCCCTTCCGACCTCGCAAAACCCACACCGAGGCGTCCAGTTCGGCGGCCTATCAGCTTGCAGATGACCTTGGAGAAGCCCTCCAAATTCACGGACCCCTCCTCGGAGTCGCTGCGAGGAGGGACTGGGAAAAAATGCGAGCCCGGGAACATGTTGGAGAAAACCGGTTGGAGAAATGTTCATGAGTGGATACGTCCCCTGGACAAAATGAAAACATATACCCTACCACCAAGTAACATGGAAAACCTGACAGGGACCCGATCCCCTTAAATGGAAAAAGGTCTAAACCAGAACCGCCGAAACGTCGAACTCGTATGTCTACCTGGGTAGTCAAAAACATCCTTGTTTCCATTTACCAGGGCTTTTCTTGTGCCCAAACCCACCTATTCAAACATTGGAACCTTGGTCTTAGCTCCATTCAGACATGGCAACTCGTCATATCGCCGGGAAGGCATTGCGCTCATTGCTGGGAAGAGCGAATCGGAATCGCGCAAAGTCTCGAATCTCCCGTCTTCTGGAAGTGAAATCGATTCCCTTTAAAAACCCAAGGAGGGGAAGAAGAAAAAAAGAAGAAGATCTGATCCAAATGGAAGTGGCATGCCTTGTGGTGTCCCTTTCCAGAGAAGGTCGCCAACCTGAGGTTCCCTCGACCTGCCTCAGAACTCACTTAAAGTTGAACCTGGGTGGCTCGGCTTTGGGTAGCACCTGGAAAATAGAGTCGGGATCGAACACCAGGAGGACCGAAGACCGTGAGCTCTCCTCTTTCCCGGGCTGTGAATTGGTTCGTACCCTTCAACCAACTGGGCGGCTCGTCCTTTTCGGGGGGGGGACATCCTGTTCGGTTGGCTTTGCCGGGAGACCGGAAAAGGAGAGGAACACCATTTTGTGGGTCCCCCCCCCGGAAAATAATAATAATAATAAAAAGGACACGCCCGGAGCGAAAATCTCCTTGAACACGTCCAGGTCTTCGTCCAACAGCTCCCCCTTCTTGTTCGTCCTGCGCAGCTGACGTGGGTGTGAAGCGAACCAAAGCCAACCTGAGTCACAATCAAAACCGATCTGTATTAAAATGCTATGAAAAGAATGAACAGGCTTCCCCCCAAAAACTCTCCTCTCTCAAGCTTCGGGGTCGGCTGTTCAAATGAGAAAAACAATCAACACCGATCTGGTTGTTAAAATGGTCCATCTTTTGCCGAAGCTGAAGATTCAGAAATCCATCCAGGTGAAAATGGCCCTTCTGCAACGCATCTCTGTCTCTCGCACTCGCTCTCCGCGTTTTTCTTGCGATGGGTGCGGACTGCGGGAACGAACCCAGTCCCCTCCATGGGCAACCGCCACTTGGGACGCTTAGGAGTCAGTCCATGCCTCATTCCCTCAGCAGTCAAACCTTTTTCCCCGCAAGTCTGGGCAGGCAACTTGGTGCCTCTAGTGCCAAAAAGCAGCACCGCAGGCGAACACCTCGAAAGCAAACTCAGTTCTGCGAACACGTTGAATCAACCGAACGGCGTTGCAGCATGCCTCACCTTTGCTGGGCTCTTCAAACTTCGTGTTTTTTTTTGGGAAAATGGTGGCAGCCTTCAAATTACTGTTTGTTTGTTTTACAAAAAAAAAAGAGCAGCTCAGGCGCAAGCCATGTTCAAACCTGCAAGTGTCCTATTGCACGAGGGAACCAAGAAGAATGCACGATCCAACTGCCCGAAGGTGACCACACAGGCAACCACACAGGCATGGGAACTCACGATCGCCTTTTGTGGCTTTTAAGTCTTTCCATCTGCGACTCATTGCGTGCTGTGAATCAAATGAAGTTGCGACCGGCAGCCAAACGGAGGGGCGAGGTTCACGTTCGCCAATAAAATTGAACAAACATTGTTATGAGAGACAAAGAGATGTACATGCATATTGTGGACCTATGGTGAATGAACTGCCCCAAACACAACGAAGCAACTTCCAGAAACTCATTGTTAAACTACTCCTGAAGAGAGCCAATCATTGTCCACCAAAAGCAAAAGAATTGTCCTAATGTTTATTCTCTGCCACACTTTCTCATTATCTCATTGATTCTCCCTCAGACCACGTTGCCGGCGACGTGCCAAAAACACTCCAAGCATAAATGCATTTCTCATGTGGTGTTGCAACTCTTTCTCTTTTCGTATTGAAACTCGTTAGTTGTCCGTTGGTATCTGCACATCTGCAAAAGCGATCAGGAATTGGAAAAGACACCCCATGCAGCCTGGGCCGCTGCTTGTTCACCCGACCTACGGATTTCAGAAACCTTCCTGGGTCCGATCGGTTCCTTACGTTCTTAGAATCTGAGAACTCCCAAATGGCCGTGCTAAAAACAAGCGCCAATGGGATCCCATGTTGGTTGGTGAATTCACCACCCAATTTTAGGCTTCCTATTGTAGTGGGTAAGTAGCCCAAAGCATGGCCTCCAGCCTAACTGTGGCAACTTCGCCCTGTAGAACTAGAATTTCCTGCACTAGGTCCTCCAGTAGAGAGGTCAGAATAAGGGTACCATTTTTTTCGGTAGTCTATTTTAGTAGGGGAACCCAAAACCCAAAAAAAGAAACAGTAGAGAAGTTGGCACCGTTCGCTGGGGGACCTAGGTAGCATAGGCGTCCTTTTAGGGGAAATAGATAGGTTTTTGTCTGGTAGATGCTGAAAAACCACCAGGTAAACAAGGAATCACCCAACCTATTTTTTGACCAAAACAGCTCCATAAAGCTTGGTGGCGAAAGCCATCTATCCGATTCAAACGAGCCCGGTCTTGACGCCCTTGACCGCCATGGGGTCGTCCGGCCTGCGAAGACGGCTAGACCCATCAGAATGAAATGGCCTTAGCAGGGTCACCTACTGTGGATGGAAAAAGTCCTACCCAAGAAACCCTGGAATGATTCGATTCCCCTGTAAATACCAACCAACCCTGGTTTTTCATGGTTTCCAAGTGGTAGGATTTTTTGCTCGTCCACAGTATTTTAAGGGTCGCAACTGTTCAAAGGCAATCCGCAAGATCCTGCGCTGGGTTAGTGGTTTCCCTCCCTTCGGCGCTAACCACCAAGTAGTGGCTCATTCACTGTGGGGGTGTCTCAAATTTAGGGGAGCCCAAAGCGGTCAGTGCTCTTTGGTTTGCCTCTAGAACCAAGAAGCCGTTTGATCCCTGAATTCCTGTTGGGTCTGTCCGAAAATTGAACCCCGCAAAGGATGGGTTTTTTCTGGGCTTCCGGTTAAAGCAAGAACCCGAAGAGACACACCCGGCTGGGAATGCCAGTATTTACCCTCTGCACAAGCCACGTTCAAATCCCCAAACCATCAATCCAAACCACCAGCGAAGGGTTACGTGATATGGTCCGTTTGCGAACCCCTCGAGCCCAGGCTCGCGCATCATGTTTGCCCACATCCGTCTTAAACGATTCCCTGGCCCACAAATGAGTCGCAACTTCACCAGAAGGGCAACCAGGGTTGTTTTCCAGCTGCAAAAGCGTTTGGGGGTCGATCTGGGCTGATTTGGCAGTTCACTTTGAAGGGGCCCACCCTTTCCAAGAAAAAGAACAACAGCGACAGGGATAAAACCTGTCAAAAGAAAAGCACGGACAAGCGGGAAAAAAAGGGGGAAAAAAAAAACGGGAGGGGAGAGTGTTCGGCTGGATTCCAATTTGCCTCAGACAAATCTCCAGGAAGGTATCGTACGCCTGCTTCCTGGCGACTCGTTTTGGGAAAGGCCGGCTTCCTGGCACTTGCTTCCTGAGTGGCCAGAAAAAGTGACCAAACTGTTGGTTTTGCCACTGAAATGTCACCCAAAACTAGAAAAATGACTAAAGTCCGAAACAGAGCTCAGGAAGTCCCCGCACGGCCAGAAACAGTGACCAAACTGTTGGTTTTGCCACTGACATGGTCTTCCAAAAAAATTAAAGTCCGTGAAGTCAGGAAGCGAGTGGGGTTGTCTCTCTTTGCGTTGGGGCCACCACGTTTTTCTGGCAAACCAAAAAAGTGACGAAAGTCCCGAAACGGAGCTCGGGAAGTGAGTGTATCGATCGGCGCCCCAATCTTGCTGATGCTCAGTGGGAATGACAACGCGTCCAGCTGTTGGAAATGAATCGGAAGAGGGTCCCCTTAAAGGAACCAGTTGGCTGGCTTTGTTTGGGGTCATTCCATTTCTTATTCGCTGCTGAGAACCAGCAAGTTTCAACGAATCTGCAGATTTTGCAATGGAAACAACTCTAGACGTGAAACTGAGTTGTTCGTAGCCTCCAAGAGGTAGAAGGAGTTGCTTTGAGGGGGAAATCCATCAACATGCTACTGAATAATGCGTGGGACCCGAAAAAGAATGATAAAAATTTGGCAATGGTAATGATGCAGCCGCACCAAGCACAACGTACTAAATTAATGCTGCTTGAGATCCTGGCAATCCTGGCAACGCTACTGATGCAGCCACAGCAGGCACAACGTGCTACACTTATTCTGCGTGGGACCCTCGCAATGCTAATGATGCTGCCACAGCAGGCACAACGTCTAAACTTATACTACGTGGGACCCTCGCAGTGCTAATGATGCAGCCACAGCAGGCACAACGTGCTACACTTTTACTGTGTGGGATCCTAATCATGCAGCCACAGCAGGCAAACTTAAAACTGCGTGGGACCCTCGCATTGCTAATGATGCAGCCACAGCAGGCACAACGTGCTAAACTTTTACTGCGTGGGACCCCAATCATGCAGGCACAGCAGGCAAACTTAAAACTCCGTGGGACGCTCGCAATGCTAATGATGCAGCCACAGCAGGCACAACGTGCTGCTTATACTGCGAGGGACCCTGGCAGTGCTAATGATGCAGCCCAGCATGCAAACGTAAAACTGCGTGGGACGCTCGCAATGGTAATGATGCAGCCCCAGCAGGCACAACGTGCTAAACTTATACTGCGTGGGACCCTAATCATGCAGCCACAACAGGCAAACTTAAAGCTGCGTGGGACGCTCGCAATGCTAATGATGCAGCCACGTGCTAAACTTATACTGCGTGGGACCCTGGCATTGCTAATGATGCAGCCACAGCAGGCAAACTTAAAACTGTGTGGGACGCTCGCAGTGCTAATGATGCAGCCACAGCAGGCACAACGTGCTAAACTTATACTGCGTGGGACCCTGGCATTGCTAATGATGCAGCCACAGCAGGCAAACTTAAAACTGTGTGGGACGCTCGCAGTGCTAATGATGCAGCCACAGCGTGGGACCCTCGCAATGCTAATGATGCAGCCACAGCGTGGGACCCTGGCAATGCAAGTGATGCAGCCGCAGAAGGCATAACATGCCAGAACCATACTGGCAATGTGACTTTCCGTTGGAGGAAATTCAAGCTATTAGGCATTCAGCTGCTGGCGGAGTAGGAGAGGCGCGAACCAGGTGTTCGGCTCGGAGTGCTTTAGGAACACAGTGCTTTTTGTCGCAGAAGCTAACTACTCCACCCCAGCTTCATGACCTTACCTCCAGCACTCGCATCCTTTCGCCCGCCTCCCTTCGCCCGCCCCGCCGTCCCCCAGCCAGCCATCCATCCGCACCCAAGTTCGCGTTGCAGCACACGCTGATGCAAGTGATGAAGCCGCAGCAGGCACAACATGCCAAAGCTAATTACACGGTGTGGGACCCTGACAATGCAAGTGGGGGGGGGGGGGCGTAACACGTAGCCGTCCGGTTCACCTGAAAACCTTGAAATGAAAAGGAGAAACAAGACGGATGGAAACCTCCAAAGGCCGCATTTGCGATCCGTCCCAAAAGTTCCGGTTCCAGTTACCAAGTGTTCCGTTTCTTCCAAGGTGGAACATCCCTGTGTCGCAAAGCAAAGGGGATCCCTTGCAGATGGCCCGAAAACCCCATTTCCCAACCAATTGGCTGTTTGGTTCCCTTTCAGACCACCCCAACAAAAACAAATCCCAACCGGAAATTGGTTGGTTCCCCAGACCCCCCCAAAAAAAGAAAAAGAAAACGAGAACCCCTCATCAAATTCCTGGCGATCTCTCGATCGCGGATCGAAACCTTCGAGCAATGATTCAAGCGTGCCGCCAGGCGCATCATGTCCAGCGGGATCCTTGCACCCGCCAAAAAAATCGCCCCAAAAGGACGCCATCTAAGTGGAGACGGGCGTGTCTCTCAAAATTGGAAAAACCCCAAACGCCTTCGCCTTATTTTGTTGGCTTTCGGATGTTCGAGAAAGGGTACCCTTAAAGAAAGACTTCGGAACCTTGGATAGCAGGGTTTACCTGGAACCCTCCTGCCAATCAAAGCGGGCAAGGGGGCTTCACGGGCTACTGTCTTGTAGAGGCCGGCAGCTGTCCGCTTCCGTGGTTGGACCAAAGGAAACTATTACCAAACAATCAACAACAAATAAAACCAAAACAACAAACTCAACATTTGGATGAGTTTCTTTTTGGGGGGGGCCCTCAAAAAGGTGGTTTTGATTTCCCTGAACCCCCCACAAAAAGCAAAACGGGTGCCCCAAAAAAAGGCACGCCCATCTCTTGATATTCAAACATTCTTTTCTGCGATCCAATGGATGGGCTGGGTAAGCCTTAAAGGACACCAGCCAGTTCGAACACTGCAGTCCGCCCCATCCCTCCAATAATCACGGGACTTCAAGAGTTGACGATGGTCTGGGCTTCGAAGGTTACCCTCCTAGCGTTTTCGCGTGGAACCTGACGCTGGGGGAATTTCCGGAATGGCCGCTTCGAAAGCACAAAGGTGTTCCGCCAGGACCTGCAACGCCGAACGGTTCCATGTGAGACTTCAGGGGGATGTAAGTCAGACCCAAGGAGATGGTTGGCTTCCCTTTGGCTTTCCCGACCACAAGCGGCCCCGAATCAAGCTTCGAAGCGGTTCTCGGGTTGAACCCGAATCGGGCTGACGCCCGGCGCATTCCCAGAATTGTCCCGGAGAACGAGCAAAACCCATCGACACAGACCCATGTAAAGAACGAACCACCCATTTCTGGTTGGGATGGTCCCTTAACCTTCTACCCGAATTTTGAGGGCGTGGCTCACTTAAACATGTTTTGCGGGGGTTTCGCTTGGAAAGCTCTCGGCTTTTGGATGGCATTCATCCTGTAGAGTAAGCCTGTTGTAATTGGTTGATGTCCAAGAAAGGCATCCCCAACAAAACGGGGAGTTCATGTCCGTTTCCGGGAAAGTGCGGTAGTCCTTCTTCACCCCCCCCCTTTTGGCCGGACTTGACCGGACCCGAAAAAGACCTAACATGTGACGTCGAGCAGTAACAACGTGTTCCATGCATTTCGTGTACCCCTCCTTTCCCGCCCCCCGGTTTCTGGCCCCATCCAAACCAGCCCCGACCGCGACCTCCGACGTTTGGCACTTTCAAGGTACCCCATTTCAAGGGCCCCCCCCCTTCACACGCATAAGCCCTTGATACGGCCTTGGCTTCATAAGGAGTTACCCACCCTTCCCTTCCCTTCCCCCCCTTCCCCCCCTTCCCCCCCCCCCTTCCCCCTTCCCTTCCCCCTTCCCTTCCCCCTTCCCCCCCCCCCCCTTCCCCCCCCTCCCTTCCCCTCCCCCCTCTCAGCTCCTGAGCTGCTTGGCCAGCTTGCCCACGCGGTCCGGCATCTGCTCCTCGGGGCTCAGCTCCTTGGCGTCCACGAGAGGTGGCGGAAGCTTCCGCCCGGGTCGAAGCGTGGCTCGGCTTGGACCCAAAAACGGGGGGAGAAGGAAAAAAAACCTGCGGCGGGTGTACCCGGAACATGAGTGGTGTCCTCTTGGCTTGTCTTCTTGTCTCTTCGGTTTCAAAAGAGAAAAGAAAAGAAGAGAAACTTCCAGGTGCATTTGGGTGGGTGTCTGTTTTGGGCACCCTTGTTGGAATGCTTTTAAAAGGCAACCAAGGAAACCGATGCCTTTTTGGCGGCTCCCGCAAAGGGGGCAAGGCCAATCCTGCCGAATTGAAGGGGATCTTCGGGGGCAAGGCAGCGGCCCTGAAATGTGTGGCTATGAATTTGAATCAGGGACCCGGGGATTCATGCCCACCCAACAAGTGGGATTTCGGCGTTCCTTCTGTCCCGATAAAAACCAACCTGAAAGCGCACCCTCAACGAAACACTCACGCGCACACACACACACACACACACACACACACACACACACACACACACACACACACACACACACACCGGCCTTCCGCTGCGGGTGTGTATGTTGCTTAAACAAGGCAACTTCGCCTAGCCACCAATCCAAACCACAAACAGGGAGGCTGAAACAGAAAACCCGAGAAACTGGGCTAAGCTGACCAAGCGAGGTGCCTTGCGGGTGTGGGTAGGCAAGAAAAGAGGCGAGGCCTCCCCCCCTTTTGAATTAAGCAGACAAACGAGAACAAGACATCTTCGACTCCGGCATGTCACAGCTTCTTGAAAAGAGAGAATTGGGCCGTCCCTATGACTAATTTTGTCAGAGTACAGGAGGTTCGAAAGTGAGCCAAGAGGACTTTCCAGCACTGGCTTTTGCTAGGTATGGAGGTTACCACTTATATAAGGGGTACGTACGGTGGATGTTGCAAGCTGATATGTATTAAAAAGGTCTGAGAATTGAAGAGGCGGAATTCCGCCCCCCCCCTCCCTCTTTATGGCAAGGGGGGGGTGTCAGTTAAGCAGGTATTGATTGTCACTGGTCAACCCCATACCTGCCGACTTGAACCATCCTAGAGTCTCCATGCCCCCTAGAAAAAGGGGTCATGACCCCTGAATTTTGGGCAATGACCCCCATTTTTTTAGTGTCATGGAGAGTCTAGGAATGCCCCTTTTTCTGTCCGAAACAAATCGATCCCAAACCCCAGAACAGTCTTCGGAACACGACTGCCTGCCCGGGCTGATTTCTGCCCACGGCACGTGGTGCACCTTCTTCTGCATCGTCAAGCCTCGCCGAGCCAAGGCGGTCCCTAATTATTAGGCCAATTCAACGTGCGGGTTCTGTATAAGTGTGGCTCATTTTTGTGGGTTTAAAGGGGGTTTAAAGGGGAACCAATGAAAAGCATCAGTGTGAGAAGCCAAAGTTGGGTGTGTCTTTCTCCCCAGCTACCGGAAGCTATGGGGTCGATAGGCCCAAAGAGGCTCTGTATACTTATTCGCGAGGATATGGGGGAAGCAAATATATTGGAAAAAAACTAAAAACTGTAAAAGGGACCATGTCCAAAAAAAAGAAAGAGAAATAGGCCCACATCCCTGCTTCCTCGCATCCCTGCTTTGCTTGTCTGATGTATGGGAGTGTCTTTGGAGTGTACCATGCTCAGATTGGTTCAAAAGGGAAACCAAAAGGAAACCAAAAGGGGGTTCCCCTATTTTGAGACAACAATGATTGCACCCCTGCAGATTACCGGAACCAAAGCAACCTTCATTTTGAACGGGATCTCCGTTCAAGGCGGACTCCGTTTTTGGGTTCCGTCTCAACTTCCAGGCAGTTGAAACCCGGTGAAAGGTCCCATGGGGACCCATGGTTATTTGGAGGCCGGGAATATTGATCAGCCCCAATCAAAAATATTGAGTCCCCATTCATGGGATCCATAACCGTTCTTTCCAACGCTGATGGCACATCCGCGATTCTCAGAGGATGGCATGTGTTAAACTCGGGCAGCAAAAGAAATGGCTTTCCTTTTTGAGGTCCCTTCATCAAGTCCATTGACTCAATATCCTTTCTGGGTCCATGGACATTCTCGAAAACGCCCACTCTAAATGATGAGTGTCCATGCAAACCCCCCCCCAAAAAAAAAAAACTGTAGAAAGAAAAATGCGCAATTGAAGGAACCCTGTTCATGGCGTTACTGCATCAACTCACTCGATTTGCCACGACTCGATTCGCCACGCGACGCTTTGCCTAGATTCTTCATCTGCTTCGCGCCGTCATTCGCCTAGCGCTGGCTGAAACAAGAAATGCTGGAGTCGCTTGCACGGAGCACCACCGGAGTCTTGGAACTGTGGATGGTTACAAAATCCACACGCACCAGATGGGACTGGCGGTTGATCAACCAACACTCAAGTCGGGTTTCATCCATCCCAACTGCCACGAAGTGGAATTGTTTTGTCTATGAGCATCAGCGTTCTGAGTTACTTTGCCCTGCAGAAGCTGGAAATCCTGAAATATGTTCTTTTGTCATTTGGTTGTCGTTTATTGTTTTTTACATTTGGGTTTGTCATTGTTTTGTTGTTGTTTTTTCCTTTTTGTCATGTTGTCTCCGTTGCCAACATTGTCTGATTGGGGCTGATTGCTTGTTTGCCATTGCGTTCTAACGCGCATACGCGGGGTGGCTGTTTTACTCTGTAGCTGCTGGGCGCGCATGACGCTCCAAAACCGAATGGGGGTCGCGATCAAGAAGTGTGTCAAAGTGGGTACGCCTTTCCTTTCAGCCAAAAAATCAATCTCTAAGCAAGAGTCGGAGCCACACGGGAAAGACAAACGTCCCCGGGCTGAGCAGCTGAGCAGCTGAGCATCGTAGCCACCAAGTCTTTTTCCGCACGTTGAGGGGGGGGGGGACTGGAAAAAGGGACTGGGAGGGGGGTGGACTTTTCCCACAAACGAAACCTTAATTGAACTGGCGCACAGCCTGCGGTTGTCTAATTTCACCCCCCGCTCATCCCTGCAGACTTTCAGACCCTAGAAAGGGGGAAGAAACCTTTCTGGAAACCTGCGTGCTCTCCTAGGCTCTACAAAGTTGCCTGTAACGTCAAATAGAATGACGTTATATATATATATATAAAGACAAAGGCCAATGACCAAAAAACGACAAACAAAGTGACAAACATGAATATTTGAGCGACATCAGGACCTGCAGGAAAGAAACTCATAACATCAGCGGTTGCTTGCGGGGGCTTGTTTCGGGTTCAAGAACAAACGCCGGACAGGGATCCTTACATTATACACTTGAACATTGCCTTGTAAATGGAGGTGCCCCGTTACTTTGGTGGAAAAAGCCATGTTTCAAATTGGCAAATTGTATCTTTTAAGGAGCCCTGCCAGACCCTGGGGACAAAAAACAGATCGCCGCAACCTCCGGGGAAGGCTTGGGCCAATTTCTGACGAAAGGGACCCGTGGCCTTGGTCAAAAAGACGGTTAATTAACCCGACCGCCGATCAATGCGGGTCTGTCCCTTTGATTTGGCCTACATTGCCAGACCAAAATTTCTTTGTCGGGGGTGTAGACCGTTTTGGCAGGTACGCTCGGTCCGGAAGACAGGATCTTATGCCGGGCTGGGCCGAGAATGAAAAGGGTGTCGGCGCAGGGGCTTTTTCGGGTTCCTTTTGGCTGAGGGCCTTCCCAAAATGCGGGGGCCTTTCCGCTGGAGACGCAAAGCCCCAAGTGGCAGTGGTTACAAAGCAAAGTCACGCCCAAGCAAGGTCAAGCAAGGCCCAAACAAGGCCTGAAAAAGGTGCCTTTGAGATGGTCCCCCCCAGTTCCATTGATCGAATCTTCCCAAAGAGGGCATGAAGACCTCCGAAGAGTTGGGCGGCTTTCCTTTTGGAAACCAACCTGAAAAAGGGCAGCCTCACAAAAACACATCAACAAAAGAACACCTGTGGCAACCAAGGAACCCCCCCCTTGAGTGGTTGGCGTCCTCCATTTTCTGAAGCCCCTTCTTCAAACTGAGAAAACAGGTCCAGCGGTCGATTCCCCTTGGAACTCGAAGACATATGGCCATGGGTCAAAATCCAAATCGTACCCCGAGTGAACATCCCAAGCCCCACTATATAAAGACCAAGATGGGCAGTGCACCTACCCCAAAACGGGATCCCATTGGTTTTGACCCACAGCCATATTCTGAAACGAAAATGGAAGTGCCTCTTTTTTTGTTGTGGCCAGCCGTGGACCGACCCAACAACCAACCCACCCACCCAACCCTCCAACCAACCAACCAACCCAACCAACCAAACCAACCAACCAAACCAAACCAAACCAAACCCAACCCAACCAACAACAAAAACCTCCATAAGTAAAAGACCCGGTCTTTTGACCATGGCACATGCGATTTCAAGGGAACCTTGTATGGTGGTCACTTAGGGTCTATTTTGCAACCTCCTTTTACAGGGGATGGTGTAATAGGGGTCATTCCCTCATTCTCTGCTTTTGGACGCCCCATCTTGACTGGGGCGAAGTGGATTTCATCCATCCACATGCTATATTCCTTCAGGTTTCCAAGCAGAATCTGAAAATCTTGCTGGTGCGGTAGGTAGGGAGTGAGAAATGGAATGAACCCAGAGTCTCTTAAAAAGGAAAGCAGCAGCTGATGAGTTGGAATGAACCCAGGCTTCGGTCCCTTAAAGGAGCAGATGGATGTTTTTTTCCCTTGGGGTCATTCCATGTCTCATTCCCTACATCTCTCGCACGGACACGTTGACGCGTTGACGATCGTTGACTCTCGCGTCAGCGGCTTCCCGGGAAGGCTTCGCTTCCCGGCCACGCGCTGGGCGATGGTCTCCAGCTGGGCGTTCCGGCGCCGCAGCTTCCGCGAGGTCTCCTCGTGAGTCGCGAGGCGCGCTCCAGGTGGCTCAGGGGCGCCAGGGGCGCGGGCGCGGGGGGCGCGGGGGCGCGCGCGCCTGTGGGGTCGGCGCTCCTCGTCTTCCGGCAGACCGCGCGAAAAATAGAGGTACCCTCCCACCAGCTAACATGGAAGTGCCTCCGGACCCCTGTAGAAAGACTGCTTTCCTCTTGGTTAGTTGGCCTTTTTGCACTTCATGTTAGTTGGTGGGCTTGAAAAATGTCCACGCGCTTGCTTCCACTTAAGTTGAACCGCCGCGTAAGACCTTAGGCGGACTTCCGCTTCCCAAGGCCCCAAGGGCTGTGCTTTCTGTAAGAAAAACTCATGGAAACCTAAAGCGGAACGAAGCGAATGGTGGGCACTTCGGGAACATGTCCACTGCAAAAGCCAACTTCGGAAGTGATAATTCCAAAAGTCCCAAAAAAACAAGGGAGCTTGTTGCACCTTGGGTTTTTTCCCTAGACTTCAACCCCATCCCCCATCAGGACTGAGCAGTGATTTCCCAAAGGAGCCATGCGGCTTGTATCCGCATTCTTTCATGCGCTACCACCACATGGTGTAGATAAATTCATGTTCCCAAGGGAGTGGATTGGAGTACAAACTCGTAGTTCTGTCAGTTGCTCCATGGTTCTCGGTTGATTGGAGGCAAACTGGAGGCTAAGTTGTGTTGCCTCCTGCCTCCGAGTGAGCTCCTCTACCAAAGTCAGGTGACTACGACTTTTACTAGGTGTGATTTTGGACGATTCATACGGATCCAAGGCAATACAACACAACAAGCACGCTGGAGGATTGTGAATTATCCCTAGTCCCAAACAACTCAGTGGCAAAACAACTCGTGCAACAGCAGGAATGAGGTGATCAAGCGGTTCAGTGAAGCTTGGACAATGGTTTGTAATGTTGACCCCACATATTCCTCAACCCCAGTTTTTAACAGGGTGGTGTCCATTTCTGGGTTGGAATCAGACCACTTCTCTAGGGGCCAAAAACCACCCCCCCTTATTTAATAAAAATAGTGTTGGTTGATGCAAATCTGGGGTCAACATCAAAGAGAGAGAGAGAGAGAGAGAGAGAGAGAGAGAGAGAGAGAGAGAGAGAGAGAGAGAGAGAGAGAGAGAGAGAGAGAGAGAGAGAGAGAGAGAAGGAGGTGGCCCCACGACAACTTGCGGGGTGTTCCAACCAACCAGATCCATCCAACACCGCGATCCGCGCTTGCTGCGAAATTTTGTGAACCCGAAACGACTCAGGCGAAGGAGCAGCACACTTTTCTTGCGCAGTTCAGCCAGGACACCGCCTAGTGGTGGACATGAATCCCCAGTTGACGCCCAAAGAAAAAGTCACTCCCTGAGTTGCTGGGCCAAAAAAGGTTTGCCGGCACTTTCTGGCAAGCCACCACAACGGGCCTTCCATAGGTGTCCTTTTAGGGGAAATCAGATGATTAAACCACCAGGTAAACCAGGAATCGCCATCTATTTTTCTGGCAAAACCACCAAAAAGGACACCTACTGTGGACATCCTGCACCACCTAAGAAACCCTGGCATGATGATTTGCTTGTGAAAACCAACAAACAACGGTTTCAACCATGGTTTCAAATGGTGCAGGACTTTGTCCACCCACAGTACCAGAAAAAGAAGAAGAAGAAAAACAAACAAGAAAAAGGACACCTATGCATGGAACCCTGCTAAACCCCATGGAACCCTGTACCTAGACTCTCCTTCTGACCCGTACAAAATGGTTGGTCATGGCCCAACAGAGTTTGGGGCCTTCCCAACCCCAATTGGTAAATTGCAGTAGCTTGGATGGCTTCCTGGTTCCCTTGCAATATTTTGGTCTGTCTCTAAGTGGGGGAACTCCAAAAAACTGTGACGATCCAATCTCCCAACGTGGAGCCGAAATTCTCTCCTTCATGCCCGGCGCGCCCTCGGCCTGAGAGAATGGAGGTGTCCAACGGACGGAAGTGCTCGTCTTTGGAGTTGGTACCAACCGATTTCGTGTTTTTTCAAAGGGAAACCAAGACAGGGATCCGGATGCATGAAAAACACCGATCGAACATTGCAACTTGTAAATGATGGTGTCCAACTTTATTTTGGTGTTGAAAACGCAACATGTTTCAAATGGTTGCAACATGTATCTTTTAAGGAGCCCTGCAACAGAAACAACGAAATCCAGTTGGGGGGCAGGGGGGGTCCGGATCCTAAAAAAAAGACACACCCAAATGGTACCCTGCAGAAAAACACACACACACACACACACAACAAGCAAGCTGAGTAAGGTTGTTCAGGGTTCGACACCACCCCTGGTGCCAACAGCATGATCCAAGTAGTCAAGCGTCTAAAGAAACATAAACTTAATGTTGGGGGAATCTGTGTGGGTTCATTTTTTGCCACTGATTTATCCCATCGGACCGCAGATGGACTAAGTGCTGTTGCCCATGATGTGCCTGAGGTAGGTGGATGTGCATCCAAGCCAGGCCTGTTAGTAAGTTGTGACGTGGGTAACATACGAATAAAGTCACCCCAAGTGGAATCAACCTTAGTTTATGGCCGGTTGATCGTTTCCGTGACAATCGCTTTGAGCAATTGACCTCAAAGCGAGCCATGTGGCAAACAGGCCAATGTATTCGACGCGGGCGTCAATGTGCTCACATTTGAACAATAATTGAAAAGTAAACTTGTATCGTATAACAGATGACAATGAGATGAGACGATAAGAAGCAATGTCATGTAAGAAATCATGAAAACAAAGAGCAAATAGAAATCAAGTGACGCAATAATTGGAAACTGTTTCATCTGCAAACGAATGCAAAGAGGCAAAAGAAATGGCCGTAAAGTGGAGAACATGTGTTATTCCAATAAAATGGCGTTGACAAAGAGCAATTCCTAGAGATATAGTTTTGGGGGATACTCCTTGGCTGTGGGTTTTGCAGGGAATTTCACAGCAGCTCTTTCCCAAATTTCAACCACCAAGGTGTCATTGTGTGGCTCAATTTGTCAGTCAAACCAACCAACCGATGGGGCTCGAAGAGCTATCCGCTGTTAGAGCGCCAGCGAAACCAGCGGGCAATGGAAGATCTTGGTACCGCCCTAAGAATCCGACCTCAAAAGTCCGTTGGGGTCAGACTGCAATGGAGGGTCCTTGCTGATTCCTGGGCTGGGTAGTTTTCCTAAAATTCAACCCGGGCTTTGATTGTAGGTCGGGACTTTGTGCAGCACAAAAACTGAAAGTAGGAGACGGGTTGTCTCCTCAACCCTACAAGAATCATTTCTCCCTGTTGCTGGTTTTAGTCACCTTTGAGGGTTCCTCAACGGTGGCTTTCCTTTCGCAGGGAATCTTTTCTCTCTTTTTGCGGAGAAATGGTAGCTGTCTCCATTTTTGGGGGAAACCTCCCAAAAAGAAATGTCTTGATTCTCCCTTAAAGCCAACAATCCCGGGGGTTACCAACTCCAAAACACCGACCCGTCAGCGGCCCCGTCCTGGCGAACTTCCCTCTCCGCGCCCCACGCCTCTGATAGCGGTCAGGCGGTCAACTTCCGGACGTGGCACCCGAAAGCAGAATCCCCACGGGGATTCTTTGGGACTCACCCAGGTGGCTGTGGGTCAAAACCCTGTACCCCTGGTGAACATCCCAATCCCCACTAAAACGGACTAAAATGGGTGGTGCACCTACCCCAAATGGTACCATTGGTTTTGACCCACAGCCAGGTAACTGCCAACAAACGGTATGGGTTCATTCCCATGGTGACACCCATTTCGTGGTAGGATTTCTGGACTTTGCAACCATCCACAGTGGTTGGACAAGCATCGGAAGTGGGCAACCATGGTGGAACAGGGTTCCATCAAAATGGGGAATGGAGGGGGGCAACCCCTAACGAGCGCAATCAAGGACCCTGGAACCGCCAAGGCATAGGGTTTGATAAGCATTCACGTTGGGCGAAATGCACCAAAGCATCCCTTGATCAACCCTTTTGGTACATGGGTTGCAAGTTGCAACTACATGGTTCTGCGTGTCCTAGACATTTTGCTGGTTATGCTGTGCTATGTGCGTTGAAGATCCATGTTTCTCAGGAGGCTTCAGGGACCGAAAGACCCAAACTGGCCAAGAAAGGGCGCTTCTCACTATCCCCGAAACCTTTGCTCGTCTCTTGGTCGGCTTTTACGGGAAACCAAGAGGAACACCACCATTTTGAGACCCTTTCTCGTTTGCGAAATCTGCTCCCCTGCTAAAAGTGACGAACTTTTAGTGGTTTAATACGCAAAAACATCCATTAGTTGGCAAAAAGTTCTCAAGTCCCAACATCCAAGCAAAATGCGCCAAAGTTTTGCGGGGTTGTGTGACAGAGGCGTACACCTTGTAGGAGCCCCTTGACCCTTCTTTGAGGCCCCAAACAAAGGGCCCTCATACTTGGGGTCCGAGGACCTCTCATTTGGGGAGGTCCCACGATTTTGACACACACACACACTCAAACACAAACACGCAAACAAGCAAACAAACAAGCAAACAAACAAATACACAAACAAACAAACAAACAAACAAACAAACAAACAAACAAACAAACAAACAAACAAGCAAGCAAGCAAGCAAACCAACAAACAAACAAACAAACAAACAAATACACACACACACACACACACAGGCACACACACACATGTGGAGACCCTTCGCATTTCGAAGGGGTCCTAACTGTACATTCTTTGGTGTTGGGGACGAATCTCGTGGTCAGCTTTGCCCTGGTTCACCAAACTCACGGTCCACAGTTACCCAAGCGATTCCTCCCAAACCATCTGGGTGTGGCTCAAAATTAAACAGGTGGGGCAAACCGCAGGTTTTGGTCCATGTTTCCACTTACCAGGGCAACCCATTTTGGAATTCCGGTTTTTTGAGCCACAGCCATCTGGTTGTTTATTTCTTTTTTCACGACCTCCCCATGGCTTTCAGCTGGATGTCCGAGCGCCACTCGCACGGAAACCCGTCCCCTCCCGCCCGGAAAGCATCGCCCCGCCCTGCCTGACGGACATTCTCAAAGCCCATAGTCTGCCGAGGGATGGTTGCGAAATCCGTTCGCGCAATCGCCACTTTGAAACCAGGGGAAACCACAACGTTTATTGGTATTTACAGGGGAATCATCGTTCCAAGGTTTTTTAGGTGGTGCATACTAGCAGGGTTTGATCTTAGTTGAAAATTCCCACCTCCTGATTTGGTGTGGTTTTCTTTGAGATTTGTACGTGTATCCTAATTGTTTAAATGCACCTGCAAACAAAAGAAAGAACCAGCTGGAGGCAGGAATTTTCAATCTGGGTGTGTGGTTCTCTGACCAACCAACTCATTCTGACCAACCAACTCATCTCTACCAAGAGCACTCCTACTGACGTCTAGGATTTTGACACCATACTCGAAATCAGTGTAACTATGTCTAGGTCCTCCAGTAGAGAGGATAGAATAAGGGTACCCTTTTCTGTAGTCCATTTTAGTAGGGAACCCTCCCCAAAAAAATGGTAAAAGGGCACTACTGGGGGAGCTAGATGCACATCTCCACAAAACTGCGCATCATAAATCGCATGCAGATGGCCGCAACGCTCATCAGTTTGCGCTGTGACAAATCCACAGCCTGCACAAAGGAAGCGATTGCACAAGCGAAAGTAGCTGACGCGCGTTTGCATAGCCGTCTCGGATGTATTTTTTCTATGGCTCGAACAACCGCCAACGCTCTCCGGCAAGCACTCAACTGCAGTTCTTCGCACGAACCATCTGTGAACGGTGGATGCCCCTGTCCTATTGCAAGTAGGGAAACTGTAATTTGCCATCGTTTGGAGGTTGAGTATGACTGGTTTACCATGTCTCACTTCCCGAGCTCATGGACTTTAACCTTTTTGGGTTTGGACAATTTTAGTGTCATTCCCAAAACACCAAGTCCCCGCAAGCGGAGTGCCAAAGGTCACCTCGCAAAGCTGCGCCCCAACATTTCTTTTGCTGCACGGCATCTGCAACGAGACCTCCGGCGGGGACTGCACCTGTTTGGGGTGGAGGGGTTCGAGTCCTATTTTGACGACATACTCATAAATGTGGGTGTGCTTTTTAGGATACGCCGTGTTTGTGTTTCAAAGGGGAAACCAAAAGGAAAACCGCCATTTTTCGGGACACGCGCATGTAGCCAAAATGTATCCTTCTACCGGAAGCATGTCCACTGGCAACGGTAGGGACCCTCCGAATGTCGAATCTGGATCTGGAAATGGTTAGCGGTTTAGCTGCGCCGAAAAAGACCGAAGACCCACGAAAGGAGTTGGAGTCCCACAAAAGTGGTGTGTGTTTTCTTGAGCGTACCTCTTTTTGGTGGACTGAAAGGGAAACTAAAACCTGCAGGCCAATCCCCTCCACGGACAGATAGATGACCCACACCCAAGTGTCAACCAACCTCTATCCAAATCCGAAGGGGATCCATCGATCACAAAACTTTGATGGCTCTAAGCGCCCGATCCATCACCGCCCAAAAAAGACTCTCCGGCCATGGTTGAGATTAAAAAAAAAAAAACGGCGGAACCCCTGGAACCGGAGCCAAAGACCCGCTACAAAAGAAAAAACACGAGATGTCACCTTTGGTTGAGAAGAAACTTGGGCGGAACCCAAGGCAAAATTTGAGAAACAGGATTGTGGGAAATGACCACTTCTGTGATACAACAAAAGGGCTTCCCAAAGACTAACACCCCATATACAGGGGGAGATTCCCTGGAATCATTCCACAACCCTGTGGAGAAATAAGCCAGGGCCCATACATCTTCGCTTTGATCCCTTTCCAAAAAGGTGAAGAGTTGATCGAGAGTGTAAGCGAGACGCAAGCCCTACCCAAAACCTCGTCCGAGCCCCTTGGACCTTCTTCTTTGAGGCCGGAAAGGGGGTCAAAGGCCCTCATATTTAGTGTCCAAGGGGCTCCTAGGGTAGGGCTGACATCTTTTCTTTGTTCATTCTGGTCAAAGTAAAGATGTAACATAGTCAGATTCAAGCGTGTGGCACAAAAATGATCTGGCGAAACTTGGTCTCAAGAGAGGGCAACCCTCATACTGGCTGATAAACCAACCCAAAAGGGGACCTAGAACAGACACGCCCACTTCTGTCCAGCCCCCACCCATCAGCCTTGCTCACGTCTGGCAGCGAGGCCTCTCGCGTGCTCGGAACTCATCGATGGGTCTGTTTTACTGGGCTGCTCCCCTCCATCTCCTGCTAAATTTATCGAACTTGAAGTGGAAACTACCACTAAACCAACTGCAAAGCCAAAAAAAACAAGGAACCGGATGGCTGGGAACCACTAAGTTTCGCTTTTTGAGGTGACCCCAAATGAGCAACACATAAATTCCGTGCTCCTGTACCACCGGACCCGTTCAGAAGAACCCGGTCGCCTGACCTTACGCAAAGGGATCTGGGCAAAAAAACGTCAAGCAACTGGAGTAGAAAAACCCGTCCTTGCGAAATGCGCCCGTGCGACACGGGCTGCGTTTAAAGGCTTGGCCGGGAAAGGCAAGATCAAAAAACGTTAATCATCCCTTGGACCCCGCTGTGCACAGATGGACCTTGTAAGGAACCTTCGCAATGAGATCACTTTACCCCCAGAGCTCGCCATCATTCGCGCAGAAAGGCCCCATAGCATCCCTTCTTTCGATGTGGCTTTGGAAAAGTGGCCAGCATCCTCAGGATCCTCAGCATTCTCCGCATCCCCAGCATCCCCGGCGAGTGCCACATCGCCAACTGGGCATCCCCACACACCCGTCCCCACATCCTTTGTATCCATGGAAACTGGCAGCATTTTGAACGGATGCGGAACCCTCGCAATGCTCCACATTTCTGGCAGCTGCCGGAACACCAACATCCCCAGCATGTTCAGCATTCCTAGCATCCCCCACACCCCAGAATGTTCAACATCTCCAGCATTGCAAACATCCCCGAGCATCCCTGCCCCCCACATCCCCTCAACTTTCCGCCCCCCCCCCCCAAAGACTCCCCCTACAGGAATCCATAGAGGGACAATTGTGGTCAGACTTGCCTCCAAGCAAGCTGGTTTATGGGTTTATGGGTCTATGGATTTATGGGTTATAGGTTCATGGGTTTGTGGGCTTGTGGGTTTACGGGTTTATGGGTTTGTGGGTTTACGGGTTTACGGGTTTAGTTGTCCTTTTCTTTTGGGGTTTTTGGGTGAGGTCCAACTCGGATGTCTTCCCGATCGCAAGAAAGAGTGCAAATGGCGCTGGCCGGCCCTCGGCTTATGTTGGGGTTCCAGGGCCTTTGGTTCTTTGGACTCGGTGGTTTATCAACCAACATTCATGGGGCGTCAATGCTAAATGGATTTGGTCAATCCGGATTGACTTGTCAAATGCATGGCGGGAAATGGCGCAAGCCTTTGCAGAGCATGTTGCCCGATTTTGCAGTCCAATCCATGGAGAACGTCCATTCTTGGATGGTACGGGACTTAGCCAAGTGGTTATTCCCCAGTTTAATAAATGGACCCTACTAATAAATACCTTTTTTTCCAGATTGGCTCACACAGCCAGGTTCCCAATACTACTTTTAGAATAGCCCAATTCAAAACCAATACTAAACTGTCCGATATCTCTGCCCAGACCAGCCCCAGCCTTATTGGGGGGCTCCTTCCTCACCTTTCAAAAATCTACATGTATTTCTGGATTGTAATTCAAAGTTTAGGCTGCGCCCTTTACTTTTGAACCGCAAAAACGGGAAAAACAAAAAACCTTGAACGGTTTAATTAAATTCCTTACTTGGAAAATTGCGGTTTTGAAGTTGTCCGTGTCCGGGAAGGGGGGAGCCCATTTGGACGAGGACCGAAGAGGAAATCCGGCCGACCCCACAGGACCCTATTAATAAATACGGCTGTCCCCCAGAGCGCATTCATTATTAGGGCGGAGGGGGGGGGGGTCCGCGTGTATTATTAGGGGGAACGGATTTGTAGCCGTGGTAAGCCACTTACTTTGGCGGGAAGTCCCGCAAGTGGGTTACAACCAAGGTTCTATATATATATATAGTTAAACTCTAAACTTCCAAAATATAAAACAATGCCTTCATGAACATTTTAGTCCTTGGTTCCATGTACCAAGCTGCCATTTTGGTACCACTGTCAAAATTTTCCCTGTATACCTGTCCTAGAATTGGTTGAGTTATTAATCTTAAATATCCTCCCACCGGCTAACATGGAAGTGCCTCCGGACCCCTGTAGAAAGACTACTCTCCTCTTGGTTACTTGGCCTTTGTGCACTGGGGAGGGTATCCCGATTTGGCCATGGGTCAAAACCCCGTACCCCCCGTGAACATCCCAATCCATCCAATCCCCACTATAGGCTAAAATGGGTGCGCCTACCCCAAAATGGGATCCCAAAACGGTTTTGAACCATACCCATTTTGATGTACCAAACGAAGAGCCACCGCCTTTCGGCTCCTCAGCGACTCCAACAAGCCCCCGAGCCGAGCCGGGGCGAAGTGTCGAGTTGGGCGAGTAAGAAAGAAGACACCGGGTCCCCAAGGCTCCGGGTGGGGAAAAAACACAACAAAAGCAAGCAAGCAAGCAAGCAAGCAAGCAAGCAAGCAAGCAAGCCAGCAAGCAAGCAAGCAAGCAAGCAAGCAAGCAAGCAACCAAGCAACCAACCAACCAACCAACCAACCAACCAAACCAACCAAACCAACCAATCCCCAAGACGTCTCAACACAAATAACAACAGAAACAACCTTCCTCCCACGTTGCCACTCCTGAAGTTGATCTTCAAACTACCCTCTCCCAAATACCAGGGGAAGGTAGAGTACCCCGTCCTCCCCTGCTTCCCCCCCCGCCTCCCGGGAAAAAAAGGAAAAAAAAGAAGAAGAAGAACAATTGGGGGAAAAAAAAAAAGAAGAAGAAAAAAGGCGTCCGACACACGCAACCTCGGGCGTCGGACGTTTCCCCCGCCTTCCGTACGCTGGAGTCCCGGCGCAGGTCCTTGGGGGCTTCGGAAATTCTTTCACGCGACGGCAGGCCTTTTGGACAAATAGATGGGTTTCCCTGAATAAATGGAAGAAACCCCATCTAAACCAGTGAAACCCATCTATTTTTAATCAAACTCACCGATCAAAAGGACACCTATGAGCGCGAGCGAGCCTTTTGTCAGCTTACCCCTTGAGGGATGGTGGTTGGAGCCCAGTGGCTTTTCCTGGTGGTGAAGGAGTTTGGTGGCTTGGTGGTTTGGTGGTGGTGAAGGATTTTGGTGGCTTGGTGGCTTGGTGGTGGTGAAGGATTTCGGTGGCTTGGTTTGGTGGTATGGACGTCAATCTTTGCCTCTCTGCTTCTAGTTGGTGGTTGGGAGCCCGGTGGCTTGGTGGCTAGGGGGCTTCTCATTTACCCTCCAGAAAGTTACCCGCATCCCTACTGCGCATGGTTGCGGAATCCAGAAATCGCACCAATCTAAATCTCGTTCTAAATCTCGTTCTAAATCGCTGCAATCTATGTCTAACTAAACTAATCTAACAAAGACACCTATGCACATGTGGTTGGCCATCTTTTTGCTGGTATGGGGAAAATGAACATAATGGACGAAAATAAGGCACCATATTGATGAAACCTAATTTGAATACTGGGATAAACCAGCTAACTGGTGCAGGAGTTCGTCCATCCACGGTATTGTGAAGAGCCTCATGTGTTTGCCAAAGTGGCATGTGGGTAGGTGTCGAATAGCCCCCTCCCCTCCCCCCCCGGGTGGTTTTGGGAAGAGACTCTCGAGCAGAAAGAGCTGTTGGGGAAAATGTTTGCAAGTGGAGCACCCCCTGAGCAAAAAATACACCCCTTGTTGATTTGGTGCCAATGTGTATCTCCAGTCCCAAGCAGAAGTTGCTCATTGGTAACTTGTGGATTGTCCAATTCTTGAAGGGCAGAATCTGGGAGGGACATATCTGGATGGCTTTCGGGGAGACCCCCACTCCGCAAGTCTGGATTATTTTCCGGAACCCTATCCCAGCAGGGACCAGGTTGAAGGCGAGCCGAGCTTGTAGCTGAGAGTCCTGGATGTGGTGTTTTTTTTAACCCAAAGGAGCCGTGGTCAAAGCTCGAACTCATTTGTGGAACCCTCCGACTTGGATTTGAATTCGAGAAGAGAAAACAAGGTTCAAGTCCAAGCGGCGCATTGGACAAGCCGGAAGGGTTTGGACCAACCCTAATCCTCCGGTCACCTCCGAACGGCCGAAAATTTCGGCGCCTTGAAACGGCTGGCAGTGGGCAATGGGCTGTACCAACCTGCCATCGATCGATCGACCATAAAATGTTCACCCCATAGGTGAGTGTGTGTTTTTGGAGGGTGCCCTTTTGCGGGGGGTGTTCCCCTCCAAAAGTGATGACTCCCCACTAAACCCAGGGACACCCCCCCTATTCTGAACTGGGGTTGATAAATACTGTGGATGGACAAAATCCTGCACCACCTAAGAAACCCTGGAATGAGTCGATTCCCCTATAAATACCAACCAACACTAGTTTCCCATGGTTTCATTTCGTGGTGCGAAATGGAATTCACAACCATCCACAGTATGGGGTCCACATTATGGCCCAGGGACTTACAACAATGGCTTAAGTGGAGTTGCCCAGAGCCATTTGCTTCTCGGCCGTTCGCCCAACTCATGGTCTATCTCGCCTCATGGCTCGGCCCGAAAAGAAAAAAAACAACGTATCTCCAACTTTGAGGCAAACCCATCTGAGCAATACACATTCATTGTGCGCCATCTAACATTGGAATTTGTTGAGAAAACCTGTTGCAGTTTGGCGACTGTACCAAATGTCATCCCACCCCCCCCCTCCCCCTCCCCCCCTCCCCCCCCAAATCTCAGCGGATTCCACAAGACACCCTAATAGGCAAATCGGCATGGAACAAATCTCGCTGAAGCTTCCCCCATTCTTTCCACAATCCCCTTCAAAAAATACCCCACACCCAGCGAAAACTCAACTTCTTGAAAGGACGATACATATTGATTGGCCTTTTAGAACAAGCGCTTGAACAAGCGTTTCCCCCTGGTGGTCTGCCATTTTGCGGAGCTCCCCATTCTCGTCCTGAAGGGAAAAAAATATTGACCTGATCACGAGCGGCTCCGGCTCTGCTGCGCAGCAAGAAAAAGAAGAAACGTGCGAAATTTCGGCTTCATACGGCCATGGGTCAAAATCCAAATCGGTTAGCCCCCAACATCCGATTCAATCCAACCACTAAAAGAGGTTCTAAATGGGCGGTGAACTCACCTACCCCAAGATGGCACCATTGGTTTCATACTGTGGATGGACCAAATCCTACACCACGATCGAAACCATGGAGTTGAAACCGTTGTTTGTTGGCATTTACAAGGGAATCGAATCCTTTCAGGGTTTGTTAGGTGGTGCGACATGGATTTCGCAACCATCCACAGTAGGTCTTGGAGGAGCCCCCAGAAATCGTGTCTGAACCTGGTAGAATTCACCCAAAGCTTTGAGGCTCCAAATGGCGCTGCGGGGTTTGGAACATGTCCCCCCAGCTTACTCCCAGACCATTTCAGCGTCAAGATGTTGACCACCTCTGGGACTGAACCATTGACTGCAATCCACACTTCTCGTAACTTGTTGAGCGGCTCCTACTCAAACGCTCTGGGAGGTGAAGAAGTTATCTTTGCCCTGTTGCTCTTGCCCATGACAAAGCTAGCGCCTATTGCGGGTTTGTGGAGTTGCTAAGGGAAACCAAAGCCAAACCAGCTTGGGCGTTTCGAAAAGGGGACCCCGAAAAATCACCATGTTCCTGTTGGCTTCCCTGTAAAGCCAACCCCCCCAGACGCCGGGTACCCACTTAAACGAGCACACCCAGACGCCGCCGAAGGCACCCTCGAGCGACCAGCCTGAACCTGAAGATTCCGGTCCTGGCAAAGAAAACAGAAACACGAAGAGCAGTGGCCCCAGTTGAGCGAAGATTCCGGTCCATTTTTATTTTTTTGCCAGGAAATGGGCTTCCCTGGTAGTTGATTGAACCACCAGGCAAAGGAATCGCGCTCAGTATGTTTCAACCAAACCAAGAAGGACACCTATGATTCCATGTGTGCTTGCTGGTGCGAGAGATGCAGGGAATGAGAAATGGAATGACCGCTATAAACGGTGGTGTCCTTTAACGGGACCAAAGCCTAGGTTCACTCCCTCATTCCCTACGTATCGCACCAGCAAGTGTTTTCAGAATTCGGACCCCCAAAATGGCGCAACGGCTTCCTTGATGCCTCCCTTCAGAACCAAAACGGGGCATCAGTTGGTACAAGGGGGGTTCCTATCGGATTCCTTAGGCTTCCCATTTTTGGGTTGACCCTTGGGGAATCCTTCCCCTGGACCACTCCCCCTGAAAAAGACTCCATAGTTCAAAAAAAAATAATATGGAACCCCGGTGATCTTGAAACTTGCCACTTGGAGCCCTTCTGAAAGCCTCGCTGAAAGCCACCCCAGCGTTAGCGACGGGATAAGAGTTGATGATGCTTGAGGAAAGATTCGAGGTGTTTGTTCGGGATGCGGGGTGGCTTCTCTCGAGTACAGAAGCATAGGCCCCAAACATGGCCCAGATAATTCGGGGAAAAACAAAACTCCATTCATCCCTACCCGCTATGGCATGGTTGTGGACAATACCCTTCTGTGATACCAACGCGGGCCATCCCCATGACGAGTTCATCACAATTTATAGGGGATTCCCGTGTTTCTTGTGGCCATTTCGCACCACTTTCAAACCATGCCTGAAACCCTTGTTTGCTGGTAGTTGCAGGGAAACATTATTCCAGTTGCCTACCATCTTTTTACGATCATGTCGACGCCGGACTAAGGCCTCCTAGAAATAGGGGTTCTTCTCCTCCAACGGTGACAATTCCCTAGGCACACAGCCCTATTAACAAGCTCGGCTTGATGGAAGCCTGCAGATGGCGACATCTATTTCGCACCACCTAAGAAACCCTGGTGTCTGATGATTCTGCAAATACCAAACGTCATGGTTTCAACTCCATGGCTTCATTTCGTGGCGCGATTTCCGGATTTCGCAAAAAAAAAATATGCCATGCGGACTCCTTTTTACCGGCCGAAGGCACTTCCCGCGCCTGGGCTGGGCGCCGGCCTGATCGTTTCGTCAAGGGAGTGTCCCGTTTTGTTGAGCTTGGCAATCTAGGTCAACGACCACCATAACCAGCAGACTCCCACCTAAAAATCTATTTTAGTAGGGGAACCCTCCCCCCAAAAAAGGGGTTAAGAAGGGCACCTGGCTGGGGGACCTAGCAATTATCTTTGCAAAGACCCGTTTGTTGGCGGGGGAAGCGTAGCGCTACAAAACCCACGAGAGAGTGGGCAAAAGTTCGCGTATCCTGGTCGACATTCAAGATCAGACCAAGTTGGTAATTACTTGGATGGTCTGGGGCTTAGATAACCGTACCCCTAGTTGTAGAGGACTTACAACCATGGCTTTGGTTTGTTACAACCAGGATTACTAACTTACTAACCATTCAGCCAACTTCCAGACCATCCAGGTACCCATTTTACGGTGCTGTGGTTTCCGAACCCGTAAAAGACGGTACACATACTTGAGCCTCGAATGAAACAACGGGTTTGATCTTTCTTTGTGAGATGGTTTTACATGAACGGGACGAACAGCAAAACCACGCCCAATTTCTGGGTTTTCGGGGGGCCCACCTTGCCACGGCATTTGGGAGAGGCACCGTGTCTGTCAGGTGCCATCTCAGTCTGAGAGAGGGTACCCATGCTTCATGGCAAAGGGAAACATGAGGGGAAAGCCAAAGGCCCCCCTCAGGTGCCCTTTTTTGATTGTACCGGGAAACCAAAAGGAAAAATTGGGGGCCCCCTCTAAAGCAAGAGATACCCTCCCTCCCACTAACATGGCAACTGACACAGGGTACCCCCAAGAGGAAAGTCATCTTCCGGGTACCCGCCCACAAGTGCTATGTTTGTTGGAGGGAGAGTACCCAAATAAGCCTTGGTTTTCTGTGGGAGTTTGGATACCCCAAGCTCCGTAACGGCTCCCTTCCAACCAGCCAGCCATAGTAAAATACGCGCGTTGTGCCTCCAGTGGGCAGGAGAAAAGGAGGAAAACCTCCCCAAAACACCAGATTGCCTTATGAAAGCCAAAAATAAACGTGCCATACCGTCAGTGTCAGTCCATTCTGATTCGTCCCAACAAAAACGGGGACAAAATTTCACACAAAAAAAAAGAGAAGCTGAGACACTGTTTGTGGACGGTGACTGGGGGAATCGAGCCAACAACTGTGCCTGGATAAAATGCACAATTGCCCAAGCAGGCCTGCTGAGGAACCGCCTAAATTCCATATCAGCAGGGTTATTGATTTGTGGGGGAAGAAACCGCAACCTTGGCCCGAGCCGTTCGGCCCACCCCCACACCCCAGGATTGCTAAGCTATGTTGGCATAGGTTAGGTAGGCCACCAGCGGTGCATGTGATGTGTGCTTTGTTTGCACCTGTTCAAGCACTATGTTCACATTATTTGGAGCTGCGCTGAGTATGGTTCACATGCACACCTTCAAAACGCTTCATACCCCCCAGCTACACCCGCCCCCTCCCCCCCCCCTCCCCTTCATCACCACTTTAAAAAAAAAAGAAGGAAAAAAAAAAAACGCTCAAGACGCAAAAGACAAGACTTGGCTCCCACCCTTCTTCCATCTCCCCCCCCCTAACCCCCCCCCCCCCCCAAAACATGGAAGACGTTCCCCGGGCCCCACCCAGCTGCACCCGAGTCAAACCGACCCGCGACCCGCGACGCCTGGGCGGCCGCAGGCCTCAGCTCCGAGAGGTCCGATCGCAACACGAGCGAGACTCGTGGAAACGGGGGACTTGTCGGCAACCCCATGCACCTTTGCTTGTTTCTTCTTTTTCAAATGTTTTGATTGTGACTTTATGATTTTTGTTATTTTTCTTATTTTGTGTTGTTTTTTGTTTTTCACATGATTTGTACCCATTTCCTCAGGTTGGTGCTAAACAAAAATTAGCTCAGGCGATATCCCCAACAGCATGCGGTGCTCTTTTCAGTGCTCGCACCACCCAGCCCTCGCAGAACCCTCGTGGAACCCTCGTGGAATTTTGGTGGAACCCTGGCTGCCCCGGGCCACCCCGGAGCCTATCTGGGCTGAGACCCCAAAGCTTTCAGCTGTTGGGGAAACAAAACAAAAAACTTCTTGGGGTTCCATTTGGCCGTGGGTCAATGGTACCATTTTGGGGTAGGTGAATTCACCACCCATTTTAGAACCTATTTCAGTGGGGATTGGGATGTTCACTGGCGGTACGGGGTTTTGACCCATAGCCTTCTTTTCTTTTTGAGGGGGGGGGGTTCATCTCACTCACCGCCTAGGGATCCCACAAACGGAACCATGAGCAAACATGTTCTTGAAGGCAAGAAGACCCAGAGAGAAAACAACAACATCTTTTTGGGGATCTTTTTGGGGTTCAATGGCTGGTTCTTGAAGGGAAGCCAAGGGAGAAAAACTCATCTGTTTGGGGTTCAATTACTGGCTCTCAAAGGGAAGCCAAGGAAACAAACTTATCTTTTTGAGGCTCAATGTTCGATTCTTTGCGGGGTGTTCATCACAATCGGAACCTTGGGTGAAACAGGATTCAAAGTGTCCCTACTGTGGATGGACGAAATCCTGCCCGACCTAAAACACCCTGGTTTATGCTTCGATTCCCCAACGTCAACATCAACAAACGTACTGGTTTCAACTACATGAAAGTAGTGTGAAATGGTTTTTGCACATCCACTGGTTTTGCCCATCTTCGACCCGCAGGGAATGAAGGCTGAGCTAGCTTCAGCCCTTCATTTGAAGGAATCAGCCCTTAGCGATGCTTCAATAGGCAGCCCCGGGCTCGGAGCCTCTTTTTTGTAGTCTGTTAATCTCACTTGCTGAGTGGATGGACCAAAAAAAGACCAAACTTTATATTTACCACTAAAATGGTCTTCCCAAAAAGTTTAAAGTTCACGAACTCAGGAAGTGAGTAATACTCTTTTAATATTCTACAGGGGTGGATCCACAAAAGCCACATCCAAGCCGTTGTCTAGATGCCTCATCTCCCTCACTTGCTGCGATAGATAGGGAATGACAACGAGTCAGGGTGTCGGGAATGAACCGGTTTTGGGGATTCCGTGAAAGGAAACCAAATCAGGGACGCTTTGTAGGGGTGGTCAATCCCTCATTCCCTGCTGAGAATCAGAAAGCTCAATTCTTCCAGGTCCATCCACCACTCGAGGACTTGAATCACTTGGGGAATCTTAGTCACGGAAATTGGACCCCCTTTTGTTGGAGCCCAAGGACCCAAAAGGTGCTGTTGGCAACTTGAGATGCACTCAACAGGTGTTGATTCCAGTTAGACGGTCGCGACAAAAAGGCCTCGGCAAGGCTCATTCAGCTCTAGCATCTTTGCCATCAACAGGGATCCTTACATTAAACACCTGAACATTGCCTTGTAAATGGTGGGTTCCCTTTATTTTGGTGGAAAAAGCAACATGTTTCAAATGGTTGCAAAATGTATCTTTTAAGGAGCCCTTTAAACGCTAAACATCAAACCCAAGGCCTAACAAACCCACCCTCTCCCAATCAAGAAGGGGGACGCTTCGCATCAGCCATTTTCAGGGAAGCCTCCGGGTGAATCCAGAAAGGCTTCGTATCCCGTAGGAAAGGTCCACAGTGCGTGACACGCAGTTGGCCATGTCCCACCAGTCAAATACACCAGAAACCAGTGAGGAACCCATTCAGCCAGAGATTGTCTTCTGACTCTCTTTCTGACACCTCTGGAAAGATGTTTCTTTTTTCAGTTGGGTAAAAGGGAACAGGGAAAACGCCCACCTGGGAAGGGACCGAGACAGTTGACACTGAGGCCGCGGAAGAAAAGAAAAATTGTGTTTTGACGGCACATATGGGCATGTCTTATTTTGAGGGCGAGCCGCTGAGGCAAACAAAAAGCAGACCGACCAGTTTGAGTGCGTTGTTTTTTAAGGTTGGACCCGAAAATTAACCCCCCCCCCCCCCCCCCGCCCCCCCCAAAAAAAAAAACTTACCAACTCAAACCCCTCCTGAGACAAGCCATGTGCCATGGTCCAAACTCCGACCCCCCAAAATGGGGTTGCCTTTTGACCCTGTCACATACGGGTTTGGCTTAAAATAGGCGAACCCCCCGAAGCAAAAACAAAATGAGTGAGAAACCTCGCGCATTCGTTTACCTTGTCGGGTTCCCTTTTCGTCGCACAAAACGAAAAATGAAAACACCTCGCAAAAAGACGAAGAACACGCACACAAAAAGGAAGAGCTGTGCAAACACCCCGCCAAAAAAAGGAATACAACCCAAAACAAAGAGCGGTTCTGTGTTTTTCCTCCTTGAAAAAAGGGCAGACCCACCTCACCCGTTCTGAGCTTCCCCGCTGGCTGAGACCACAGGCCTACTGGAAATGGGACCTTCCAAAGAGGGACGAAATCCGAAAGCTCGGTCGAAGGTCGTCTTACCCCCCGCTCCAAGTACCCGTTGTTGTAAGGGGTATTTCTTGGGAAACCTGGGTGTTCAAAAATTCCTGGTTTAGTCAAGGGTTGACATTATACCCTATCATATCCTGAAAAGGTGGGTATCCCTTACTGGGTGGCTTGGATTGGTGGCTTCGATTTGGACTTGATGATTCTAGAGAATAGATGGAAATTTATCGTGGAACACCAATCTAAACCCCCAACTAGCGGGAAGCTGAATCTACGCAAGGCAGGAAAAGATGGAAGAAAAAACAGGGAGAACAACAGAAGGTCTAGAATTCCTGGGAGAAATGTCTTCAAACACCTTGAAGAAGTGGAGCGCTCAGGGGTCCAACTGAAAAGTTGGAAAGCTTGGACGTGCAAATGGGGGAACAAGGTGAGTCATAATCAAAACAAGGTATAAAAATGGTCTACCTAGAACCATGTAAAGAATTAAGAAGGCGGCCGCAGCCAATTATGGTTGGGAGTATCCCTTACTAACCTTCATCTACCCGGGTTTTTATTGTGGCTCAGGTGGGCTTACTAGGCAGGAGCAAGTCAATATGTTCTTGTGGGAAAACCGACACATCAACCTGGGAAACAACACATTAAAACAGGCACAAACGCAACGCGATGGGGGTTGCAATAAATATTTGTTGGCACGGGTTGCACTAAAACGCCTTCCGGGTGTGGGGGGCACAGGGACTTCCACGCAAAGAATTTGTTTGCGCAATCGGGGGTTTTGAGGGGGGGGGACGGACTCGCCTTGAATGAACCAAAAAGGTTGATGTCGGAAGCAACGAAAAGGAGACGTACATCTACAGAACCCATGAAACCGAGGGGGGGGGTGTTGGTTTTTTGGACTGCAAGCCAGGAAAACCCGGAGGTGAACAAACAGGTTTGCGGCACGAATTTTTACGTGGCTGGCCTCGCCATTGGCAAGGAAACCGATCCAAGGCCACGGTGGTATGAGACCTTTTCTCGGTGGCGAAATCTGCGAAGCCCTGCAATTAGGTGACGAACCTTTTAGTGGCTTAATACGGAAATCATCCACTAGTTGGCAAAAAGCTCTCCAGTTCTAACATCCCTTGGCAAAATGCAAAGCCAAATTTGTCTTATATCCAAAGTTAGTGGCCCATTTTTTGCGATTCCCCTCCAATTGTCTCCCTCATCCCCATAAGTGATTTGTCCATTGGCAAAATGGGCGCTTCAACCAGTTGAGCTATAAATCCGCTTCTTGGGACACAAACACCGAGCCAGAAGAAACGGGGTGGATGTTCAACCGAAACGGGCTCACCTGGGCTGCTCTCCCGAACGAGAAAGAGATGCCGATCGCGATTCGTTGGTTGGAAAAGCCATTCGTTTCCACGCAGTCCTTTTGGGCTGATTGGGCCACACCAAAAACCAGCAATGCTGCCCGGGCTGTAAGTGGGACAAAAAGGATTGTTCGACATGTAGCCATGCGCATAACTTTCATGCTAAGTGAGTTGACCAGCCAAATGAGTGATTCTTTACAAGACCACCTTGTTGGGAAGATGTACTGGTAAAATGGTACGGCCCCCCATAAACCAAGAGGTTCAAATACCCTCCTTTGTTTATTGCATTTTCTCCAAAAAACACTGGTGTCCATGGTAGTACCTCCTTTTTGAGTACAGGGTGGACATGATATATACCCTATCATACAGAGGGTACCTTGGATTTGAACCCTGGCTCTAGAGAAGAGATGGGTCTTTGGAGTAATTCCCCTTGTAACGAACAATGGTTCAACGGTTTCAAAGTGGTGTGAACGGATTTCGCAACCATCCACAGTAACCTTGCCGCAAACCGACCGAACCCGGCCCCGCAACCCGCTTCGCCTCGCTCGGTGCTGGGTCGGCTTCGCTCTTGGGGCGGCTGGCGCAATGCCACCGCGAGTCGCTGCACGTCCCCGTCGAGCCTCGCGAGGGCTATGCCGGCTATGCGCAGGATAAGCCAAGTTGATCAGCCAACTTAGTAAGGTCTTAAGCTGCCTAAAGAGTTCATATTTAGCCTGCGGGGGTTGAATTTCACTGACAACAACAACGGGGGCCTTTTTTCGAAAGAAGAAAAAAAAAGCACACCCGCAGCTACTTGCCTGCCTTCCAGGGATGAGTGGGGGATGGTTGTTTTGCAACAAACCAACCTATCGTTGAACGGGCTTCGGCTGGACTTCAAAACGGGTTCATTTCCTCTTGAGGTGATGTTTAAAGGGTAGGTAGCCATCATGTTGAAGTGGTCTGCCACACACGTCCCTGGTGGTTTCGTTCCCTATAGGTTTAAAGGGAAACCAACGCACACCCACCATGTTTCGAGTCCCTTCTTTTGCCGCATATACATTCCCTTCGTTCCCCTGTGGGGCGCCAGTTCAAATGTTGACTTTGTGCAACTGCAGAAGACTGCACTCATCGGTTGAATCACGCAAACACGGGAACCTCCAGTGATCAGCTGAATCCTCCTCGTTCAATCACCTGGGGGTAGGACAAGCTCAGTCGCAGTCCCTTCAGCTGAGGATTGCGTGGAAGCCCTTGCCCATTTTTTTTGGGGGGGGTCCAAATCCGTCAAAATTGGGGGGGGCTGTTGTCCCATTAACCAACGGTAGACTAGTGATTCTGGTCAAAGGACCCTTCGACAAGTCCTGGTCAGAGCAAAGTGTGCATTTCTCAAGTTAGAGACTCCAAGCGGTTAGTGTCCTTCTTGTTTCCCTTTAACAATCCTTTAAAAAAAGTGCTTACTCTAGACAGACCCAAGTCTGAAGTTCGATGTACATGCCAGACAACTGCTCGGCAAGATCAAAGGAGCCTACGGCAAGCAAAGAGCCAGTCTTGGCTCCAGTGTGTGTGCGTGGCATCGAGGAAGCGGAACTTGTGTGGGATCTCCCTCTTCGCTGTCGCTGTCGAACGGGGTGCCCCCATGGCCCCACCAGGACCCGGCACGTCGGAAGGAAGGTATCCGAAGGTCATAAGTTGTATTATGTGTCTCCAGGTTGTATTACAGAAGGTGTACTACGATCAGGCAACCACCCAAGTCCGGGTTGCTTGAACATCTGTGTGTCTCCTTTTTGGAGTGTACCCCATACTCGCCCGGTTTTTCGAGGGAGACAAACCTTGCATTTGCTTAAGCCCCCTGGACATTCAAAAAACATGTCCAGTAGTTAAATCGAATCCCTTTAAATCAGTAGTTCAATCGATTCCCTTTAATTCCATCATTTCAGCCACTGGAAGTTGGCACAAAACTACCTGGACCCCCGCAACCACCCTTGAAACAAAGAGATCTTGGATCTTGGCCCAAACAACTTCTGGGGGTAAAAAAAAAAAAACAAACTCCCTTCCTTTTTCTACTCACTTCCTTTATTGGCCCAAAACTTCTGTGGGTTAAAAAAAGAACTGCCTTCCTTTTTCCTGGGAAGAGAAACCCCCCTCCCGACCTCCCGTCCTCGCATCCTCTCCCGCCTGGGGGTCTCCGGCAGCTGCCGCGCCTTTGGCGCTGTGCACCTGCGACGGTTCGATCCGCGGAATGCGGAGCGATCCCCTCAGGGCCCTGGACATTTTGAGATCAGACAGGAACAACTTCTCGTTGGCATACTGCTCCCCTGCTAAAAGTGACTAACTTTTAGTGGTTTAATGGAAAACCCATCATTAGTTGGCACAAAAAGTTAAAGTCCTAACATCCAAGCAAAATGCACCAAAGACTTGCTGTGGCTCAACAAACCGGTACCAAAATGGAACTCGGTAAGTGGAAACATGGACCAAAACCTGCGGTTTGCCCCCCCCCCCCCCGCTTGTTATTTTTGAGCCACGCCCAACTTGCTGGCGCTCAGCAGGGAATGAGAGAATGACCCTTACCCATCCCAACTGGCGGTTTCCTTTCAGGGCACCATGGGTTCGATCCAAAGCGATGGATCGAAACCGCGGGCTGTGGACCGGGTCTTTTTCTTCTTGGGCCCAAGGCTCAGGGTCGAGGGCTTAAGGTGAAGCTCAGGTGACATCCAGAATTCAAAGCACTCATATCTTCGAACCCCATGCACTTTGCTTTGTTGTTTTTCTTCATGGTTTGTACCCATTTCCTCAGGTTGATGTCAAACAAAAATAAGCTCAGGTGACATCCCCAGCATGCGATGCTCTTTTTTAGTGCTCGCACCACCCAGCCCTCGCAGAAACTAGTGGAACCCTCGTGGAACCCTGGTGGAACCCTCCTAAAACCTTACCTCAGGGCCGCCCCGGACCACCCCGGAGCCAAAGCTTTCAGCTGTTGGGGAAAAACGCTGGTTTGCACCATGTTCCAACACGCCATCAGAAGAAACTGTTGCTTTCTGTGTTGACCCCGGGTGTTTCTGTTGAGCTGTCCTAGAGGTGGTCTTAATCCCCAAAGGAAATGGACAAACGCCCATCAAAATCAACATGGAGGTGAGTGTTGACCCGTCCTAACAAGGGTGATCCCTCCAAAAGTGGCCTGAATCCCCACTAAAAGGAAATTGACACACCCAGTTGAAAATCAAGCAGGGGGTGATTAATCTGCGGTCAACATTCACCGCCAAAACGGCCGCACTGTCTGTCTGGGGTTTCCTGCATGATTATTCAAGAAAGAGTACCAAAAAAAATAGAAACTTTGAAACCCTCCAACTGAACCCTCCCTGAAATCTGCCCCAAACCACCCTCTGAGCCTATCTGGTGTTGTAGCTTTCAGCTGTTGGGGAAAAAGGTACCAGAGCGACGGTCTGTGGTTTGCGACCAGCGTCGACCATCTGCGTTATGGTTTCATTCCCATGGTTTCAAGGTGGTGCGAAACGGATGTCGCAACCATCCACAGTCTGCATCAACCAGGGATGAATTCCTCTCCTAGCATGAATCGGAATAACATTCGCGGAAATGGCCATCCCCGCTTGCGCCGAATGCTTTCCCAAAAGCGCAGAGGGGAAACTGGGCAGCCCTCTTGGTCTCCATTGCTTGGGTTGATGTTGGGTTTGGGGAGCAAAACTTTAAGTTTTAGCAGTTAAGTGGTTGGATTTCAACCACTACACCACCGAAAAGCCAAAATGTAAGATGTTTCCCAACAACAACCATGTAGACTATTGTATCTTTTGACCGAACCTCTGAAACCAGCTTCTTGCATATGTTCGGGACGTTCCCCTATTGCTCACTTCATGTAGGGCTGTTGTCAACAGAATCAGGAGCCCCAAACCCCCCTTTGGAAAGGGAGACCACCATTTGGATTCGGCCAATGGTGCTTTGTTATTCGGACCCCCCAAAATGGCCCCCAACATGGCGTTTTTCGGATTCGCACCCCCCAAAAAGAATTGCCAAACCGGCGTTTCCCTTTCAAACATAATAATAATGATAATAATAGTAATAATGATAATAATAATAATAGTAATAATAATAATAGCACTAGGAATAATAGTAACGATAATAGCAATAATAATAGTTATAGCAATTGGCCCCTCCGTTATCACTATGGCAGGAGCCAGGCAATTTTTGACCCCATATTAATCAACCCCAGTTTGTTAATTAGGCGTGCTTCTCCCTGGGTTTAGTTGTTAGAATCAGGCCACTTTTGGAGGGGCTCCCCACCCTGCTACCAATAAACTGGGGTTGATTAATATGGGGCCAACATTCGGTGTCCTTTTTGGGTTAGTTTATACTAAAATGGTTACAATGGTTTCTAGGTAAAATGGCAGATCAATAAGATAGCAATAATAATAATTTTAAATATAACAACAAAAAAAAAAGAAACGGCGGCACCGAGTCCCACGTCCGGGCCGCCCGGCCGCCCGGACCTCGGGGCATGCCGCCGTGATCCGCACCGTCCTGGATTTGATTGGATGGATGGGCGGGTTCCCCGAAAAAGAGCGGGGGTGACGGTCTCAAAACAGAGACCAAACTCTTTTCACAGGTCTGTTTCTTATAGACCCAAAGGGTCAAAGCCTGCCTGGATGGGAACCCTCCTCCCAAAAACTGGGCGACGGTCTCATGATTAAAAAACAAACGGATCGTCGCCATGTGAGTCACAATCAAAACCCGGTATTAAAACCCTCATGGTCCCCATGTCCCTCCCGCATGGACCATAGACTCCTGTATTTTTTGACCCAACCTCTCACGTTTGGCCAAAAAATCAGGTGCAAGGAATCAAACGAGCCTCCTGCAGAATATGTTCGGGACGTTCCCCTATTGCTCACTTCATGTAGGGCTGTTCTCAACAGAATCAGGAGCCCCAAACCCCCCCTTGCAAAGGGAGACCACGACTTGGGTGGTTTGACCCCCCAATATGGCTTTAGGACAACCACCATTTGATGTGTTTTGACCGCGTTACACCGTTGTGCTTCCCTTTATCGCCAAAAAGCGTCCCCAAAATGGCGGCAAACCGGTGTGTTTCCCTTTACCACCCAAAAAAAGGGACGGGAAAGCAAAACAACCAAAAAACAAAAGGGAGAAGAAAAGAAAAAAACTGCCCTTTCCCACCCAACAAAACAAAACAAAAAAACGGCTTCTGAACCACAAAAAAAAAAGAAGAGACGGCTGCTGGCCAGTGCCCCTCTGTCCTGCGGCTCTCCCTTTCGGCTCTGCCACTTTGGGCGCCTTCGCAGCCGCGCTAGCAGCCCAAGCGCTCGGGTGCAGCGGACCCGTGGCTTCGTCGCCTGAGAAACGAGTGGGCAAATTGCCATGCGGGCCCTGGGCAAACCCAAGAACTCGATATCTCCAATGGAGACCTGAACTCTGGCAAAAGGGACCCTCAGCAGAGCCAATCACCCAGCCAAGCAGCTCCTCAAACTCTGAGGCGAATGGGTTCAGCGGAACCCCAAAAACAAAACGCGCTGCGATGGGCGCACGACAAGGGAAGGACTCACCGTTTTTTTGTTTTTTGATTTTTTTTTACAGGGTTCTGGGAATGAACCGATTTTGGGGATCCGGAAGGAAGCCAGCTGGATGGTGTACAGAGGTCATTGCAGGCTCATTCCCTGAGCACCAGCAAGTAGGAATCGGAACACGGAAAAGGCCTCTTTGGGGTCTCCCTTTAAAGGTAACCCTGCCAAAATGTCCCTCAACAAAAAAACTCGACCTGTATTGTTTTTTGAGGATGGTGTGGGGAAGCCAAGAGAAAATTGTCATGTTCGTTGTTGGGGGGGGGGGGTCCCCTATTGTAAGACCAAGCCCCCCAAAACGACACTTCAAATGGAACAAAATTACCCTTGGTGATGAAGAAACCAGAGGGGAAACCTCGAGGATACCTCTTTTTGTGGCTTTAAAGGGAAACCAAGAAGCAAAAGACCACCCATTTTGGGAAACTACCAAAAAACAACATTTAAGAAGCCCAGACAGTAAAAGGTCTTCGTGTGGTTTTGTTTTCGCGGAGAAGAAGGCAACCTTTGTAGTGGATCAGGCTCAGAAGAAGATGAACCCAAAAAGGCACTTAGGAATGGTATGGAGCTTGCCACTTATATAAGCGGTACATACGGGTATTTGGAGGGTAGTCTGGACAATCCCCTTGCCATAAATGGGTTCGGACTTCCGCCTTTTCGATTCCCTACATGATTCCGGGTTCACCATTTTTGTACCGATCGGTGTTGATTATGACTCACATATCAGCTTGTAACGCCGAGACTCACATGATGAAAGCCAAGAAAGCTTGCTTTCAGTCAGACCAGCAAACAGGCATCTTCAAGACTGGCCTGTCATATGTGTGCCTCAAAATAGGAGATCGCGCCGCGAAAGGAGTCGGCGTCCTTAGTTTCCCTTCTCTATCCCAAGAAAGGTTCTTCCCTCACAAACGGTTCAAACCTAAGACCAAGCCTCGGCTTTTGTACATGCCTGCACCCCTCACCAAAGGCTTTTGTAGCCCTTTCTGTGGAGATCACAAAGGATACTCTCAGCACATACAATACCACAATACCGGGATCTTCTTAAGTCTACAAAGGATCTCGGAAAATCCCATTCTTCATGTTGGTTGTATCTTGGTTCCGCAGGTTGACATTGCTTATAATCTTTTCCGTGTACTAAACCAACCGAGTTCGTGCCAAGGGCCAGGCAGGCTTCTGGAAAATAGGGCTTGGTAAATATGGAACCTTCCGTCTGTAAAGCATCAGCTTGGGGCTTCCTGCCATTAGATTGGTCACCCCTTAGGTTCGAAAAGCCCAAAAATCCTGATCAGCGAGCCTGTTTGCCCGCAATCGGCGACCTCGTGTTTGTAAGAACCTTAGAATACGCTGCGGGGTAATACTGTGGGTGGAAAAATTCTGCACCACTTTGAAACCGTGGAAAACCATTGCTTGTTTGGTATTTACCGGGGAAACATCATTCCAGGGTTCTTGGGTGGTGCAGGATTTTGTGAGTATTGAACCCAATTACCCCGTGGTCATGCGAGCATGATGGGTGATTCTTTAGCCCCTTAGTCAATTCCCAGTTGCACAGTGACCCTTTCGAGGCAGGGAAAGTTTCGCAACCCTTGGGGTTTTCCATGTCTGGCCCCATTCAAACAAAGCAGGATATTGAGTGAGTCGTAATCAAACCCTGGTATTGAAGGGGTCCACCCAACACGATGAGAAGCATCTCAAAGTGTCCCGCTCTGATCCGGACCTTTAAAGAAAGAGATTTGTCATTGTCCAAAGGTCATCCAATCACGGAACCTCACTATTCCAATTATAAATCATCGCAATATGAATGTGATTGCGTCTTTTCTTTTTTAGGGGACGCCATTAATAAAAAAGAAGAAAAAAACAAGGGGGGGAAACAAGAAAAAAATCCTGGGTGTCTCTGGGGTTTTCCCTTAACCACCCCAAAATGGTTGGTACAAACTCAAAAAAGAATATAAAAAAAATCGGCCGGGCGGGATCGATCCAGCCCTCGCTCCGAGCCGCTCTCGGCGCTGGTCTCAGAGCTCAGCCTGGGAGAGTTCTCGGAGTACTCCGAGTCGAAAGGAACGCTCCGCGCGGGTTCAAGAGAGAGTCCAAAAAGGAGACCAAAGGAAAGGCTGTTGGTCAAAAATGGGAATACCCAAAATGGCACCCTGGTAAATGGAAACAATGACTAAAGCCTGTGGTCCCCTGGTGGTTTAGTTTTGACCCATGCCCAAAAGAGTACCCCGAGAATTCTTCCGGTATCACTGTTTCAGTGCCATACTGTGGATGGAAGAAATCCGTTTCGCACCACCTAGCAAAATCTGAAAGAATGATTCCCCTGCAACTGCCAACAAACAACGGTTTCTCATGGGTTCCAAGCGGTGCAAAATTTCGTCCATCCACAGTAAGTCCAGAAAACGGTTTGGACGTGTGGTGGGAATCTGTGGATCCACCCCTGTAGTAAAAAGAAAAGAATCGACCAACGGGGGGGAAGGCCGGGTGAAATCCACAAAAAAGGCGCAAGTTTTCTAGATTTTGGGGTCGAGTGATCTGCTGGGGAATCAGTCTTTTAAGGATACGAATCCTTTCAGGAAAGCATCTTACAAAAAAAAGAAGAAGAAAACAGAGGGGAGCAGCGGTCGGGTTTCAAAAGAACCATGGCTGCACAGGGGGAGCTCCCCTAGAAGTGAGCCGGAGAAAAAAGTCCGAAGATGAAAAGGGTGGCCTCAAAAAGCAACGCCCAAAAACGGGAGGGGCCCCTTGGCCACTCACGAGTGGGCTTGCTTCAAACCCGAGTTTCCACACTCTGAACCCGAAGACATCTCCGGAAGGACGCAAATAGATGCCAAAAAACCGGAGGTGCTTTCTTGGGCGATGTCTTGTTTTGGTGTGTTCGGAGCAGTTTATGACATATGAGAAAACTCGGAAACCCGATTTTGCAACTTATAAGGCCCCAAGCACGCAGCCCTTAGCTCCAGAGAGAAACGTCAGCTTAGGTCTGCCTCGGGAATTGCCGCAATGGTTCGCCTTGGTCTGACTCTATCTTTCTGATACAATGAACTCAGGTTTGCTACTCGGCCGTGTTTGTCAAAAGAAAGGTACCCAAAATGGCTTGCCCTGGTAAATGGAAACATGGACTAAAACCTGCGGTTCCCTAGTGGTTTAATTTTGACCCACACCCACCCAAAGGGGTTCCAGGGTTCTGAGCCAAGATCTTATGACCGGAGCTTATGACCCTCAGAGCTGCTTGGGAACAATTCCAAACAAGGCATGGCCATGGGCTTTTCCAAATCCAAAATTCCGTACCTTCAGACATCCGACTCAATCCAGCCACTAAAATAGCTTCTAACATGGGTGAATTCACCTACCCCCTTGCCTGGAATTCGGAAACCCCGCAAAAAAAAAAAAAAATGAAAAGGGAGCTGATTCTGGGGAACTCTTCCAAGACATGAACGGATCCCCAAGCTCCGGCGACCCGGCGGCCTTTCCGATTTGGCTTCTTCGGCGATGCCGGGCATCGCCGCGCTTTGAAGGTTGGGAAGACTGCGTAAGGCTAACCCCGGATCTAAGCAGAACCCCCACAGGTGTCCTTCTGGGGCAAATAGATGGGTTGCCCTGGTAAATGATGAAACCACCAGAAAAAACCAGGAATCGCCACCTATGTTGAACAACCTAAAAGGACACCTTTGTAAACCCCTGGTTGATTTCAATCGGGGGGTGCTTTTCCCTTTTTAGTGGTTGGATTCAGACCACTTTTGGAGGGAACACCCCCCTAATGGGACGGGTTCTACTTAGATCCTGGGTCAACATTAACCCAAAACTCTAAAAGGAGAAAGTACTCCTTTTGCACGTCCGTGCTTCGACTAAAATCCGCGGACGAATCTGCCCCTGCAAAAAGTGAGATCAATCTTTGTTGGCAAAAAGGACGGAACACACAAAAAGGGTAGATGTGCAGGGATCCTCAGATTATACACCTGAACATTGCCCTGTAAATGGTGGTGTCCCTTTATTTTCGTGTTGAAAAAGCCATGCTTCAAATGGTTGCAAAATGTATCTTTTAATGAGCCCTGGTGATTCCCCATTATTTTCAACCATCGTTCTTTTCAAAAACTGGCTGTTGCCCCTGGGGTTTTAAAATGGCTTCCTGAAAAGACTCGGATCCCTGGAAAGAATGGAAATGGAAGAAAAAACGGGACCAAGAGTCCTGCAGCCCGGTCGAAAATCCAGTGAGCTCTTTTCAGGTTGCCAAGAACACCACTTGCACCACGGGACAAATGGCTGTGGGTCAAACATAGGGCCCCAAATGCCCTAAATAGAAACATAGACTCAAACCTGCGGTCCAATTCCTGGTGGTGGCTTAATGTTGACCCATACCCAATGGGAATTTCTGCTTACCCCTGGTTTTATTGAAGTTTTCCCAGAAATCGGTCCTTCCCAAGTAAACCGCATACCCCCTACTCCAAATACCATCTTTTGTTAGGGTATGATGTCGACCCTCTACTCAAAAAGAAGATATTTACCATGGAAACTCGCTCGGTTCTTCACAAAATACCCCAGAAGAACGTGAAGGTATTTACCACGCAAACCCAGGTTTTTCACAGAATACCGTAGAAAAAGGTGGGTATTTGGAGTAGGGGGTACATCATGACAACAAACCTTCGCAAACGGCCACATGCACCACTCGGGTGGACCACCACACCTCAGCCCGCGGCTCGATGGGGCGGCCACGGGGCGCACACTGAGCCTGGAAGAGTCAGGAAATTTGTGGGGACTTGGCTGAATCGCTGTGGGCTCAAAACCGCTTTGGGATCCCATTTTGGGATGCTTTCGGTGAATTCACCACCCATTTCAGAACCTATTTTAGTGGTTGGATTGGGATGTTCACTGGGGGTACGGGATTTTGACCCATAAATACATGCACCAAGAAATGGCACCCTGGTAAATGGAACCAAAGACTAAAACCTGCGTAACCCTAGCTCATTGATTTGGAGCCACACCCAATTGAATTGGGGGTTGATCAATTTTCTTGGCGAAAGCCATGACTCTCGAGCGAAAGCCATGACTCTCTCAAGGTAGATCCTGAATGTTGGCCCCATATTCATCAACCCTAGTTTATTAATAGGGTGTCCAACTTGGGTTTAGTGGGGAATCCGATCCCCCCCCCCTTTTTTGAGAACCTGGTTGGTGGCCATGGGTCAAAATCCTGCACCCCCTGGTGAACATCCCCATCCCAACTAAAATAGACCAAAACGGGTAGAGCACCTACCCCAAAATGCGATCCCGTTGGTTTTTGACCCACAGTTATACGGGGAGTCATGAATCCTTTAGGAACCATTACGGTCATTAAAAATCCTCACCGGGTGGATTACCATCCCTAACCCCAAGCAGGATCGGTCGGCCTTTTGTTGCATGGCACCTGTGAAAAACTTGATCACTACTCTTGGCCTTTTTCTTTCTCTTTCTCAAGCAACGAGTCGGTGACTCTGCTCTAGCAAAGTAAATTCGGGCCGATTACCCTGCAAAATCAGGGCCCATAGCGGCCTCAACTGCCGCGGCACGAGCATTAAGCTCCTCCGCATAAGAGGCAAAAGCGGCATCCTCCGCACATGCGGGGCGCATCCGCAGCAAGGCGCGGTCAGGGCAGGCGGGTACTCCTTCGCCGCAGCTGTCCGCCACCGACCACTGCTGTCCTTCCCGATGAGGTTCTGTTTGGGCAGCCGTCGGCTGACCGGGATGCGTTCTTCTTGGAAGACGGCCGCCTGGTCTCCGTTGACGATGAGCAGGTGAGTGGGCTTGGGGGATATTCCCCCAAAATCGTGCTGCTTCACCAGGTGCCGCTGAGCTCTCCAGCTTTCTGACACGCCACAAACGCCAGATGGACGGCATGAAGCTCTCCGCCGGCTCTGCAGGGTGCTCACAACCCGCAAAGCCAAAGCCATGAAGGACAGCGCGACCTGGAGCAGGCTGTTGGCCACCCGCACTTGCCGACGCTGGCGCACACTCACGTGCCATAGCGCCCAGGGCCTCTCTGAGTCCCTCACCGGTCTGGGCCCATGGTCGGCGGCATCAAAGACGGTCCGCCAACGAGCTCTGCACCACGACTCGCACGGCGGGGCGACCATCAGCCCAGCGATCCTGCCCATGAGCATGTGCTGCCGCCAAAGCTCCTGCACTTTGGGGTCGAGAAGGTCCCAGTCGGCCACATACATGACATCGAGCGTGATGACCCAGTAGCACAAGCCGCTGCTGCATTCCGCACTGAGTAGATTAGCCCAGTACGTGAAGTCGCCATGCCTCCGTCGGCCCGAGTACAAGTAGAGGACAAAGCGGTTGCCCCCGAGCATACGGCAAGGGGAACCGAAAAGCTCCCTTCCTTCGCAACGCCCTGGCTCTGCACCACCCTCTGCATGACCGCCAGCTGCAGGAGGCCCTCCATCAATGCAATCGCCTTCACAGCCTTGAGAGCTCTTGCGGGGTGAGCTCGGTGCCGCTCTCCAGTGCGATGTTGTCCCCGCAGGCCGCGACTGTCACGAACGTGCCTTTCTTGATGGCTCCGCCCGCTCCGATGAGCTTCAGCGACTTGTTTTGTTCGGCGGTGTCCGGGTCTTCCTCTGGCTCCACGAGCTGCGCGTTCGCCGGGCCAGGCGACGGTTCGCGTCCGCGTTGACCGCCATCCGCTGGGCGTGGCTGATCGTGAGTGTGGTGTCCGGCACGCCTGGCTTGCGCGGAAAGAGCCGTCGCGCCCCCCTGGCTTCGAACTGCCCCTGGTCCTCGAGGTCTCGAAGCACGATCCGGGAGCAGGGGGCCCTCTCGCCGGAAGTCGATGGGGGCGATCCCGCAACTTGAGCTCTTCAGAGTCGTCGACCTTGATCTGCTCGTCCGTCATGGGATGCACATTCGCTTGCAACCATCGAAAGCAGGTTTCATCATGGTAAGCCAAATGCTGTCTAAGCCTGTTCCGGTCATGGAAATCCCGCAAGCACGCTACACAAGTCCCGCCATCAAACATGAAACGCCTCATCCATGTGAAGTGGCCGTGCGCCCTATAGCCATGAAGACGAAGCTGCCACTTCGATGGAAACTTCTTGGCGCAATCCCTGCAAGCCCAAGCCAACACACGGCTGGGACCCGCGGGGCTGGCTCTTCCGCCCGAATATCAGCAGCTCGCAGATCCTTGACATACTTTGCCTCCCACTCAATCAGATCAACATCTTTGGCTTTCTGCCAAATCTGCTTCTGAATGGCGCGGTTCACCCTGCTCGCCCACCGATGATGGCTGCCGACAGCAAAGTGAATCCAGGGAAGCAGATCACAGGAGGGCTCGGCATGCGGACAAACGCGGGCTCAAACCAAGCTCGAAGCCAGCGAAGATCCTCCCACAGGGCCTCAAACCAACTGAGCTCGACATCTTCATCTTCTTTGATCAGCAGGTCGATCAAGATCTGCGGAGCTCCCGTGTAGAGTCGCCTGAAATACCGCAGTCTCGCCGCACTGACCAACGACCTGACATCAGCCACCACCAGCTGCCGAAGCACTACCGCATCGTTGACATGCTCTCGGAACTTGGTGTGATGCAAGCCCGCAATGCCCCGATAACACTTCATGACGAAAGCGTTCAACTTCTTGACCAGTGGCGACGCCATGACCGGCCAAGTCTCGCAATTGTATAGCAGCTTGGAGAGAACCAAGGCACGAAACAATTGCAATCTCGTCTTGACCGGAATCTTGTTATTGGAAAATACCTTTTTGCTCGCGCTGCGCCGAGGTGCATCTATGAACGTGCCGAAGTGCTTGTATCGTGCAGTCATGTGCACGACCTGCTGGGCCTGGACCTGAAGCTGATTCATCTCTTCCAAACGCAACTGCCGTCGCCAAGAGTTGTGCTCCAGCTAACCGAAGGAGAACCTCGGTCTTGCCTTGCTTGTAATTGATAAGCCACCCATGCTCCCTCATACGATGATGGATTGTCGCCATGACGTCTGCTACCTTGTTGATCAGCGAGCCGGCATCCTTGTCCTGAACCATGATGGCTAGGTCGTCCATCCAAACAATCGGAGGTACTTTGGGTTGGTCTGGTGAATCCAGAAAATCCTTGAAGTCCTGGTTCGGGAAGCAAAGCACTTTTGCCATGACCGCAGTGAAGGCAATGTCAGCTGCAGGAGTCCCTGGTCTCGTCCCCCTTCTGCTACGGACAACCGTTCTATCCGGAAGCTGACCTTTACGCTGCACAAAAAACCAGGAATTGTGCAATGCCTGTTGCGCCGCATTCTGAACATCCTGTGCAACACCAAACTGATGCAGCGCTGGCCGATGTCCGAGTTCAGCAAGTGACACTGCATCCCAATCTTCCTCTGACAGCTGGTCCAACGGTCGCCGCAGAAGGACATACGGCTGGTGGTATAGAAGGCCTGTGCAAGATCGACGAAGATCACGGCAAACAAAGTCTTGCTAGCAACAGCTACTGCCATCTGTGCCCGTAGGGCCTGGGACGCATAGTCCGCGCCCATGCCTGGAAGACCTGCGATCTGCAGCTCCAAGAGACGCGGCCGAATGCAAATCATGATCTTTTCTCGCAAGACAGCCTGGCAACATCGCGTGACGACCGAGGTCACACAAATACTGCGAAAGCTGTCCCAAAGCCTTTGTATAGCGGCATCACTCCCCCTTTGGTGGCCAGCGTGTCTGCTAGCCACACCCAAGACTTCAGGAAGAGGGGCCAAATCGCTGCTGCGAACAGTCTGGGCTCTGCTGGCCAGCTCAGGCGGGAAGTCACAGAGGTCAAAGGCTTTCCCACATTCCACATTGAAGGCGCCGCACAGCTTTTTCAAGATCGAAACTGGAAGGCAGAGCTAGAGCATCGACTGGCTTTCCTGAGACCATAAGCTGCGCCCAGTCATTCCCATTCACTTCTGCACTCCTCGGCAACCTTGGCGAATGTACTGGAAGATCCCCCCATGGCCTTACGCAGGGACGACTCTTCTGACCGTCGCCCACATCTTCCTAGGGTCAGCACATCCAAGGTCGGCATCATGGGTCGGCATCATGCTCATCAGAGCATACGCTTGCGCGGCAATCGCACCCTGACAGGACGCCAACCACTTGGCACAGGCCGGGCTTTTGACTCTGTCATCGCGCCAAGCCAGAAAAATTGCCCTAAGCAAGCTCCTGCGGTACGTATCTTTCGTCCTGTGGGGTTGACCTCTGCCTGCTCGCTGCTGTTGAAGGAGTCGCCAAGCCTCATCTGACAACCAGACAGGCTGAGGCTTCTTCTTCTCTTTCACGAAACGTGGAAAAAGGCCAGCAACCGCAACTTGCTCCAGAGCTGACAGGTGCTGCTCTGAGGAGGTATGCCAGGGCAGGCTTTGCGAAGTAGTCAGCATCTGTGCCAGCGTACTTTGCAGTGTCTCTACTGCTTCTGGTGCCGCAAGCTCTCTCTACCCAGTTGCTTGGGAAACTGAATGCCTGGCTGAGACGACTGGTCAGCTCAAACCACCTCTGGAACCGGACTCCTGCAGGGCGATGATCTGGATGACATTGCAACATATCGAAATCCACATCCACAAATGCAAGTGGGCATGCTGCCTACACTGCCATCCATTGGAGGCTAGCACATAGTCAACTCTCCACCATTTGCTCTTGGAAAACCATGTCCCAATCTACACTGCCTTGGAACCACTCCTCAAAGGTGGCTGGTATGATTCTGCCCCGTTGGTTTTCAACCTCCGCAGCAAAGCCACCAACCGCTTCGCACTGTTCGGACCCAAGCCTGCCATTCGCATCCATCATGCATACAAGTTCATACCCTTGATTCCGCAAAGATGCCCACTGGCGATTGCACTCCGCCCAAAACTTGACCCGCTCACTTTCAGGACGAAATGAATGCGGGGCATAGGCCACACCAAAATGCCAGCTTGAAGTTCTTCAGCTGGATCTTGACTGTCAACTGTCGGTGATCGCTGTGAACCACAGTGGCCATGTCAGGGTGAAAGTAAATAGGCTGTCCATCAACCCTGCCAAGGGGTTGCACCAGACTGATCCACAATTCAACTCTGCATTGGCCCTTAACCCCCGCGGCTGCCAGACCTGCCAAAGTGTCGGCTGCCTCGTTCCACCCAAAGCCCGCATGAGCCTTGGTCCACATGTAAGATTTCCAAAGGTAGCGCGCCCACTCATGCCCGACAGGAACTCTAGAGCGGAGCTGTCTGCCGGTCTACCGGCTTCTCCTGCTTGATCTGATCCACAGGCGGTTCCGACTGCGCCCTCCGCTTGGTGTCCCCACCAGTGGCCCCGTCCTTCTGCACGCAAGCGGTTCTCCATCTCCTGGATGTCCTCGCCCGTGCACTTCTTGGCAACGCTCGTGTCCAGATCCCACCAACTCCACGTCCGAGTCGAGGACCTCTTCCTCGATGAGCGGAGACTTGCCATCTTCGGTCTTGCGCATTCATAGTCAATGTTCTCCATGCTTGACGCACTTCGATTCTGGCCTTCTTGGCTGTCTCCTGCGTCTCCTGAAGGTTCTTGTTGAAGTCCTGCTTCTGCGTCTCCAACTGCTTCAAGGTGCGCTCGAGGTGCTCCAACCATGATTTCTTCAGGTTGTTCTCCGCCTGTTGCGTCTCTTGCAGCACCCTCCTGGCTGCCCCCAACGCCGAGGTGGTCTTGTGGAGCTCTTGGTGAGGTTGCGTCCTTCCAACTGCCCCGCTTCCGCCGGCGGCTGCACCGATGAGGCGGCGCCCATTCGGCGGCATGGTGATACGAGGGGGGTGGAATCCACTGACCTGGACTTTCGCCCTTCTCCCCTTTTCCTTTGCCACCTCCTTGAACTTGGCCTTCCTGGAGCTGCTTCGCTTCCTGGCCCGACCACAGGAGGCCATCCACTCCTGCTTCCATGTCCCCGCCCTTCTGATGCCCCGGCTTGGAACTCCACCATGCCTTGCCACACCTGCCGCAAAAGCTGGCAGCGTTGGGCGACTCTGCCCAGCATGAGGGGCAGGTCCATGATGCGCTCATGTGGCTGCGCAGGTCCGAGAAGAGGCGTTCTTCCTCTCCAGGTCCAAGGGCGAGAAGCCCCGCGCTGGACGCTCTCAGCCGAAAGCGCGATCGCGATCTTCGCCTCCTCGCCCTCCTGCGCCACGAGGGTTCCGGCGCCACAAATGGCTCCCCGGAGCGGAGGCTAAAGACGTCGTGGGCTACAACAAATGAAGGCCCGCTAAGGCCACCAAGCTGCAGCTTGAGCCTTCTACTCTTGGCCCGACAAAAAATGATGGCTCACTGTTCCCGTCTTTTGAGCAGGCCACCTGTGAAATTTGATCACTACTCTTGGCCCCCCCCCCAAAAAAAAGATGGCCCACTTTTCCCATGGTGAAAGTCCACTCCTGTGGTTCCTCTGGTCACATGGACCGTTCCCCCCAGGACCTGGAGACCCTGAGACCTGGAGGCAAGATCTGCGGGGAGCGTTGGCTTTCTCCGTCCCTCTCCGTCCCGGAAAAGACTAAATGCTTTTCTTGGCACCGCCCGAAAAAAACCCAGGGCTCTAGTGCCCTTTCAGACGACCGAAGCCAAAACCAGGAGGAAAATGGAGGCCGTTCTTTTTCTGCATGGGCCGTGGCTACAGGGTGAAGAGTTGACAGCCCCGTTACCAGGAAGTACAGCCAAGCGGAGTCATTCCGAGTAAAGACGAGGAGTGTCACCCAGAGTCACCCCACCAAGAACCCAAAAAATCGGGGAACCCACTGGGTTTCCCCGAGCTTCTTCGAGCCAAAAAAAAAGCGCCGACCACACATTCGCCGACCGCCGGATACCCGTCCTCGCAGAGCGTCGCGAGGTCCTGAGGAAAAACGCTCTCCGAGACCAAAACCTCCGACGTCAGAAAGGTTCATGGGACAAGAGCCTACTGAGTGGTGCTTTACCTACTGAAATGGGCCTAAAGCGCTCACTTTGAGTTGAACTCCAAAAGCCCAGGCTCTGCGCGTTTGGTTTTTTGTTAGGTGGGACCCGGGTTTCCTTTCGAAGTTCTTCCTTTCACCACCAAAAGGGGGCGCCTAAACTCAAAAGCAAGACACGCTGAAATGGTTGAAATCCCCGAAGAACAAAAATCTCTCCTCTCTCAAGCTTCGGGGCGGTTCAGACTTGAGCTTGAGACCCCGGTTCGGAGGCTGCGGGCTGGAAGGCTTTGGACGGCACCCACCGACCCCAAAACCGCCCCGAGCATCGGGGCGAAAAAATCCGGCGAGGCGGGTGGGGTGGGGTGGGGTGGGGTGGGGCATCTCCGACGTGCGTCAACCGCTTTGGTGACGGGGTTCAACCCAGCCCCGAAAGCCGGCGCTTCAGCCCACCCACCCACCCCACCCCACCCCACCCCACCCCACCCCAAATCTCCGACCCAGGCTTCAGGTCGCTGAACCTCGTGGGGGGCGTCTTTTCTTGGGGGGAGGGGGGGGGGGGGCCGATGGGTCTGGCAGATACCAGACTGACTGCTTGCAGGACTCCAATAGAGTATGGCTACAATCGCAGAAGCTGACAGGATGTCGGAAATTGTCATTTGAAGAAGCCCCCTATCCATGTTTGTTGGACAGGCATGATTCTTAGAAGGGCTGCAAGAGGGGTCCAAGAAGAGTTGCCGAGAAGCACCCTGCACGCTAAAATCCTCCCCTTCCTACTCTGCCGTTTAATGTTTCGTTTTCTGAGGGGACCCTTTCAGGTTGTGACTTTGAAGGGAGACCAAGGGGTAAGAAAAATGACGCCAAGCCGAAAATGTCCAATCTTGGAGTGCACGGTGGCTTCCCCGAAAAAGGAAAGCAATTTTGCAAAACCTTCCTGGTTTCAAAAGGAGTCCTACAAACGCTGCTGCAAAGGTTCAACAGGGCTAAGCACCTACTAAAATTGTCAATTGCGGTTTCTGTTGCTTACATGTGCCAGTGGCAGCCAGGGGAAACTCAAACAGCCCCCCCGCCTCCAGTTACACACCACTGTGGATGGACCAAATCCTGCACCGCTTTGTCACCATGGATGAAACCACAATATTTGCATTGGAATCGAATCAGAAACCAGGGTTTCTTTTCAGGCGCAGGAATTCGTCCATCCACAGTAACTTGGTTGACGTTGGAAGGGGAGCCAAAATTTAAGTTTTATCAGTTCAGTGGTTGGATTTCAACCACTCAACCACAAGAAACAAAAATCTAAATCTTTCCCAACAACAACCATGGAAATGTTGACCCCGGATTGCTAAGCCCCTTTTTCTAATTCATATGCGGGTGTAGTTTTTGTTCTATCACTTTTGGAGGGGCCCACACCCCCATATCCATTAAAAACAAAAAAATGGAGCTTCTTCCAGGGTCAACATGGGCGCGTGGACCTCGCCCTCGCCGCCGTAGTCGAAAGCTCCTCCGCCGCCGTCTGCGGAGGCCGCAGCGCCATTGGCCGCCGCTCCATCTCGGGAAGAGATTGGTCGAAAGCCCGGCACGGGCCGAGAGCCAAAAGAACGGAGGACTTTTTTCTACAAACCACAGCCAAACTCAGTGGCGAAATCTGAGCCCTGCTAAAAGTCACGAACTTTAGTTGCTTGATACGGAAAACCCACTAGTTGGCAAAAAGTTAAAGTCCTAACATCCAGGCAAAATGCACCTCTGCAAATGCGAATGTTCTTGCTGCCAAATCAGCGAAGGAGAAACGGAAGGATTCCTATGAAGCGTCCAAGTGGTGGTTTCCTTTAAGGGGACCAAAGCCTGGGTTCATTAAACCTCATTCCCCCATTCCCTCATTCCCTACTGAGCACCAGCAAGAAGAACTGAGGGTTGTCTTTTGGGGGGCAGACCAAAAAATGATCCGCAAGGCTGCAAACGACCAAAAGCACGGCCTTTTGAAGTCTCGTCGTGGGTGGGGGGAAACACTGAGCGCAATGGGCTTGAGCGGCTGAGACAGATTCCGCAACAAGTGAGCAAATGCAACCACTTGGCTGTGGGTCAAAAATTGGTATCCGAAATGGAACCCTGGTAAGTGGAAATATGGACCAAAACGTGGGGTTTGTCTGGTGGTTTAATTCTGACCCATACCCGCTTGGCAACCAGAGAGCTCTGGCCTTCGTTTTGGAGGCTCCCTCAGGTCGCAGGAAGGTGACCGTCGACAAAACGGGTATGCGGTGATCCGATCAAAGCAAGTGAGGTTTGCGGTCCGTGGCCGGTAAGGACGTCGAGGCTTTGTTCAAGGGCCAATATGAGTATTGAAATAAGCTTACCTACTTCCTAAGTATATTCAATAGAAACAAGGTGTGTGAGTGTGTTGTGAAAGCTGTCTCCACGCACTTGGGCTTGATGATTTTGGGTGCTCAACCATCCTCTTCAACAACTTGCTTCACCTGTCCTTCTGCTCCAGACGGGGATTGCCGAAGGAAAGAAAAAGACACACCTGGACCATCCTCCACCCCCACCTTCTCTCCGGGTGTCGCAGCATGACCTGGGTCAAGCCCTCCGCAGAGGCCAGGGGAGACGGTGGAAAGGCAAAAAACATGTTCCCCGGAAAGATCGCGCCGACATCGGAAGCCCCACGGCATTTTTTTTGGATTTGGCCCCGGGGGGCAAAACCCAGGAAACCCCTGGTGAACATCAAAACAGGTGGCAAATGGATGTTTATCCACCCCAAAATGGAGCCATAGGTTCTGCCCCATGGCAATTTGATTCCCAAACGCAAAACTTCAACAAGCGGAATGGGTTCCTTCCCGTTCGTGGCGCGACTTCCGGATTTCGCCGCCGTCCGCAGTCTTCATTTTTTCCAGTCTCGTTTATGGGTTCCCACGAATCGGAAATTCAGCCACGGTTGCAAAGGCTCAAAGCGGCGCAAGCCTTCCATGCGGCCTTCGCGCGGACAACCAACACCTTGCCACTCGCGAAGCTTCGCCGCGACGGGCGGAAAGCTTGAAACTTGCGAAGGGCGTGGGTGGGGTAGATGCCGCCCCATGAACCCAACTCAGCTCTTCTTGCCGGTGCTTAGTGGGGAATGAGGGAAAGGAAGGAGGTTACGGTGTCTGGCTTTCGCGTCAGCCACGGTAGTTACGCCTTGGCGGCCAAAGGAAGCCAAGGCGCTGCTCAATGGAAGACGTGCCGCCTTCGCGAGAGAAAAGTGCTCTTCGGTGCTAAGAAGACAAAACTTGGATAGCCTTTGGCATTCTCCCTTCCTCAACCCAGAGGGTCCAAGTACAATTCTAAGGAGGTACTTAGACCCCTTCTTACCCCCCAAAAGCCATCCTCATGAGGTACTTGGACCGTCTGGGCAAGCTTTCAGCTTCTGAATTGTCGGTTCGGAATAGTGATTTGGTGGTTAAGGGCAGTTTCCCATTCACCCACAAGCACCAGGGCTTCACATCCAAACCCCCCAAACCGGGCTCCAAGCCACCAATTTAGGGTTTCCTGAAGCTTGGCGCATAGCCAGGGTAACCTATCAAAAGGCCAGCGGATCCTGCGGAATCGGAACGGGACAGGGGCACCCGACAAGTTGCTCCACTCACCAAAAACAAGAGGACTGCCGTGGATGAAAAGGCAACGTTTCCGGGAAAAAACGCGCCGAACTCAGAAACGCAACGGTTTCTGATTCGATTCCACAACCAGTGAAAACATTTCCATGTCCCTCTCATGGCTCCAACTTGAGAATCAGGAGCCCCCTTCACAAGGGTACATGCAACAGAGATTCGGGTGTGTCTCAAAAAAGGAGACCCCCGCCCGAATCGAATGATTGTTTTCTCTTGGCTTTCAACTAAAACTAACCAGGAAAGCACCCTCGAAAGAAGAAGACACGCCCCTTCTACACATGAGTGTTGCCCTCCCACCAGTTAACATGGAACCTGATAAGGGTCCCTTAAGGAGAATGGTCCAAACTAGGAGCGACCCCGAATCGTCGAACGGTTCCATGCTGCTTGGCCCCCGCGCCAGTGCGGCCTGCAAGCGGCAAGCAGCGGGACATGCCCAAAATTGGAGTTTCACACCGATGGGTTGCGACATCCAGAAGTCGCGCCACCGAAATCCGAATCCCTGGTTTCTGATTCAATTTCCCTTGCAGTTGCCAACACATAGCGGCTTCCAAGGGTTTAAAGTTTCCATTTACAGACACACAATTGCTGTTGCGGCTTTTGGGGCCTGATCCCCCCCTCACACAACGCCACATGCTTAGTTGCACTGAGCGAGTCTGCAAAGCAAGAAAAAGGGTAACCCATTTTGGGATGACCTTACTGTGGATGGACAAAATCCTGCACCACCTACGAACCCTGATTTCTGATTCGATTCCCCTGTAAATACCAAGGAACAGCGGTTCCCCTTTTTTTTCAAACTGGTGCACCACTTTTGGTATTTGCAGAGCAATCGAATCATTCCAGGGTTTCTTAGATGGTGCGATTTCTGTATTTCGCAATCACCCATTTGGAGTCCCGTCACCTTTTATGGGACGTGTTTGTGTTTCTTGTTTTGAAAAAAGAATGTCACGGCATTTCCGCTGGGCGTGGATGTCTCAGAGGGTCGCGCCGGTCTCAGAAACCGACTACATTTGGGGCTGCTTGTTTTGGGGAGGTACTGCACCTTTTTGTTTGCTGTTGTTTGATTTAAAAAAAAAAAAAATGTGTATATATATATATATATATATATATGTTCCAGGCCGTGGACCCCCTTCCCCCTCCTCCCCCCCCCCCTGCCTGGGGACTGGAACATATATACACATGCATATTTGGGGGGGCAGGGCCTAAAAAAAAGATGAGCCACCCATACTGTGGATGGACGAAATCCATTTCGCACCACCTAACAAACCCTGAAACATGACTCCCTGTAAATACCAACAAACAATGGTCTCCCATGGTTTCAAGGTGGTGGGTTGATTTTGACCCATACCTCAATGGGTTGGTCAAAGGGAACCCATCCCCCAAAAGGCAATTCTGCGATATATGTGTTTGTGGTTTACGAAAACCTGCTGTATGGGAAGTCAAAAAAAAAGCCCCAGGCTTCAAAACCATTAAAAGCCAAACAAACTAAATTCATTTGGGGGTGTCTGTTCTCGTTCAAGTTCTTCTAAACACTTGAAAGTGCTTTACCTGTGGATCGAAGATTCGAGATTGAAATCTTTCACGGAAGGCTTTTGCTGAGAATGTTGTCCTCGCACTGACAGATTAAATGCATGTCACTGCAAACGGGTGCGCATACTTGGCCGCAGAAACATGGATTGGAAACCTAGAGTATTGGATAACACTAGATTTCAGTTTGCCAATAAAGGAATGTGGGATTCAAGATTCAAGATTTCCAAAAAGATTCTCCTCAGATTCTTGAATCTTGAATCGTGAATCCCGCAAAAATACATGTTATGCAGACTCTGTCAGATTGCAGACGTTGATATGATTGCTTACACTACATGTAATAATGTATACATACATGTGCCCCCCTAATTTTGGCCACAAAATCAACAAGGCAAAAAAAGATCATAAAACAAGGAATAACGCAGCTCAAACTCACCAAACCAAGGTCCAACCATATATATATATATATGTATGTCGTTTTGTAGGCAGTCCCCCCCTTCCCCCCCAAAAAAGTGTTCCTTTTGGTGTTCCTTTTGGTGTTCCTTTAAAGCCACCCAAAAGGGTTACCTTCAAAACAAAGCACCCATATAACTGTTGTCTGCTGGTTGTTTTTGGTGGCTGGATGTCCGAATGCAACATGCTAAAAGTTAGCCACTTTTATCAGGGCATCAGTTTGGACAGCCCAGGCAAGGATATGTAGGCTATCATCTTCTTTTGTGTTTACCCGTTATTGCCATCTTTAAAATCTCACTTCCGATCGAGTGGATAGCCCAAACTCAAGAAGAATAAAGTCCAAGAACTCAGGGGGTGGGTTCTTGCCATATTTTTCTGACTTCTTAAAGAAACCTACATCCGCAAGGCCGCCCCCAAAATGTCACGCCCCGGCAAGCCTTTGGGCGCCATCGGGCGAAAAGTTCAGCTCGCATGCATCCATGTTGCACGCAAGGCAAAGCTGCGGCTGAAACCCAACGAAATCAGATGGGGTCACCATCAAAACCTGGTACAAAAATGGTGAACCCAGAACCATGTACAGGATTAAGAAGGCGGCCGCAGCTATTTATAACTGGGATTCTCCCTTACTAACCTTCATCTACCCAGGAATTGATTGTGGCTCAGATGGGGTCACAAATAGGGTCACCCCAAAATGGGTATGGAAACCCAGGGAACATATGAGTTTCTGCGGTCCATGCGCTTTTGGACGAAGAGACCTGCAAGTGGAGAAGTGTTGGCTCGTTGAAAGGAAGAATTCAAGGACGCCCAAAAAGGCAAAAGGTCAAAAGGGCCCGCGAAGTCTGGCCATGGATTCTGGAGTGTCTCTTTTTGGCATCCGCGTGGGGGTTCTGGCTTTTATGGGACGTGTGCCTTCTCTGTGAGTCGGTAATGTTGAAGTAGGATGAACAAACCTGTCCCATTTTTAGGGGGGTGCTCCCTCCAAAAGTGGTCTGATTCCCACCAAAAGGGGACACCCCCCCTATTGAAATCAAGCAGGGGTTTATTAATCCGGGGTTAACACTATCCTCTTAACAGCCCCCAACCCTTGGAAGTTCCAGAGTTGTGTGATTCTGATGAGTCCGGTTGTGTTAATGTTCAAGAACCGCAAGAATTCCAACCTGGAAACGTGTCCTTTCTTTTCAAGCATCCTTCTTTCCAAAAACCAGCTGTCTCCCCAGGGTTTTAGGTAGTTTTACAGAAAGAAGGATGCCTGGAACGAATGGGTTGGGCACCCCTGGAAAAAGAAAATGAAAAAGCCTTCTGAGCGAACGTCCGGGATTGAAACAATGCCAACGCCCAAGCCCACAAAGCCCCCTCGCCATTTCGTGCACATGGCAAAAACGTCGTCGACCAAAGCCGAAAGCCGTTCGCGACCCGCGACCCGCTTGAAGAGGATGGCATCGGGCAACTCGATTCGACCACTTCGAATCGCACCTTCGCCGGTGCGACATGATCAGGGTTTGTCTTAAAATGAGACCCCAAAGGTATATGGGTCAAAATCAAACCACCACCTTGAAACCATGGGAGACCATTGTTTGTTGGTATTTGCAGGGAGTCGTGTTTTCAGGGTTTGTTAGGTGGTGCAGGATTCGCCAATCCACGGTATGGGTGTTAAGCAACAAAGAAGAAACCAAACGCATCAAAATTGCTTTTCCCTGATGCTGATGGCCAAGCTTGCCAGCATGCACCCACGTGATGCGAAAGACGGTATTTGGTCGATGTGTTTGCAACAAAGTGCAAATACAGTTGGGTGTGTGTGTGTGTGTGTTTTATCTATTTTTTTTCGGGTGGTACCATGTTTCGGGTTGGTTTGGAAACGCGCAAGAAAACCCACCATGGTGTAGAAAAACACGCAAAAACAAACCCATCATGGCGGTTGTGGCGAAACATAGAAGTCTTGTTTGAAAGGAAAGACACATGGCAGTGGCTCCAAAAACCGGAATTCCAAAATGGCACCCGATCGGTAAGTGGAAACATGGACCGGAATCTGCGTAACCCCTCCTGGTTAATTTTGAGCCACACCCACATCTTGAGAGCGTGTCTGGCAAAAAAAGAATGCCTGGCAAGTCGCATCCTGTGAGTGAATCCTTGGAGAAGCCTCCTTGGGCACAACCGCACACCAAGATGAATTCCTGGGTGCCGTGAGAGACATCTTTGCCGAATGGCCGCATCTTGCTGGGGAAAACAAAAGCGCTCGCTTAAGACTCCTCTATGACTACGTCCTCCAGTAGAGAGGTTAGAATAAGTTGGCACCAACTTTTTTCTGTAGACTATTTTAGTAGGGGAATTTTCCCCCAAAAGGGGAGAGACGGGCACCACTGGAGGACCCAGATGAGTTTGCTCTTTGCCGCTTCGACTGTTTCACATTCGCCATGCAATGCATCGCTGAAAAAAAAACAACGTGAGACAGTCTGAAGCTGGAAAACCGAAAACAGAAGCGCAGATCTCGAAAGGTACACGTGGGTTTTTGTCTCAAAGAAAAACCTGAAAAACTGGTTTAAACAAATGGGGCCCCGAGCCTCAAAACACCTGAGCCACCGATTTACCACAAAAGAAACCTGTCCAACTCCACCGAGTTCCAATTCTCAGAACGAAGCCTTGAGCAAGACGCCCCACAACTCCCTCGTCTTGTTGCTGGGGACCCCAAGCTTCCCCTTTTTCCCCAACCCAACCAAAAAGGGGAACCCAACCAAAACACGGCGCCCTTACCAACGCTGCTTTTCTCCGCAACTCGTGCCAAAGATGCGGAAGGTAGCCGTCGCACCACCAACTCTTCTACTTGCGTCTGGCCTAATCGGCCTGAGGTTCAAGTCCACCCCGGACTTGCACGGCCGAAAGAGGCCGCTACCAGCTAGCGTTGCAACCAATACAAATTAAATTAGCTTGGCGCCCCAAGAGCGGCCCGTTGTAGCCACACGAGTCGTCTAAGCTGCTGTGGCAGCCCACTTGGCAAGCTGAGCTATATCAATGGAGGGTAACTGAAGTTCGTTCCCTGGATCAACTTAGGAATAGTTATCCCTTGACTCAAGTCTCAGCCCGAAAAGGAACTGCCGGAAAAATTCACCTGCACTCCTCAGCCCTGGTTGCGAAATTCCGTCCTGGACCGTGGCCTGCTGCAGCCGGCAAATGAATTCCGCTGAGCTTTGTTTGAATGAGCTCTGTTCCCGGATCAGCCCTGCACGCGGGCATGGACAGGATGCAGGCATTCTGAATTTGGCACAAAAGGGCTCCAGCGATTTCCGGCAACTGAAATTGCCACCTGAAGGTCCGGAAGCCAGAAATTTAGGAACCCCTGAGAGGGAGTTCACTTTCCCGCGCGGGGGGGTTGCTCTTTGACCATTGCCCTTGTGATTTAATGGGACCCCATTCCGCTCTGAAAGAAGGCTTCTAGTTGCGACACTTTTCTTGGGGACCCCGGATCTTGGTCGAAACGCAACCTCCTCAAATGTGGGCCCCGTCCAACAAGGACATGGCTGGCCCCGAAAACATGCATCCAATCCACGGTGGAAATCGTGGGCCGTCTTCCGAGATCGCCTGCTTCTCTGGGCCATCGAACTTGAGTTAGTTTGCTGCTCTCTGCCAACCTCGGAACACCTCACTGGAGTCTGTTCAACGTTGACCCCAAACCAACATATTAATAGGGAGGTATCTCTGAGTTTAGTGGGAAAGGACTTTGAGAGGCTAACACCCCCTACTAACAGGACGGGTTTGTTCATCCAGGGTCAACATGATCTTCCTCGCCCCTAAATGTGCCTGCGCTGTGAAGCTGTCGACCGCAAGAATACATCACCGAGTGCACAACCTACATGCATCCACAAAACAAGTTGCGGGTTGGAAGGTCTCCAGCAAAGGAAATTACACTAGATAGCCCAGAAGACCCAGGCACGATTGCACGTTCGTGGCTTGGATTGGTTCTACCTTATTAAGTCTACAAAAAAATTGGGACACCGGACGACGGCGCCTTGTGCGTGCCCCGTTCTGGCACAAGACTTGAAATGTCGTCACCTGTCATGCGAGAAGTGAAAAAGTTATGCCAAGCAAATGAACCGCAGCCTGACAACTGGAGGCTTGCTGGCGACCTCCATGTTGGCCCTTTTGTAGCAACTGCCTGTGTTCTGTGTTGTCTCGACAGCAAGCAGCAAGCCTCCTTAGTTGCCATCCTGATCCCTGGGCAAAAACACGCCCCGGAACTTTGCCACACACGCCTCACTCCGCGCATCTGCCCGGCTTTGCATGATCAATGCTGCCAAACGTAGAAGCTCCGGACAGCCAAAGCCTCAGCTCGCAAAGGCAATATAGCCGGTAGTTTCAAAACAAACCCGCAAAATGTTCGCAAGCAGGTTTTGGGGAAGCCTTCTGTGAGGGCATGCTGAAGCAAGGAAACTCTTGCGACAAAGACTGTCCTTTGCCTCGCAATTCCACACCTTCTGAACAAAAACCAAAGAGGACTCAACCGGAGAGACCAAACCAAGCTCGAGGGCCAATTCATGCAGGTGGCGGTGGCTTAGCCACTTTCTTTTCGAGCAGCTCGCGGGAAGAAAGCGGGGCAGCTGCCGCATACGCAGCCGCACACGCACGCGAGCACGCACACCACAGAGAAAGAGAGATACGCGCGCGTGTGCACGCGCAAACCAAAATGCACGCGCACACATGCACCCGGTGCACACCCGGACTGACTCATTGGCTATGCTGTCACCTTTCAGAGCAGGTGTTTCTTCGTTTGCCTAGGACCCCACGTTCTGCACCTGTCTTTGTCAACATTCAATCAAACATCCTAGGACGAAATTGTCCCACCATCATGACTTAAGTACACGGCAAAGATATACGAATTTGCTGACCTAGGTGTGCGCTGAATAATATACTGCGCTAGTCATATAAATGCCGTTTGTCTTGTAACCACTGGCACCAGCCTCACTGTTCAGCCTTTTTCGTGAAAACTACCCAAAAAAAACGTGATTTCTTTTTGGTCTGGAGGCTGGTGGAACAAACAAAGTATTTTTCAGGAGCCCTGGTAAATCTCGACACGCATCTCGCAAAGTCAGTCACTGAGGCGCACGCCGCCACGACTCACGAACTCGTGACTCACGAACTCGTGGCGCATTGTTGGAGCTGGAGGAACGTCCTAGGCGACCGTCGGTGAACGTTTGGGGAAACAGGGTCCGAGTGCCTCCAAAGGATGTAAATAAGGCGGCCAGAATGGGCCACCATACACCCTCAGAAACTTGGGCGCTGGGGAATCAGGAATCTCCAAGTAAAGAACCTGAGTTTGTTGCATGTCCCAGGGTGGGACTTGGAAGTGGTCCGTTCACTTTGAACATTGCACTTTACTCCTGTCTCGGGGAAACAACGTGGATGCAGCTTGAACATTTGCCGGTGGCTCAATGTATATAATAGTTAACAGGATCAACTAGCAAACACTGAAAAGAACAGAACACAACTCCAACATACTTAGCCAGACGTGAAACAACCAGCATCGTATAGCTTATTTGGAA